ATTATTAGTAGTTTTTGGTCCATCCTGTATTCAGCATGTCTAATATTTCAAATTTATAAAACTGGTCGTCTTTTGGTAGTATTTCTCTATGCGAAAATCTAGTAGGTTTGCGTCGTTTATTCAAATCCATTGTATTTTTAGTAGTTTTTAGTCCACCCTGTATATAGTACCCTGTATATTTAGTACTTGTCACATTTTAACCCCCTGCATTCTTATTAATTTTTACTTCACCCTGTATATAAGAACGTCCAAAATTTCAAACGTATCTAGTAAGCTTACGTCATTTATACAAATTCTGTCACTTGTCTTACTGATGTAAGAAGAAAACTGGAACGTTATACAGTCGAAATTAAAATCGAATTCCGCCTTTCCGAAAACTGAGCGGGGCTCAGAAAAGAATGGAAAATCGAAAAGAAAAAGAAAAAAAAAGAGAAAAAAAGGAAGCGAGAAAAAGGAAAACGTAATCCCGTCACGGTCTATCGCGTTAAGATAGCGTCGGTTCGCGGGGAGGCGTCGCGACGCGTATACCCCGTGTACGTATACAGTGTGTCCCAAAATTCGTTCTCATATAGTTGGAGAAAATTATCAAACATATAGGGAAGCAGTAGAAATATTTAATATTATAGACACCCTGATAAAATTATACTAATTTCCTGTTTTATTCAGGAAAACATTTTGCTCTCCACTACAGTTTGTGCATATTTTCTTCTCGGTCCAAATCATTCCTATAGAGGAAAAAAAAACATATAGATGTTTTCCCTGTATTCAAGGCAATTTTTTAAACATTTTATATACCTGATTTTGGATATACAAGTCATGCAAGGAATTTTATCAAGAATATTTGTTAAAACTTTTTGGGACACACTGTATATACACAAAGGCAGGAATCGTTCGGTCGATTGTGTGGAGTCTTATCGGACCACCCCGGGATACCGGAAGGCTCTATCACCCCCTTTCGTATCGCCTCTATACAGGACGGCTCAATATCGATGTATTTTTTTTTTATCAATTATACAGGATGTACAGCTCGTTTCTATATCGATTAGGAATCGGTAAAAAGTTGGTAGTTTTTGAGATATGTTTATCGATATGTTTACCTGTAATCGTTGAGATGAAGGGTTGGTAAATTTCTAAAAAATATCTATTAATTTTAGTGATATTTTATTGGTTTTGTTTATACATAAGTTCCATGTTAGTCTCCTTATCTCCCTACCTTTTTATCATCGATAGGCAAACAAATGTAGATAAAAAATATTCTCCATTTTTGTGATACTATTAAGTATTATAAGAAGCGATTTTTCGATCTCGAAAATTATCAGATATACCTACCGAAAAATTCCTAGAAAGCTATCAGAAAAAATAAAACGTCCCGAAAACCCCGAAATTAGGAATAATAGATAACTGTCAATCAAACTGTCAGCTTCCAAAGGGTATAATTTTAGCCAATTTTTTCTTCCATATAAAATAAAAACTATATGGGAAAACAAAACGAAGGGGCATTTCGTTTAATTACATATAATCCGATACCTTTTGTTACAAATATATTTCGACCGGTATAACCGGTGATTACCGGTCGAAGCCACGTTAGAATTAACCAACCGTTTATAGTTGTTATTTTTTGCAACAGTATCAGCAATTTTTTTATATCTACCTGTACAGGGTGTTTCAAAAATTAAGGGGCGATTCTTGGGCCCATTTTAACGAAAAAACTTTATTGTACAAATGAATGCATTTATTTTTTTTAATGCTAAACGATGAGTCGTACGGGAAAAAGTCGAGAAATCGAATTTGTTCTTAATTGAATGAGGATTCCGAAAATAATTTTTATTTCAATATTAGACAGTGGCGTACCGTTTTTTCCTCGAAAAATATTCATCAAATCATCAAATATTCAATGCAAAACCCGTACGGACGACACTGCTGAAAATAATAAAATTATTTATATATCAAAAAACGCATATTGATTCATAGAAAAAGTGTACCAAATTTCATAAAGATATCTACAATAATATCACAGTTATTACAACAAATATGATTTTTTTTCTTATAACTTTAACACCCTTTTATCTCAAAAGTTAATACTTTTAGTACATAAGTTCATATGAAGTTTTTTCCTTAAAATAGCTCCAGGAATCACCCCCTTAAAAATTAGCCGGTCATTTTGGACCAACCTCTATACAGCTTGTCCCAAAATTTCTTCAATCTATTCGACTTACAACCGCTAATGAGTCAATAAAAGTCGCCTTCAACTTGCCTTTCTATAGCTCTTAGAATCTCGATTTTAACGCAACGTGTAGGTATTCACAAACACCTTGTATATAAATGCATTTCTGAGGGGGGGCTCGAGAGGGGGAGATCCTCTAATTTCCACAATATATATCTCGAATACCTATAAAGTCGACCCCCACGTTGCATTGTCCTTGCAATTCGCCCTGAAATGAACGGGACACTGGAACAAGTTTCACAGTCTATGGGCTTACAGTCATACCAACATAAACCAAAAACTTTCTAAAATTAAAAAAAAACACTAAATTTTATTGTTATACTCGCGCTTATCGATTTGAATTTTTAACAGGTTGTTACACCAATGGGATTTAAATGTAGTTTAATGTTAAACTCAAGTTATTATGTTGCACCATTTATTTAAACAAAAGTTAACTTTTTGTTAGTAAATTTTGATGGTTTTCACAGTTTAAACGAAAATAGACTTTAATGTAGTATTCAACCAGTTAATTAGATAGAAAATTAGCAATAAAATATCTTTTTGATTACATATTAATGGTTCTAAACTCTAAACTAAACTCTTCACTTTTATAAACGATGCAACATTAATAAACTTAAGCGAAGTTTAAAATTAACCGCCAGTTTAATTAACTCTCGTTTAGTTCGAATTTGGTGCAACGAGTATTAGTAAATTGTATAAAAAAAATGCGAAGGGATGAAGGGTGGGCGAAGAAGCACCCAAGCCCATTGACTATCGAGCGAAAAGGGTCGAACCAAAAGGGTGTAATTTATATTCTAAGGGGTAGAGTTTCCCCTGTTCGCCACCATCAATCATTGTGGCGCTGCACCGGGACCGGGGACTCCCCGTAGGAGGGTGTGCAGCAACACCCCCTGGATTCGCTGCAAGTGCAATATATGACGGGTCTACGTCTTCCACCCTCGCTCACGGCGGTTTTTTTTATATACGGGGTGTTCTAAAAATGAGTAGCTAATGTTTAAGGGGGTGAGTCTTGGGGCGTGTTTAAGAAAAAATGTCCGAAACGTCTTAAATTTTGAGATATGGGGTGTTACAGTTTGAAGAAAAATAATTCAAAAAATAATTAATCTAATTGGAAAATAACAATTCAAAGGGGAGGATTTTTCTTGCAATAAATGTTCAATATGGGCATCTCCAAATTATGAATCTAGATTGCTTTATAAGGCAGCACCTTTTATGGTAGGTTTAGGGTGGGTTTTACACTTATAGGAATTTACTTCGTGTAATTTTTGCTTTGAACAATGGCAAAAAAATTTGAAGATTTTCTTTTAACTTTGAGGTTCCCTCACAGGCAAACTGAGCACTTTTTATATAGGTAATTTTGGCTAAATCGTACACTGAATTTTGGGACACCCTGTATATTTTTACCCCCGCCTTATTTTTCTTATGCTTTTTTTTTGATTTTTAAATAATGTTGAAAATAAAAAACATATAACAAACAATGTTTTCTTGGTCTTTTACGAAAGAGATAACAAATTGTCGCAAATAGAATACATATGATGACCCGGTTGGAAATCTTTGTTCGTATTTCGAAACAATGCCCGATTGTGTCGAGCGAAAGATGTTACTTAATAAATTTCCATTTGAAATCGCTATCATATTGTGATCGTTCCTCGATAATTGCTACTTCTTTTGGTACTTTATTTAACCAAAAGTAAGACCGAACAGCCTTAAAAACTGAGGCCTCAAATGAAGTCGAATGAGAAGAACAAAAGTACCCAAAGAAATAGGAACCACCAGCGGAATGATTTGTGTACTCTATACAATAAAATTACTAATTAATTTTGAACAATTTCCAGTTCCTCGAGAATTGCTCCTTCTTTCGGTACTTTTTTACAATCCAAAGAAGTAGGAACCTCCGCGGAACGATTCGTTTAACTCTTTTATACTAATTAAATTCGAACTAATTAATCGAATGTAATTAAATAATTGGTGCATTCGCAATCGAGGACGTTCAACCAGTAGCGGTTTTCTAATTATTCTCAATTCTAACGATACGACAGCCGTCCAATTACACCGTTTTAAAATAGATATAAATTGATATTAAAAGAGCGATATGGTGGTCGCTGTTAAAAAATAAATAAATAAATAAATAAATAAAAAGTCCGCGTTTGAAGGAGCCAAACTGCCAATTAAAATTAATAATTCCTCGCTCGTGGTGCGTACGAGTTTACCAGCGAACTTTCCTTTTGTTCGTTTCCCTCTATTCAACAAGTTTTTGTGCAAGATTTTTTGTTAGAATCGTGGAAAAGCGCCCTTTAATCCAGAATAGTAGCGACATCTGGATGTGGATGGATTTAACACTTCTTCTCGTTTAGATGGTCTCTTGTCCTGAGATATGACAGCCAAATTGCGTGGTTGATTATACAGGGTGTTTTTTTTGGTATGTTATTACTGAAGGGGGTGTTTTCTGGACCCATTTTAAGAGAAGAAGGGGGTGCACATACCTGCACACTTATTTATCCTTTAATATCTTTATTATAGAAGAAGTGTGAAATTAAACGATATTAATTAGTATTAAACTTTATTAAACTCAATATTAATAACAAGGTAAGTAACAATCCTCATCGAATGTTACCAAATACATATTATAGCATTATCACAAAAAATTAAACAAACATTCTCATAAAATAAAAAATAAACCTATCACACTTCAAAAAAAAAAATAAATTGCCACAAAAGGAAAACAAAACAAAAAAAAACTAATTCTCGTGTAAAAGAGAACGGTTATTCGTTTAAACATTGTCAAATAACTATTAACAACAACAAAAAGGTACCAATTTTTTTTACGTTTAGAAAGAAAAATCTTCACTGATGCAGCAAAATAATCGAACCAAAAAAAATTAATCTTCATCCTGGAAAAATCTCCACCACACTGAAACAAACAAACAACAATATAAAAATCCATTTCAAAAATTATTTAGATAAAGTTAAACGACCAAACATAGGTTTCTAAAATGAAGAATTTTTCTGGATAAATTTGGAAGTTGCATAGAGATTAAACAAGTGTAAGGGAAAAGAGGAAAACCCCAAATTTTAACATCTAATATTTACAAATTAAGTACCACAAGGCCTATGTACAAAAATTCCTACTTATAGAGGACACTTGCAAGTTGAATTGAATTGTAAGAAAACTGATTTTTTTCAGAAACATTCTCAAGATTAAAAAAAAGGGGAGCCAAATCAAATCAATTCCTCCAACAAACACTCACCGCTATTCAAGGCACTCATTGAGCAGCGACGGGCGTCGGCGTCGTCGCCGCCTCCACCGCCTCCACCTCCTTCACCTTCTCCGAATCGCTACGGGGCGACGTCTCGTCGCTCCCCGTCGGATTCTCGTTGGTATTCGTCGGACTCCGCGACTCCGACGCCGAACTTTTGTTCCTTCTAAATTGATTGTTCCTTCGTCTGTAAGGCGATCGCTGTTGCATCGGCTTCGGTTGAACTGCCTTCTTCTCAGGATCGAAGAAACAATCCAATATCTCCAACAGGTCCTCGAACTCCTTCTCGTTGGCGTTCGCCACCTGTGTAACGGTTTGCAATTTTTTAATTTCATCTAATTGTTATAACTCTTTATCGAATAGAAAACTAGGAGGAGCGGTTTTGTGAATGTTCGGTTCGCAATTTTAAATTGAGCTAATGTTATATACTCTCTATCTTAGAACTAGGAGAAGTTTTGTGAATGTTCGGTTTGCAATTTTAAATGATTTAATGTTATATACTTTCTATCTTAGAACTAATAGAAGACATTTTGTGAAGTTTGACATACAATCAATCGCTCTTTCTAGTTTTTTAAACAGAGCAATAGTTCACAATTACCTCGTTTTTTATGACTTTTTGACTTACAATCAATCCCTCTTTCTAGTTATTTAAACAGTGTAATAGTTTACAAACAAATACCTCGTTTTTTGATGACTTTCTGACTTACAATCAATCGCTCTTTCTAGTTTTTAAACAGAGCAATATTTTACAAAACAAGTACCTCGTTTTTGATGACTTTCTCCAATCCCTCCTTGGCACTGGACCCGTAAGCCTCCTTCAATCGATCGAAATTGATATTATTTTCAGCCAACAATCGCCTCAAGTGGCTGGCGTGCTGCCGTTCGGCCCTGCTGGCCCTCAACAGCGCCCCAAACACCGGCCTGAAAGTGTTCTGTCGTTCGAGCAACAGCTTAAACAGCGCAATCTCCTCCTCTTCGGCCTCGATCGAATTCGCGTACGGTCGCACCATTTCGACAAAATGCGATTCCTCGCCCGTGTAGCCCTTCTCGGAGCCTTCGTTGGTCAATTCGGTCAGTTCGCTTTGCGCCAAATGGGCCGATATGTCCAACGTGGCCCTCGCCCTTTCGGCAGCGCTGTAAAAGTGCTCCGGGTGTCTGTCGAGCAGGAGATTCGTCATCGCTCGTAGGCTGCAGGATTTCGTCGCGTTCGCGCATTTCGCTTTAGCAACATTGAAGCCGTTCGCGAAGCCTTTCACCACCTTCGAAAACCTACAAAAATTCAACGTAAGTTAGTCTCAAAGATTAAATTCACAACAAAATAGTTAACTTTAGTTTAGTGGGGCATCAACCTGTCAAACGTTCACAGAACAACAACTTGTCAACTAAACGAATCACAAGTTTCGCAATCGTGTGTATAAAATATTCGCAGATAACAATTTTTATCTATTCAAAACAGCATATTTTCGTTGTAGTAAACAAACAACAAACCGTTCGAGCAACAGGTTCCTCCGGAGCGACTCCAACAGCATACCGGGCGAAGCTTTTCGCAGCTCGTGATAGACCAAAACGATCCCGTCGGTGCCTTCGGCTTTGAGGCCCTCCAGCCACACCAAGAAATCCTGCAACGCCGACATTTCGCTCTTGGTTTTGAGGAATTCCTGCGAATTGGTGTCGCGCAACCGGCGATACCGGATGGTGTTCACCACGCGGACGCCGTGCCTGCGACTGTACACCGGATTCAAATCGCCGAAGGGCATGATGTACTGCGAAAACTTGGCTTGCGGTGTGTAGGCGGCTATTTGGATGATCTCGTCGATGAGGCGTCGACCGGTGGTGTCGATCGCCCAGCCTACTAGCTGGTATTTACCCGATGGGATGCCTTTGGCAGGGTTCGATGGCATCGCCGGGACGTCGTCGAGGTGTTCCTGGTTTGCACTGTCGTTTTGTACCATCTTAACTGTATTATCTGCGATAGAAATATATCGAATTACACGTGGCGAATGAATTAGATGTGGATATATTAGAGGAATATGAAGCCCCACCCTAGTGCATGTCATCTAAATGATTGCACCAGCTAGTTAGATATCTAATCGGGTTTATATAAAAGCTTGCACAATACAGATTACTACATGCATACAATCTGACACGTGGAAGTGTATTTACAAAAAAAATAAATCGAATAACGATGCAATTACATACAAATGCAGCGAATGCGAAACTTACCACAATATCGAAAAATTCTTCAGACTATCTGATTTAGTAGAAAATAGGACTAGAAATCGAAAAAATGCGGCGGTGGAGTTTCTTCCGTGGGGGCCGGGTCGAGCGAAATGGCGACCGTGGAAAATTATTGTGATTTTTATGGGTGATTAGATTAGGAAAAAATGCATCTCGCACGTGTGTGTGTCTGTGTAGTGACGGCTGGGCGGGGGTGGGGGAAGGTGCGCGCGCAAGAGGAAGAAGCGTCACGAGAGGGCTCCGCTAACAATTCGATACTTACGGGTTTTTGGATGGTAATTCGGGTGAATATTTCGCTGATGATATTCTCTTGACAGGATTTCGGCGAAACAAATTCGGATGCAAACAACAAACGACTAAATTCGTCGACGGGGACTAGATTTCGATTCGTTTTCGCGACTGTCATTGAGCTGACGGGCTAATTGCAACGTAAAAGGCCAGTCGTCTCTGACACTTGACATTCTGTCAAGAGCACTTAACTCAACTCTCGTTCCTTACAGTTTATTGTTAATTTCAACCACTTAAACTATTTTAATTACTTTATTAATACATTTTCATAAGATAACTACTTGATAAATAAATTATATAGCAAAATACAATATTTAGTGTACAAACTTCATAGTATCAGACCAAGTTTAGACAAATGACAGCTAGCTCTCGAAACGGAAGAATATTGAGGTTTAGTTTAAAATGCTTTTGAAAAGTGCGTGTGTTTAAAAAATAACAAAATTAAACATAATTTATTAATATGGAACCTGTGGATGCTACGCAAAAGATTCCTGAATCGCTATCATCAGATAAAAGTGAACCAACTGAAAATGTAACGGATACCTCAACGAAAGACGCAATTCCTGCGAATGAAATTGAACAAAATCAAGCAAGCGGTGATAGTGTAGTTAATAATGACAGTGAAATTAACAATACAACTGTAGAAACTGATAACAGCGAAATGAATTCACAAGTTGTTAAGTTTAATGAAGAAAAAATTAGTGATTCTAACGAACAAGAGAACAAAGGTGATTCTAGTGTGATTTTGAAGAATCAAACATCTTCTTTTAGAAACATTTTATCGAACTACCAAAGTGATACTTCTGCTAGCGAAGATAGCGAGAGCGACAGTTCGGACAACGAACAATCGAATGCATCTTCCAGTTCCAGCTCGAGCGATGACGAAGACGAAAACGACACGTCCAGAATTTGCCAGGAAATTAGCGATGATGAAATCAACGAATCAAAGTAGGTCAAAGTTAATAGAATATTCTAGATTTTTAAATTTGACAGTTCGAGCTGTCAAAACGTAAAAAAATTATTTTATGACATATCGAAGAGAAAATGGAGAATTCAGATTAAGTATATTTAAGTAAATTTTATAATGCTGTTTTATAAATTTCAGCAAACGGATATCGAAAGGCGGCGACAAAACTTCGACGCAAACAATCGAGCAGGAATTATTCGACCCCACGGAAATCGTAATGGACTTGTCCAATTTGCACATCGATTACAGAAAAGAGGAGTTTATACACATCGGACACATCACGCACTTTATAAGCACGATAGGTAAAATTTACCGGCCTCAACTTTAAAGGCTTTCAGCCCAATTTCACTTACACCACTTGTATTTTTTTAGTAACAGTCGAAACTCTCAAAAACACCGACTCCTACGATCTAAAAACGGTCTTGTTCGTGGACGACGGGGAGGATTCGAAGAAAGCTTTCGGGGCCATTTGCGACGTCATAGGGCAAGTCAGCCAACCCGTTTATTGTGTACGATTAAAAGAAACCAAAGACATCGAAACTTTGGCTCTCGAAGAAGGCATGAAAGTTTACAGCGCCCCCAAAAGCGTCTACACGAAATACGTCTTCGTAAAGGACTTATTGAGGTAAATTTTTCATTCTTTTTCACTAATTTATTCTCTCTATAACGTTAACATAACTATAACTATAAAAAATAACATCTAAATAGCTATTTTGTTTGCTGGTTTCAGGATGAAGGGAACCGATGCTTCGTGGATCGGCGACCAAGAGCCTCCTAGCGATGAAATGGATTCATCCGAGGACGAAATCGAGCAGGAATCGCGTAAAAGGACTCACAACGGTGGATTCAACCAAGCGAGAAATCGCAGGAATCAAAGACAAGCCGGTGGTGGGAATTTTTCGAGATCCGGTCCTGTACAGATGTTTCCGCACGGGTTCAATCCTTCGGTACCACCACCGAACGTACCCGTTTTATATCCAGGGTGGGTATTAAAGAATTTTAACTCTTACAAAAGCATCCTAGTCCTTTAGAATCCTTTAAGTCAGACTTAGATAAAATATAAACTAGGATGTATTGGTACAATCGGGCATTAGTACATTTCCCGGGCTAGGACGCCGAACTACGAGTTATCTCGTATTAATTAACGTGATTAAAGACCTCGGTATTAGTTAATATTTATTTGTTTGTTTTTAGGTTTGCAGCGAATCCTCAAATGCCCGGCTATAATAGTAATACTCCGCAGAATTCGATGAATAGAAACGGCTGGTTTCATTACAGACGGAATTAAAGTAAGTGGATTGTTTTAAATGATTTAGAGAAAAAAGACACGAAACATTTCATTGATTTTATTTCATATAATACTTATACGATGATACAATAAGTATGAAAGACGAAATGAAATTCCAAACAAAGAGATTTTTATTTTTTTAATTTTCCTGGAATGTCTACCTATTTCGTAATATAGTATATTATGCATTTTTTTTATACAATCATAGCTTAGCATAGTTGATGCATATTAAAAGGTTTTTTAAAGGTCTATTTAACTACAAAAATAAAAGTATGAAGTTTAATAAGCCGCTACTATATGAAGTAATAGACGAGTTTTGCTCAATGCTCTAAACTCTAAACGAGTCTAATTGAACAAAACCCGTTAACAGTTTCATTAAAGTTTAATTCGTGCGAAACAGGAAACTTAATTGCAATTTTTTTTTCAAATTAACAAAAATCGAATACTCCAACATTTCCAAAACATCCTCGAAAAATATATTCTAAACCTTTTCATCGTAGAGTTTTTAAAATTTAGCCGTTACTAAAGAACCTATCAGTCACGTGGTCGTTAGTAAAAACAAAAACAAAAATCAAATAAAATACATAACGAAAAAATAAATATAAATAATTGCAACGAATATAACTACAATATATACAAACTGAATTTAAATTTAATGACGTTCTGTACACTGACGGTGCTCGAAACAATTCAAACGAATTTACTACTACGAGATAACTCGTAGTCGGGTTATTGCACCATAAAAAAAAACGAGGCCTTACAAGTAAATAGGTAAAAGGTGAATGTTATTACATTAAAAATTCTACCGGAACGTCGACAAATCAAAATATAAAAGTTAATGCGAAAAATCTTAATCTTAATCGACTTTTAGAATAAAAAGCGTTTTTTATTTCTTCCTTAATTTACCTAAAAAACCGTCTCGAGATCCGTCCCTCTCGAATCGATAAACGTAATTAATTATGTGTCTAACAAAGTTAAATATTTTTTTTTCTATATTTATTTTTTATTCCACAATTCCTCCCTCATCAATTCGTACTAACGCGTTAATAATTCTATGCACATTTCAATAGAAATAAAAATCAAACAAAGTGTATACATATATAACTAGATATTGTTGCTAATCTCACACGGAATCCGGCGGTGTTTTTTTTTTGTTTTTTAATCCAAACAAAAACTTTTGATTGCCACAACAGCAATATTATTAATAAAGCCACGATTTTATTTGTTCGAGAAACCACAACGAAGAAATTGCTAAACATCGATATCTTAGGTGATACATTTGAAAAATTTTTTTTATCCTTTTACAGCGTTAGGATCGCGATCGATTAAATGGAGAGGAGTACGATTTTTCAGAGTCACAATTTTGAATTAAAAAAAGGGCCATTTCCTAAAATATTTTCATTAACCGTGTTAATTACTTCTTTCTATTCATAGGGGGTGATAATTAATGCAGTGTACTTATTTTAATAGGGGTGATTCTTGGGCTAATTTTGAGTGGAAAAGTTCATATAAAGGTTTATGTCCTCCGAAGTTTGGTTTTGTAGGGGTTTGTAAAGTTTTATTTTTATATAGGTTTTTTTTTTCATAAATTTGAAAAACCGTTTGTGATATTTCATTGAATTCTAGGATAATATATTATGGTATAAATACGCATTTTTTTTAACCAAAAATAGGTTTTTTATTTTAACCAGTGGCGTAGATATTGGTAGGTCTTGGTACAATTTTTTCAAAAAAAGTAGTACGCCACTGTTTTTTAGAAACTTTCTTTAAAAATTATTGATAACTATTTCAGTTTAAACAAAAAAAAAAGTTTCTTGCGTTTTTGTCGTAGAACTTACATCATTTTAAAGAAAATAATTAAAAAAACTAGTTGTCTTGAAAAGAAGAAGACATTTTATTTACATATAGATATTGTACATGTGTATTTATACCATAATATGTTATCTTAGAATTCAATAATGTAATAATACTGCAAACGGTTTTTCAAATTTTCAAAATAAAAATACAATCCTGTAGGGTTGTATTTTAAATAAAAAACTGAGGTTCAGAGGGCATATCTTTATATAAACTTTTAAATTCAAAAATTAGCACAAGAGAATCACCCATTAAAATAAGTACATTGCATTAATCAACAGCCTGTATATCTAGTAGAAATATAAGAGGTGACTTTTAAAAATCCTAAACTTTATCTCCAATAATCTCATTAGGATTTTCCAGTTTTTATACAGGGTGTCGCGCGGCGGACGGTTGGATCTGAATAGGGGATTGGTCCGTTCCTAATGATGCTATAGGGTTGAGAGTAGGGAAAAGTACGAAACATCCCTTTCTCCTCTTTCGTACTTTTCCCTACTCTCAACCCTCTAGCACTATTAAAAACGGACCAATCCCCTCTTCAAATGCATGGGTTCGCCGCGCACCACACTGTATAATAACTAGTAAACCCTAATGAGATTATTGGAGATAACAGAGCTTCGGGATTTAAAAAAAGTCACCTGTTATATATCTTGTCGTACTATACAGGGTGGCCCAGAACTCAAGCCCCACCGGGAAATGCCTTTGGAGACGACAATGGAGATGTCAAAACTGCAGTCGAAGGCAGGAAAAAGTTTTTCCTTTGGTAAATAAAGAGGTTTAAAAATCTTTAAACGTTGTTAAACCTCTTTATTTACCGAATGAATAACTTTTTCCTACCTTCGACTGCAGTTTTGGCATCTCCATTGTCGTCTCCATCAGACATTTCCCGGTGGGGCGTGAATCCTGGGCCACCCTGTGTAGTACGACCAGAAATATAACAGGTGCCTTTTTTAAATCCCGAAGCTCTGTTATCTCCAATAATCTCATTAGGATTTTCCAGTTTTTATACAGGGTGTCGCGCGGCGGACGGTTGGATCTGAATAGGGGATTGGTCCGTTCCTAATGATGCTATAGGGTTGAGAGTAGGCAAGTACGAAACATCCCTTCCTTCTCTTTCGTACTTTTGCCTACTCTCAACCTTCTAGCATCATTAGGAACGGACCAATCTCCTCTCCAAATCCATACTTCCGCCTCGCGACACCCTGTATTAATAACTGGAAAACCCTAATGAGATTATTGGAGATAACAGAGCTTCGGGATTTAAAAAAGTCACCTGTTATATATCTTGTCGTACTATACAGGTTGGCCCAGAACTCACGCCCCACCGGGAATGTCTGATGGAGACGACAATGGAGGTGCCAAAACTGCAGTCGAAGGCAGGAAAAAGTTATTCCTTTGGTAAATAAAGAGGTTCAAAATTTTTAAACCTTGTTAAACCTCTTTACTTACCGAAGGAAAAACTTTTTCCTACCTTCGACTGCAGTTTTGGTATCTCCATTGTCGTCTCCGTCAGACGTTTCCCGGTGGGGCGTGAGTCCTGGGCCACCCTGTATAGTACGACAAGATATATAACAGGTGACTTTTTTAAATCCGAAGCTCTGTTATCTCCAATAATCTCATTAGGGTTTACTAGAGTTATTATACAGGGTCGTGAGCGTCGAACCCATGAATTTGAATAGGGGACTGGTCCTTTCCTGACGATGCTAGAGGGTTGAGAGTAGGTAAAAGTACGAAAGAGAAGGAAGGGATGTTTCGTACTTGCCTACTCTCAACCCTATAGCATCATTAGGAACGGACCAATCCCCTATTCAGATCCAACCGTCCGCCGCGCGACACCCTGTAAAATAACTGGAAAATCCTAATGAGATTATTGGAGATAACAGAGCTTAGGATTTAAAAAACTCACCTGTTATATTTCTGGTCTTACTACACAGGGTGGCCCAGAACTCACGCCCCACCGGGAAATGTCTGACGGAGATGACAATGGAGATGCCAAAACTGCAGTCGAATGCAGGAAAAAGTTATTCCTTTGGTAAATAAAGAGATTTAAAGATTTTGAACCTCTTTATTTACCAAAGGAATACCTTATTCCTGCCTACGACTGCACTGTAGGCATCTCCAACGTCGTCTCCAAAGGCATTCCCCGGTTTGGGCTTGACTTCTACCCCACCCTCTATCTCACATCCTACTCCTATCTCCACTAATCAACACACACCCGCGCCTCGATATAACAAAAAAAAAAGCTACTCAGCAAACCGACTTCGATTCCCCTCCATCTTCTCATTTAACATTCGCCTCTATTCCGGCGCCGACGGCGTTGCCTCCTCGAGTATCGCGCCTCGCCGATTTCGAACGAATCTGGCCGGCCAACAAGGGATTGATGGCGTACAACCAATCGTGCACCTCCTTCTCGTGCAACGTCTGCAACAAATACCTCCTGCGTTTGCTGGCCACGCTGAAGGTGTTCTTCGCCGGCGCCGTCCCCGATTCCTCCTGTTCGGTGTACTCCACCTGCGCCGTCGCCAGATTGATCAGCGCCCTCTCCACCGGGTCCTTTTCGTCGCGGAAGATGAACACGTAGGGTCGTCGTACCGACTGAAACAAACGATTTTAAATTAAACCCAATAGAGAGAAATAAAATATATAGAATTGGCGATGAATACTTCCTTGTTTAACGACCTATTTTGATGGCCATGCGCTTTAAAAGTGCATTCTAAAGCCGGCAACATCGCCTGCTAGAGCTTTGCCGGCTCTACAATGCACTCTCAAAGCGCCTTAAACAAGGCACTATTCATCGCCCCGGGCGATGTTATCGAACAAAAAAAAAAAAAACTTACCACCCAGCGTTTCTTCCATCCCATCGTCTTGTGCTCGAGCACGTTGAGGTAGCCCTTGCGCGCGATGACCGGCGAGATGCGGATCTCCTCCATGTCGGGCACGTAGAGGACGAGCTCGGGATCGCGCGGTCCGGCGGCGGCCGGCGAGGGCGGCAACGAAGACGGGAACGGGGCGGCGGCGGTGGCGACGCCGCGCTCCGGCGAACAGAGCTCCATCGAATTGTCGTTGGACATCGCGCTCGAAGAGACCATTTCGCTCGTCTCGTCCGACGGGCTCGACGCTTCGTCGTCCTTGCGCCCGCCGGTGTTGTCGCGGTGCCTGCCTTGGATGAGCCGGATGCAGCGCAACATGAGGTCGCGTTCGTCTTCCGAATACTCCTCGTTGTTACCTAAAAACGTTAATTTTGATTAGATAACTCTCTAAAAAAGATTTAGCTCTAGAGCTGCTCACCTATGACGTTCACGTTGTTGTTTTTGGCCACCATGTTGCTCGCCTCCTTCTCGTTCTTGGTGTAGTCCAATTGGTATTTGTTGTAGTTGCTCGTTCTGTCCAATCCCAAGCGTTCTCTGAGCAGTAGCGTGTGCCTGACTCGTTCGACTTCCTCGAGGCGCGTCAATTTCTCCAGTTCCCATTGGTGGTCGAAGATTAAGGAATCGCCTCTGGGTCGCCAACCGTGCAGGTTCTCTTCGCCTCGAACGTAGGTGGTGCTCGTGTCCAAGACGCGCCTCTGCCGTCTCTGCACGCCTAAAAATAATACAAACAATCTACTATAGTAGATAGTCTCAACAAGACTATCTACAATGTGTCTAAGGTCGAGCGCTACATTCGTCTCTCATTCGATACTCTCTTACTACTGTTTGCAGCGCTCGATCTTGGACACACTGTATGGGAAATCCACAGGCGTATGGAGGAAGAAGAAGAAAAAGTTAAGAGGTCGAAAACTACCTGCTTCGCTGGCGCGTCGCAACAGCAACTCGTAGACGCCCGATAGACGATTGGCCTCGGCGTTTCTGTAGCTACCGGAGAAGAGATGCTTCAACGATCTGGGTCCCGTCCTGGCGTCCCTTCCGTATATCACCAAGCTCAGGTCCTTCGTTATGATGGCCGGTCGACCGCAATTCTCCAACTATAAAAAAAATACATCTCGTTCTATTACAATACACGATTTACCAAAGACATTGGCTTGTATTCTTTCACCCATTTTTAACTCTAAAGTCGCGTCTTTAACTTGACAGATTTCCAATTGGTTGTTACCCTATAAAGTAATTATAGGGACTCGAGACGCTACTTTAGAGTCACTCTAAACCTATACAAAGGCGTTGAATACGACCAAATATCTTTGCCATTTAGGCTACAAAAAAAAAAAAACTATCAGTAACTCACCTCCAAATAGGCGGATATCGTCATGAATATCTGCTCCCCTTGTGCCGTGACGCGATTCAACAACGGCGAATTGTGCAACGAGCTGTCCCAGGCCGCCTCGAACCGGAACATGACGCGATTATCGTCGCCCGGTATCTCCAAATACTCGCCGGGAAAGAGGCCCAACGACAACACCGAACTGTCCTCGTCCTCGTCCTCCTCCGATTCCGGCGTATTTCTGATCCTGCCCACCACCAGTTCGCGCACGTCCCGCCATCTGATCTCCGACGCCGGATCGTGCACGATCGTTATGCGAATGCGACGTTGTATACCCTAACAAATAGACACAACACTGTAATGCCCGATTTCTACGATATATCTCGGCTCAAGCACCGATGCCTCTAGTGGGTCCCGTTGTGGTTATTTATATATCTCACCTGGTGCAGGAGAAACAGTCCTCTGCAGGGCAACTCGTCGCTGTGCTCCACCACAGCGGGTACGTACTCCCCGTTGGGGGCCAATTCGCAGATCTCGAACCAGACGAGCACGTCGGCTTTGGCGTGCACGTGGGCGGTACACGGCGACGGCAGTGCGCCGAATTTCGTCGAACGCACCGGCTGCGAGATGGGTATCGACGGGGGCAGCATCCGGCGCGGCGGTTGCCGCAAATTGCCGCCCTCCAGTTTGGCGTCTTTGTGCAGCGGATGTTGCTGGTAGTGGCCGAACACCTCGAATACGATCGGCTGGCTTTTGATGTACTCGACGAAGGATTTCGTCGATGTCACCGTTATCTAAGATACCGATGGATTAATAAGATGCATCCAATTAACGGAGTAACTACTAAAACAAGGTTAGACGCTGGATCAACGCGTAATTACCGGTGATTGGTCAGCTTTTTTATTTTACCCAATAGATGCGAATGAGCTTGATGATCACGAGTCTAACCTTGTTTTGGTTACTCCGTTGGTTGGATGGATGTAGTGGAGTGTTGTAGGTGTGTTGGCTTACGTTTTGAACGTGGTAGAAACCTAGAGGTGTGCCTTTTCCCGTATTCTTCACCGGTTCGGTGGAGAAAGCTTCGTCGTGTCTATGGAGGAAACTACACAAAAAAAACAAATCCAATTAGCTACTTACTAGTAAAATTATTACAAACACGCAAACGTACTTGAATTGACAAAACACATCGGCGTATTCCTGCGATATCCCGACAGCTTGAAGTACCGTTACTCTAAAAGTAAACTCTTTACCGATCGACAAATGCTCCGGTACATCCTCCTCTTTGACATCCGACGAAACCGAGCTATCGCCTCGTCCCGAATCGGCATCGCATTCGATCAACTCGTCCAATTTGATCGGATCGACGACGACGACATCGCGACCGTGTCGATCGTCCGCATTCCTCGCGTTGTTCCTGTCCAAAACGCCCTTCGGCGAACCCTCGAAGGCGATCCTGGCGCTCTGCCTGACGCCCACTTGATCAGCGTTGTCCTCATCCACTACAGCCTGTACAGCCACCTTCAGATACCCTCGAACGTCGCCCTTTTCGCTCACCACCGCCACCTTGTGTATCAACGTGACGGGATAGAGCAAATTGCTCAAATAGACGAACCCTCTACCGACCATCCGGAACCATGGGAATCTATCGTAGAACGGATCGCCGCCGCCCGTCAACGCTTCGACGTTGTAATCGGGCGACGTCGGCGACGCCGCCTCCGCCTCGTTGTGGTACATCTCGCGCATCAGCTCCAAACGTTGGCGCAATTTGTCCAACGACCAATAGTGCGTGGCGCCGTTCTTGGCGTCCTGCACCTCGACGGCGACCAGCGTCTTGGGCGTCGACGAGGCGTCGTCGTCGCGATCGTAGTCGTGGGGCGGCGGGGGGCGCAGATCGACGGGCAACGGGGAGTAGAGGGTGTCCGTCAGCAGGGTGAATTGGAACTGGACCTGCGGCAATACAAGATCGATAAGCTATTGTAGAAGATCGATGGTGAAAAGGCCTGCAAGGTATAGTACCGATGGGGGGGATCTATAAGACCCAAATGGGACCTTTAGTAGAGGATCGAAGGGATTTATAAAGGCAGTAGGACCAACAATGGGACCTGTAGCACCTGGATAGTATTGGATTTATAGCACCATTACCATTTAGTAGAGCCATCAATAGGACCAAACTAGGATCTAGAGTAGAACGATTGTTTGTGAATATGTATGTATAGTTAATGTACCTTTTTCTTGAGTTCGACGGAGATGGCGTTGGCCTCTTTGAGGAAGATGGCGTTGCCCCAGAGATCGTCGCGGAGCGATGTGAATTGATGGTGTTTCCATTTTCGCCAAGCCAAGGCGGCCAATTCGAATTCTTTTTCGGTCCAGTTGCACTCTGCGTCAAATAGAGGGTTCACTGCAAAAGCGCTCTCGTATATACAGGGTGTTGATTAATTGTATGTCGATACTTCGGGATGTGAATGTTTGGATGATTTTAAGAAGAAAAGTTTATATCGATGTGTGTCCTAAACCTTTTTTTTTTCAAACATATTCAGTTGAAACCCCGTACGGACGACACTGGTGAAAATTTTAAAAAATCTTACGTCTCAAAAAATGCTCCTTAATAATTAAAAAGTGTATACAAAATTTCATAAAAATATCTGGAGTAATAAGAAAATTATGATAAAAAAGTTATTTTCTTTAATACCCTGTAGCTCGAAAACTAAGAGGTTTAGAACATAAATTGATATACACTTTTCTTCATAAAATCATCCAAAAATTCACATCCCGAAATATCGGCATACAATTAATTAACACCCTGTATATATATTTGCAAAGCGGTTTCGTTTCGTTTAAAGCGCGTGCTGTGTATAATGAAACTATGAAAATAAACAAAAAAAAAACGATACGAATCCAGCTCTATATAAATCTGTTAGTTTAATACTAGAGAATAAATATTGTTAGTTTTTTTTTCCTTACCGAATATATCGTCGTCATTATTAAAATCTTCCGGAGTGTAAGAGCTATACATCGACATCGTCATGCTTTGTTCTTCGACTTGCTTTTGCAACGCGTCGATTCTCGCTTCGTAATTCTACGAACAAAAAAAAACATTATATTATCGTCACCCATTAACGATTGCGTTTATCTTATAATAAAAAATTTACATGGCGATTCTATCGGTCCATATTCAGCGCCTCGCTTTAAACTTAAACGCGACTTTAAAGTGAGTCGATTTAACCTAAACAAAGTCCTTAGTTACTCCATAACAATCAATGTAAATCTGTCAATTTAGAAAAGTTTTGATTAATTAAGGTTAAAGAGAGGGCGCTGAATAATGACAAATAAATCAATTTTCATTCTCTCTATCTCAGAACTCGCTTATCAGAATTACCTTTCTCTGTTCCTCGAACAACTGATCGGCGGTCTCCTTCTCTTTGCGATACTGCTCCTCCAACGTGACCAGTTTCTTTTCCATCTCCGCCTTGAGATCGACCCCTTGCTTTTCGAGCAACTCGATTTGGGCGAAGTTCCAATCGACGTGCTCCGACGTCGCCATGTTCTTGTCGCGCAATTCGCGCGCCTCGTCGGGATGCGTGAAACGGAACACGTGGTTTTTGCCGAGTATCACGCGCGAGGCGGTTTTCAATTGTATCGGCTCGGTTATCTGGGGAATTTTTCAAATTTTGAAGTTTGTTTTGGTCTATTAGAATAGTAGAGATAAACGAATTAGATGTGTGCAGGAACGTTTGGATTACTTCCGGATGAATTAGAAGTGTCCAAAAACGTTTAGATTACTTCTGGACGATCTAGAACTGTTCAGAACTCGCGAGGGGGGTTTTCAGCTGCACCGGCTCGGTTATCTGTGGAATTTTTCGATTAGTAGTTCTTGGTATATCGAAAATAGTATGAGTAAGATTAGTATGGATACAGAGCGGCCTGTTTACGAATCAGAAGTTTACTGAATTAGAAGTGTGCAGAATCGTTTAGATTACTTCTGGACGATTTAGAACTGTTTAGAACCCGCGAGGGGGGTTTTCAATTGTACCGGCTCGGTTATCTGGGGAATTTTTCGATTTAAGTTTGTTTTGGTCTATTAGAATAGTAGAGATAAGATTAGTATGGATACAGAGCGGCCTGTTCGAATCGTTTAAATCGCTTTAGGATGAATTATAACTGTTCAGAAACATTTAAATTGCTTCAGGATGAATTAGAACTATCCAAAAACGTTTAGATTACTTCTGGACGATTTAGAACTGTCCCGAAACATTTTAAATCGCTTCAGCAAGAATTAGAACCGTCCAAAATCATTCAGATTCCTTCTGGACGATTTAGAACCGCCCAGAAACATTTAAATCGTTTCAGGACGAATTAAAAGCGTCCAGAATTTTCATTAATTGCTTTGATTAATTAATTAATTAATACCTCTCTGCCGTTAACGTAAATTAACGCCCCGTTGACCGGTACTAGAGTCACTCGATTGTCCTTGTTCTCGAAAACGCAGTGTTCTGGTTTGATGTGGGAGCCGCACAATTGGATGTCCTGCGGCGTATTCGCCTGATCCGAGCCTATTCGAGTCAAACCCTCCTTTAAAAACAAAAAAAATATATAAATAAAAATATATACAGTGTGTTTCTAAACATCGTGTAAAGGGGGTGATTTTTTTGGCTTATTTTATCACTAAAAGTTCATCTAAACGTTTTTTAGAGTTCCTGCAGTTGAGTTATTTAGCTAAAATGAGGTATAGAATAAAAAGTAAAGAGTATAATTTCAGTTTCTAAACAAAACAGACAATTCATTTTGTATTTTAGAATCTACCAACGGCGCACAGAACAAAAAAGTTCGGAGAGAAAAACCGGGTACTAGACTCTTGAAAAAATATCACCCTGTAGAATTCAACAACCATTTGACACATACCAAAAATTGTGTGCCCTATAAAGCAATCTAGATTCAAAATTTGAGCTAAATATCTCAAAAACTGCAGGAGCTACAATGAAGAAAAATCAAACAAAAAATCTTGAAATTTCAACACTCGGACTAAATGAACTTTTAAATGAACTTTTTTTTAAACAAATAAATGCATTTTTACACATTTAAATGTAGTTTTTTTTACAATCTAAAAAAAGTGTCTTACTTTGATGTAGTAAATCAGACATTCGGACATGAAAGGGTCCTCGTTCAAATTCACCAAATGCGGAGTGCATTTCGGCGAAAATACGCCCACGGTGATGCCGTCCTCTTTCACGGCCACCCCCATTTCCGCGAACACCGCCTCTCTTTGTATCCGAATGGCTTCGGTCCGTTTCAGTTTCTCCTCCCATGTTTCGTTCAATTCTACACAAAAAAAAAACACCATATAAATCAAATACAGATCGCTTCGATTCGGAACGCGACATAAAATGGCCGCGTTTCTATGAATCGAACAAAGACAGACGAATAAAATGACAGTTGTCAAAGTGCCAAAGTTGCAATCACACAAATCACTCACTCTTTCTTTTTCTTTTATAAAGTGTCTAATTGAAGTTGTCTTTATCGCACTTATAGCCTACACACTGTGATTCATTCGCGATTGCAACATGGGCATTTCTATGAGTCGAACAAAGACAGATGAATAAAATGACAGCTGTCAAAGTTGCAATCACACAAATCAGTCACTCTTTCTTTTTCTTTTATAAAGTGTCTAATGGAAGTTGTCTTTATCGAACCCATGCGATCAAAAATGGAGCAACCTGTATATGCGGAAGTAAAAAAAGAAAGTTTTTAGGAGTACCTGCGATGAGTTTCTCGCTGGCCTGCAGCTGATCGACGGCCTCCTCGGCCAAGGAGGTGGATTGCGAACGGGCCCGTTCGATTTGTTCCTTGTTGTTCCTCGATAGAGCATTGTCGCCGACGATTCCTGCGAGAACGAAATCGATTTTTATTTTTCGAAAAAAACGATCGCCCGACGTTTCGATGCGACGCAAGCACGATCCTATATATATTTCTAAGGTCCGGAAACATGGTTGATCGAAAAAAAGTGTTCCGTTATTTGACGATAAAACGGGGTTCGTAAAATGGCCGCTAGCAGGCGATGTTGTAAACGACCACTGTTTTTATATAAACAAACTAAAAAATAGATAGAAAATACAAAAATATACCTTAATCAGCGATGATTTTGTTGTTAACATCACGCCTCACGTATTTTCGGTTAATTTTAATTCTCCATTTTCTCATCGAAATGTCAAATAATAATTTTTTGACACTTTTGACAGCTCGAACTGTCATTTCACAACAACCGCGATTTAAACGAAGCGCGACGCTGATTGATTGAGATAAATTGCTCCATGAGGCGCAAAAGCGAAACTCAAAAAGTTTTCAAATAACGGGACACATTCTCTAATGCACATAAGCATAGGGAGATTCCAGTCCTTAGAAATATAGGACCGTGAATTCAAGCGAATAAGCGATATAAGGCGCGGGGACACCTATCAAGTAACTAAATTTAGTTACTTGATTTAGTAAACTCGCTTTAGCTACTTGATAGGTGTCCCCGCGCTTGTACTGTACGATGGTAGCCCCGTCGAAATGGACCGAAAGATAAAATGGTTCAAGAGATCGCTTCGGGATAAATTAGAACAGTCCAGGATGGTTTAGAACTGCCTAGCCTACGATGAATACGAACGTTTCCGAACGATTCGGAGCTGCTTTGAACGATTTAGAACTGTCCGGAATCGTTTAGATCGCTCCAGGACGAAGTAGAACTGTCCCGAATGAAATTTTACGGATTGTATATTATTGAAAAAAAAAATGTAGAAACTCGGCATATCTAATACATATAACCGTTTGCGTTTCGGGCTATATTTCGTGTTGTTTGGACTCCATTTCGACGGGCCACGCTGTATATATAATATATAGTATGTACTCCTAAAATTTCGATTAACACATTCTTTTGACAGGCCACATCGGTGCTAAAAACAAATTACATAGATCAACGAAAAAAAAAAAAAAAAGAAAAGTCAATCGAGTTCGTTGATGGGAACATTATGAACTAAATAAATTCGGGTATTTTTCCTCGACGAACTCGAACAGGCTGAATGGGGGTGCCAGAAGCCATTTTATTTTTTTATATCGAGATATTAGAATACTTACTGGTCGGCTCCCGTTTCTCGTAAATAACTTTACCGTCCGGGCCTGCGTAAATGGATTCAAACAAATTCACCGTCAGCGTACTTTGGTAATTCAACCGTGTACAGCACAAGTACAAGGCCACGTAGTTACTCCGCTGACATTTTATTATTATTATTATTATTTATTATCGGTACTATTATACTATAGGTACTAACACAATCGTGCCAGAGTAACTAGGTATTTATGTATAGGTAGATTTAGATTCATACATAACACCGTGTGACACAATTTTTCTAATACAAATAATATTACTGGAATTATATTGAATCACTTATTTATGTTATTGGAACCGGTTAAAATTAATTAGGACGATTTAGAGCTGTCCGGAATCATTTAGGTTGCTTCAGGACGAATTAGAATTGTTAAGAACCATTTAGAACATTCTATAGAATGAATTGAAACTGGCTAAAACTAATTAGAACAATTTGGAGCTATCCTAAATCATTTAGATTGCTTCAGGATGAATCAGAATTGTCGAGAACCATTTAGAACTCTCTAGAATGATGTACAATTATCCATAATGAATTAGAACTGTGTAGAACTAAGTAGAACTAGGCAGAGAGCAATTTAGAACTATCCAGAACCATTTAGATTGCTTCAGGGTGAATCAGAATTGTCGAGAACCATTTAGAACTCTCTAGAATGATGTACAATTATCCATAATGAATTAGAACTGTGTAGAACTAAGTAGAACTAGGCAGAGAGTAATATAGAACTGTCCAGAAATATTTAGACCGCTTCAGGACGAATCAGACGTATCGAGAACCATTTAGAACTGTCCAGAATGAATTGGAACTGTCTAGAACTAAGTAGAATCATTTAGAGCAACTTAGAACGGCCCAGAATCATTTAGATTGCTTCAGGACGAATCAGACTTATCGAAAACCACTTAGAATTGTCCAGAATGATTTAAAACTAATTAGAACTAGATAGAGAGCAATTTAGAACTGTCCAGAATGAATTAAAACTGTCTAGAACTACATAGAGCAACGTAGAACTACCCGGAATCATTTAGACCCCTTCACAATCCTCCCTAACACCCGAACCAACCACCAACCCGACTTTATACAGTATTAAAAAAAACCTGTCACTTTAGCGTCATCGAAAAACAATAATCTCATCGAAGAAAACAACAAAAAACCAACAACAAACAACACCGAAAGCCTCTCTCACCTTCGTGCACCTCGATGCCCTCCTGTTTGAGCAGCTCCCTCAATTTCAGTATCTCCTCTTTGAGCTCCCGTATGAGCTTAGCGTTGGCGTCCTCGTTCACGATGGCCTTGCACACGATCTGCTTCGCTCTATCGGCGTATCTTTTGAGTAACAGAAGAGTTAGATTAGATTTAGCTAGAGGTGTTAGAAGAGTTAGAGCTAGAGAACTAGCCAGTCATTGAAGTTAAACAGGTAAGATTATGGAGTTTTAAAGCGTTTAAGTTTACCTCAAAGTCGATAGAGTTTCGTCGTAGTTTATATCGGCTGGCGAAATGGCCGCTATCATGGCGGTTTTGCTGTTACCGCCCAAATTCTCCCTCAACAACCACGTGAGGACCGAGTCCCTGTACGGTATGAAATCGGCCTTCTTCGATTTCTTGTTTTTCGAAGCCTACGAAACGAAATTTGTTCGTCAAAACGAGAGCCTACGATCCGAAAAAAGGAATACAAAAATCAACTTACCGACTTCGCGACGGCGAAAAGAAGCAAAAAACAAGCAACAAAGTTAATAACAAAATACTATACTCTAACAAATAAATCGACTTACGATCTCCGCTAGAGCAGATATGACTTTCCCTAAGGTGGTGAGGCTCTTGTTGATGTTGGCGCCCTCTTTCAAGCGGGTGCCCTTCGCTCCGGTCGAATCTGCTCGTTCCGAACCGGCCAAATCAACTAACGAGATTTTGGAGACCTTCTCCGTGGTCAGTTGAGTGATTTCGTCGAGCCTGCAAAGCCAGAAATCATTCGAAACCTAAACTTCGAAATGTCAGAAACAGGAGAATAAGATGAAGAGAATAGGAGGTTGGATAGGACAGGAGAATAGAAGGCTACAAAGAACAGGTAAAGAGAATATCAGGATAACAGAAGACCAACAAGAAAGAACAGGGGAATAGAATGTTTAGAAGATTTGCTTTAGATACTCTCAGGAATATAAGACTAGAAGGAACAAGTAAACAAAGTATTAAGAGAATAAAACACCAGAAGTAAGAAAGAACAGGAGAACAGAATATTAGGAGAACCTAATTTGCTTTATATACTCTCAGAAACAGAAGACTAAAAGGAACAAACAAACAGACTATCAGGAGGACAGAATACCAGGAAAACAGGAGACTAGAAAAAAAAAAACAGGAGACCAGAAAAATCACGAAGAAAATAGAGACTTTTTGAGACCAAATTGAGATAAATCCCAACGTACAATTTTCGAAAAAAACCCTGTAAACAGTACCTTTGTTGCGTGAAAAATATGGTAAAAACGGCGTGCGATCTCGAACTGGTCTCGTTCATATTCGTAGCAGCCACTGTTCTGGCCTTGTTCCCTTCGTCGATCAGATCGTGTATATCCTGGTAACTCATCACCGCCAATTTGCTCAAATCCTCCACGTAGGGCCCCAACAACGGGTGTTCTCTCACTCGTAGATTACCTACATTTACAATTCAAAAAACAATATATATAATAGTTACACTGCAATTAGTAATTGAAAGCCTACAGAGGACAAAACGACAATGGTCCAGTTTCTTTTGCAATACTAAATTCACAGTTTAATGAAATCGTTAAATGGTAACAGTATAAAAAAGATAAAAGATACTTTTAAGCTGACATCTTAATGTTTCTCTCGATAATCTTTCGATATGAACTATTGTCGTTCTTCTTCTGTACCCTTCAATTAAGTACTAGAACTGTACCTTTGTTTTTGGGATTGAGCAGATCCCTGACGCGTTCGCAGTAGATCTCCATGTAGCTAACTTCGACAGAATATTTGAGATCCGGCGAGCAATTGTCGCGTATCCTGGCGAACAAATCCTGACACACCTGCGGTATGATGCCCTCCTGGCCGTCCTCCTGCTTGCCCATCATCGTGTAGGACTTGCCGGCGCCCGTTTGACCGTAGGCGAAGATGCAAACGTTGTAACCGTCGAAGGAGTGCTGCAACATCTCCTCGCCGATGTCCTTGTAGACGAGCAGCTGCGACGAGAACGCCGGATCGGTTTCCTGGAATATTTTTTACATCCACATGATGGAGCTTTAGAACATTTCGCTGGTGTAGATACACTTACGTCGTGCGACCAGTAGGAGTAGTCGAAGTTGAAGCTTTTTTGAGCGTCTTTGGAGTTTTGCTCCACTTTGGGGTTCGTTATGGCTGGGTAAAGAACAATTTGTATGATATATATCGATATTGTATGGTTCTAATTCTATCACCTGTGGTGTTGCCGCTCATTTGGATGATGCATTTGCATTCTCTCGCTATTTCTCGATTGTTGAACGGTCGAACTCTAACGGCCACTTTTACCGACGACATCTTTGTTTGTAATTCAATTCTGCAAGAGGATTGTAACGGTTGGTTTAGTGGTGTTTCTACATCGTATCGATTGCTTATAGGGGGATACAAATATAGGGAAGAGTGGAATGAAAAAAACGGTAAATATAATTTAATATTTAATGTGATTTGTGAGGTCGGGGCGTTTCGAATTATTCCTCTCGGGCGGAAAACGCCTCTTGAAATATTCAACATTTCCTTACATAATAAAAGTTGATCTTGAATTAGTGGATGGATGGATGGAAAAAGGGGATCTTGAAGTAGGAAGACTAGAATAGACTATACTAAAAGACTAGAGGGAACAAGTTAACAGAATATCAGGAGAACAGAAGAATCAGGAGAATAGAAAATCGAGAGAATCTAACTTGGTTTAGATACTTTCAGGAACAGGAGAATACAAGACTAGAATGAACAAGTAAACAGAATATCAGGAGAACAGAAAACCAGCAAGAAGAATCAGGAGAATAGAATATCGGGAGAATCTTACTTAGTTTAGATACTCTCAGTAACTGGAGAATACAATATTATAACAAACAAGTAAACAAAGTATTAGGAGAATAGAAGACCAACAAGAAAGAACAGGAGAACAGAATATTAGGAGATTTCGTTTAGATACTTTCAGGAATAGAAGACTAGAAGGAGGAAACAAACAGACTATCAGGAAGACAGCTAAATAGGAAAACAGGAGAACAGAAAAATCACGAAGAAAATAAAGAGACTTTTTAAGCACAAACTAAACGTGAATCTAACTTGGTTTAAATTTAGATACTCTCAGAAATAGAAGACTAAAAGGAACAAGCAAACAGACTATCAGGAGAGAACAGAAGAGTCAGCAAAAAAAAAACCAGGAGAACATAGAATATCAGAAGAACCTAACGTAGATAATACTGTCTTTGGTAATTTTCTACTAAAGGTGTTATCAAACTTCCATTCGCAGTTTTCCTGGACCTTTGGCGATTCGAAAATAAAAAAAATGGCGAAGGAAATTACCGGCACGACATCGACATCCAGCATGAATATCGTCACGCGATTTATTTTTTACGTCCGAAACGGCGAAGAAAGTTTTTTTTTATTTCGTAAACAATATGGATCCTCGCGTAGGTTTCGCAGCTTTTCGTTTTGCTCCAATTTTATCTCACTATATTGCGAATAAATCGATAACGAACTGTAGTAAATAATTGCGACGTGATTCCGGATAGAAGCATAATGTAATGATTATTTGTTTTTTGTGTTGTTTGTTTATAGAAAAAGTATTGTTTTTACAGAACGAGTAAATGTTTCCTTAAATCGATACAAGACTGGTGTATTATTCATTTTATTTCGACCTTTCACGTAGGTACTCATGTAACAACCAGATTTTTTTTATTAGTTTTATTACAATCCAACAGTCGTGTATACAGAGATTTTTATGGACTCCAAAGAGACGTTTTTATTATTTTTTATACCAACCAAATAAATATTATATAACGTTAGTAGAATATAAGAAAATCGTACACATTTAATTGCTAAAAAAATAAAACAAACCAAACAAATTACGCCCTACAATTACCGCATTAGTCACCGTCGTAGCTGCGCGAAAAAATCAAAATCCTCCTCCAGGACAACAACAAAAACCAACAAGCACAACTTTAAACTTACCCTTTAAGTTTCTCGCGATTAACAAACAAACTTTACATCGCAAAAATCACATAATCTTCCATTCGAAGATTCGAATGGCGAAGAAAAAAAGAAACGCCTTGCGCGAGGGGGGCGCTCGCGAATTCGTTTCGAAACGGGGGGACGTTCGCGTGACGTCTGAAGAGGTCCCGCGAAAGAAGAACGGGAGGCGTCGCGACGCGCCGATTCGACGCCGAGGCACGTGATCGAATCGATAGGCGCTTGCTCTTTCGCAAAAAGGAGGATGCTATATGGGTATTATATAGGAGCCTGGTGGAATCGATAAAATGTTGTATGTAAGGAAAATTTTTCGAATTGTTAGATGATCGGGAACATTGGGGGAGTCCCGCAGGTCGTGTACAATATAAAAAAAAAACGACAGAGTATTTACAATCGAAGAGAACTAACTGTAAAGACTATTATACTATACAATCAATGGAAAATTGTAGAGTAAGTGGGCCATATAGGGTGTTTTTGAATTAATTGAATGCCGATACTTCAGGATGTGAATATTTGGATGATTTTAAGAAGAAAAGTTTATATCAATGTATGTCCTAAACCTCTTAGTTTTCGAGCTACAGGGTATTAAAGAAAATAACTTTTTTATCATAATTTTCTTATTACTCCAGGTATTTTTATGAAATTTTGTATACACTTTTTAATTATTAAGAAGCATTTTTTGAGACGTAAGATTTTATTAAATTTTCACCAGTGTCGTCCGTACGGGGTTTGAACTGAATATGTTTGAAAAAAAAAATGGTACACCACTGGTTTTTCTAAAAACTAAAATTATTTTTAAAATCCTCATTTATTTTGTAGCAAATTCGTCCATAAGACTTATTTTCGTACGACGCACCATTTTCGCGTTTGGTTTTTCTCCATGATCGAGACCTTTTAAATCATCAGGAAGATGTGAGGGAGTCCCAGAGTTTATTTATGATAGTTAGAGGTCTTTTTTCTGTAGTCTCTAAATATGAAATAAATGGGGAATACACCGAGAAAAGAGAGGCTTTGTTCACAGGAGATTAAACCGGTTTTTTATAGTGTAATAGGGATCTTAACAAATAAACTTGTTAAGATAATTGAATCAATTGTTCTAAATTATGAATTCAAAATATTCCTTCATACATTTTTGCAATTTCTACACAAACCTCTTAGGAAACACCCTGTATAACGAATTCATACACTACTCACGTATAGTCTCTCCAATGTCAATTACAAAATGGTATAATATACAGGGTATTAATTAATCGAAAACCGAGCTTCGGAGAACATACCTTTATACAAACTTTTCCACTCAAAATTACCCCAAAAATAACCCGTTAAAATCAATACATCGCATTAATTACACCGTTTCATCTCGACTGCATTTGATTGACTTCGAAAAGACTACCCACTTCCGAATGTAACATGATTTTTTACATCGAACAAATCGGAAAAAGGGATTCCGATAAACTTTCCCACCCCCATAGTGAGTCATATTGCCGCCCAACGCCCACGTCACCGACACCGGATACGACCCTGTGGTGTGGGGGTTGCGTAAAAATCAATGGTCTTGACCTAGCTTCAACCTCTGTGCATTAAATTATTCCGATACGAATATAAGATATTACCTCTAGTAGGCTTTGGATGATTGACAAACGACAGGAGAGATTAAACGGATTTTCTCAAGACGGCCACGAAAAAACTATAATTTGAATTCGAACATTTAAACTGCATTTTAATCGATGATTGATTTCATTATAACGCGGCGTTATAAACGAAATTGTTGTTGGTACGAAACTTACGAGCGTTAAGTAGGATAATTTGATGAGAAAATCGACTTACCCTTTTTGTTTTCTTCGGGGAAAAATCCTTTATTTCATCGCTGGTAACAACACTTGTGACATTTTAAAAGAAAATCGATCCTCTACTTGCGCACTGAACACAAGGCCTTTTCCGCGTCCAGATCCGAACTCCGCGGGTTTTCCGACGATGGCGATGAATAAATAAATAGCGATGCATTTTTTGGTACAAACATTATGATTTACGCTAAATGTTTGCAATAGTTTCTATAAATTATTGAAAATACTGTACCGGAATGATGAGTAATACACAAAATTTTAAAATTAATACTTGGTTATGTTGTGGGTTGACAGTTGACAGTTTCTTCTTTTTTTTTCGTAATATAAAAAAAAATGGTGTCGACTAATCAAGTTATTCAACACCCCTTAGATTCAAATTTAAACATCACGATTTACGCTAAATGTTTGTAATAGTTTCTTATAAATAATAGAAAACACTACCAGAATGATGAATAATACACAAAATTTAATACTAGATTATGTTGGTTTGTTTTTTGACAGTTGACGGTTTCTTCTTTTTTTTCTCTGTCAAAAAATGGTCTCGACTAATCAACTTTTTATTAAATCAAATCGTGCATATTTACATTATTTATTTAAATAAAATTACTCCAAATTGAAACGAGCGAATAATAAAAACCGACCAACAAATCAAAAAATATTTACATTGAGAAAAACGAAAACCCGAAGAATCATCCTAAAAAAAAAAAGAAAAACAGTTGGATCGTGTATGAATAACTATTTCTAATAACATCTTTTTTGCAGATTTATCGATCTAAAAAGCAAAAATGTTTGTTGTAAATTCACTATACTATCACACTAATTACAAGCGGACTGTTTCTGTTTCAAGACTGCTTGTACGCATTTAGCCATTGTGGGTGAAGCTCGACTAATCGAATCAGTCATATAATAATCCTGCAGTTCCTTAATTTTCACATCTATTGGCTTACAATCTATAGCGGATTCGGTTTTCTACAAAAAAATAACAACAAATCGATTAAAAAATACAACAAATGTCCCGAATTCTACGAGTAAAACGAAGAAAACTTACCTTGGACAATTCCGCGGCCTGCTTGAAATAATTAGCGCTCTCGGCGTTGCCGTATCGCGTCAGATGCGGCGCGATTTCGTCCAATCGATCCCTAATCTGATTCAAATTATCGTAGGGCAACTTGGCCCCGACGATCTCCGACAGAGCCCTAATAATCTTCCAATCCTCCCGTGCCCTGCCCGGCGGCGAAACGGCCACCAAAGTCTGCTGGGCCCTGCCCTCCGTGTTCACGTAGGTGGCCTGTTTCTCGGTGTACGCAGCCCCCGGTAGAACGGCGTCCGCTATGGCGGCCCCTCGATCACCGTGATGCCCTTTTATCATCACAAAAAATATGTATTTATAACGCGAAATTTACAATAACACCCACCTTGGTAGATAACGAAACAATCCTTCGGTAAATCCTCTTTGTTGATGTGATCCCCATCGGCTCCGAGCAGGTAGAGCACCTTCAAATCGGCGCTCTTGATTTTATCGATGCCCGGATTGTAGCCGATATCCAAAGCGGCCACCTACGATTTACAAACGACAGTTACATATGTCACTTGTCTCTGTGATGGTCTCTTACTTGACTGGCGACTTTGTGCAGCACGTTGAGCACCTTCCAATCCTCGTTCGAATTCAATTTGGTGGATAGATTTTGAACGGTCGAAAGTAAAGCGCCGCCATCTTTTCTTTCCAACAATTCAGCGCCGATTATGATTAAAGGTTTTTTAGCGCGTTTTAATTTATCAGCGAATTCGTGGTCTCCTTCGTTGATTTTCCGCAATACATTCGGATCGTCTCCTAAATGTTCGTAGTGATAAGTCAAATCCACTTGAGGTCCAATCAAAGCCACCTACAACAAGAAGCACCCCGTTTATAAATATCATTCGAAGCTTCGATTAGATTTATTACATCGGTTTCGTTGTGCACCCAAGCCTTGCGCAGCCTGGCGTTCAACAAGGGGGCCTCGAATCGGGGATTCGTGCCGACCAACAAGACGAGATCGGCCTCTTCCACAGCGGCGATTTTGTTGTTCAGCAAATAGCTCGATCTGAGATCGGTGCCGGATCCGTCGAGCGGGAACGTTCGTTCCGTGCAGAGGTGCTCCGAGCCCAATCGGTTGAGGAGGTCTTTCAGGGCGATCAGGGCTTCGGCGTCGGCGAATCCGCCGGCTATCGCTCCGATGCTGTTGCCTAAAAAAAACCGGTTTTTCTTAGTATTTTTTTTTATACATTCAGGGTAGAGTGGATTCAAAGTAGAGTAGATTCAGAACAGAGTAGATCCAAAGATTAGATTACAAAGTTTTCTAAAAAAAATCATTCCCCATTATTAACTGAAAATCCCCGTTTCTAATTCGATTAAACGCCATTCTCCATTCCAGCGTTGTAGATTTAAAGTGAAGAGTAGATTCAGAGTAGAAGAGAGAAGATTTCGACTAGTAGATTCGAAGAATAGATTTAAAATAGTGTAGATTTAGAGTAGATTCAGAACAGAGTAGATCCAAAGATTAGATTACAAAGTTTTCTAAAAAAATCATTCACCATTATTAACTCAAAATCACCGTTTCTAATTCGATTAAACGCCATTCTCCGTTCCAGCAGTGCAGATTTAAACTGAACAGCAGATTCAGAGTAAAAGAAAGAAGGTTTAGACTAATAGATTCGAAGAATAGATTTAAAATAGTGTAGATTCAGAACAGAGTAGATCCAAAGATTAGATTACAAAGTTTTCTAAAAAAATCATTCAAGTAGAATAGATTCAAAGTAGAATAGATTCAAAGTAAAATTGATTCAGAGTAAAATAGATTCAGAATTGAGTAGATTCGGAGTGAAATAAATTCAGAGTAGAGTAGATTCAAAGTAGAATAGATTCAAAGTAAAGAGATTCAAAGTAGAGTTGATTCAAAATAGAATAGATTCAGAGTAAAAAAAATACAAAATAGAGTAAATTCAAAGTAGTAAGTGACTTTACACGTCACCTGTCAAAATTTTCAAATTTAAAACTGCCATATTTCCTAAACCATCGAATATTTCCAGCAACCGAAAACCGCTTCGAGTTCTAATAACTCATTTCTATTCATATAACCGGTTACCATTTCGCAACCGGTTTACTGACCTGCATGTTTCACAACCTTCGCGACCGTTATCAAAGCCGCTTCCCAATCAACCGGATTCAAATCTCCATTGTTATCTCTCAACATCGGAGTCACCAGTCTCTGTCTTTTCAATCCATCGTAAGCGAATCGAGACTTATCGGCCAACCTACGGATATTACATATTTCAATCTAATATTTTTAAAACGACATTTACATACCATTCTTCGTTAATTTCCTCGTTAACCCTCGGCACGATCCGCATCACTTCCCCCGTTCGAGTCGACACGATGATATTCGAACCGACAGCGTCCAACACATCGATCGAATCCACTTTACGAATCTCCCAAGGCCTGGCTGTGAAACTATAAGGTTTACTCGTCAGCGCCCCGACCGGACACAAATCGATGATATTCCCCGACAACTCCGACATGAACAACTTCTCGATATAAGTACCCACTTGCATGTCGTTACCTCTCCCCGTGGTGCCCAAATCGTTGATACCGGCCACCTCGGAGGCGAACCGAATGCACCGGGTGCAATGGATGCATCGAGTCATGATGGTTTTCACCAAAGGACCGATGTCTTTGTCTTCCACGGCTCGTTTGCCGGAGAAATCGATGTCGGTGAAACGCGACCGGTCCGAGCCGAAGGCCATGCTCTGGTCCTGCAAATCGCACTCGCCACCTTGATCGCATATCGGACAGTCCAACGGGTGGTTGACCAGCAGGAACTCCATGATGCCTTCTCGGGCCTTTCGAGTCATCTCCGAGTCGGTTTTGACCCGCCAACCTGCAACGAATCGGGTTAGATGGGAGTGATCGATTTACTTTCGGGGTACCTTTCATGACGGGCATGGCGCAGGCGGCGACGGGTTTCGGGGATTTTTCCACCTCGACGAGGCACATGCGGCAGTTCCCGGCGACCGCCAGGCGCTCGTGGTAGCAGAAGCGGGGGATTTCGACGCCCACCATGGCGGCTGCTTGGAGTACGGTCGTACCGGGTTCCACCAATACTGGTTTATCGTCGATGAATACTTCGATTTTGTCGGGTTTCTTCTGGTCGCTTTGGTAGCGCGAGGCGACGGAGAGACAGGTCGGGCTCGATTTGGCCCCGTTTAGGGCCCGCGAAACGGTCAGGCGCAGCATATCTAAAACTAACAACCGAGTAAAATTACATAATATATGCTAAAATGGGACGTTCGTGACATAGAACGAGTAAATGTGCGGTAGATTGGACCTACTGGTGAAATCTGTATCGATTGCTAATTTAATAGATACCTCTATGTTTGTACTGGAGTTATTAATAAAATTTATTAATCAAAAAGACATTTCTTTCATAAATATAAATAAAGGTTAGAATGGTTGACGTTGACGTTTGGCGGAAACGTCAAAATAAAGTGACATGTGACTGTAGCTATTTGCAGTAAATTAACCGGCGGTGTTGCCAGGTTTCACGAATACGTGAATTGGCTGGATGCTGTATTTTGTCAGAGGCCGCGTACTAGATTAAGAAGTATTACTTTCTTTCTCTATTCTCTACTATGGATTTATTTTATTTAGTTTGATATTCAAATTTAATAATCATTTTATGTGGAAAGTTTCGACTGGTTAAATCATAAGATAAGATCAAATTTCGTTGTTTCATTAATCTATCACGATGGGAAAAGCTGGTTTGGGCCCCGTAGATCCCAGCTCTTATTCAAGACCAGGTAACTACATAATTTACAAATATTCCCAAACATTTCTCTATTTTCGCTCTTTTAGATCTCGCTCTGGTAAAAGATATAGCTCTAAATCTATCAGTTAGTTTCGAGAAGAAAATTCTATCAGGAAACGTTATCTTATCCGTCAGTAAAACTGATTCTGCGATCGATGAACTGGTAAGAATACTAAAGGAATAATTATAACTCGAGCTTTATTATGCTTCTAACATTTCCAGGTATTGGATACATTTAAACTAAACATATCGGGAGTATTCGATAACGACAATCAGCAGAAACTCGAGCACCGATTGTTCGATCATCTACACGAATTCGGATCGAAATTGATCGTAAAACTACCCAAAACGAACTCAAACGAGTAAGCAATTCAGCCACATCCTCAAAACCTCATTAATTATTATCCAATTTATAGATTCAAAATTCGCATCGAATACGAAACGAGCCCCGACGCCAGCGGCCTACAATGGATCGAACCCGAAGCCACCGCAGGCAAGAAACATCCATTTTTATTCAGCCAATTCGAGGTAAATCAAATACATTCTAAAATTTACATTTAATCGATATTATTACACTTTCTAGCCCACTCACGCGAGATCCGTTTTACCCTGCCAGGATACACCCACCGTTAAACAAACCTACACCGCATTAGTAAGTATTTAGTACACCCCTCGTATATTATATTAAATATACTTTTTATTCAAAACAGATAACATTTCCCAAAGAACTAACAGCCCTAATGTCGGCGATCGGGGGCGATGTTACACCATCGAAAAACAACACGAAACAAGCCCGGTTTACTCAGAAAGTCCCGGTGCCTTCGTATCTCGTCGCCCTGGCTGTGGGCGCGCTGGAATCGAGGCGATTGGGGCCCCGGTGCAGCGTGTGGGCCGAGCCGGAGCTGATCGAAGACTGCGCCTACGAATTCGCCGATACCGAACACCAGCTGAAGACGGCCGAGGAGATTTGCGGGCCCTACGTGTGGGGCGTCTACGATTTGCTGGTGTTGCCTCCGAGCTTCCCGTTCGGCGGAATGGAGAATCCTTGTTTGACTTTCGTTACTCCTACTTTACTGGTATATGGTAGATCGAATGAGTTATAGTGGAGGGTTTTAATGGGGTGTTTTTTTTTTTTTAAGGCAGGTGATAGATCTTTGGCGAATGTGGTGGCTCACGAGATAGCCCACAGTTGGACCGGGAATTTGATAACGAATAAGACCTTTGAGCATTTTTGGTTGAACGAAGGTTTCACCGTGTTCACCGAGAGGAAGATCAAAGGTCGATTGGAGTCGGCGCAATCGCAGGATTTCGACGCTTATACCAGCATTAGCGAGTTAAAAGAATGCGTAAATTATAGAAATAATTCAATTTGTAATTGTTTATTATCGATAGTAAATTGTAGGTTGAGAGAATCGGTACGGATAGTCCTTTAACTCAGTTAGTGGTGGATTTGAAAGGGGTGCATCCGGATGAAGCTTTTTCTACGATTCCATACGAAAAAGGCCACACTTTTCTTAGATATTTGGAGAATTTAGTAGGAGGAACAGGTAATAAACGATCGATTCACTTATAGACTGTTAAGAAGAGCCCATTTTATAATTCCAGATGTATTCGAACCATTCCTTCGAACCTACTTCGAAACGTTCAAATACAAATCGATCGATACGGACGATTTCAAAGCGTTCTTCAACGATTACTTCAAAAATATCCCGGCGATTTCGTCGATTGATTGGGAAACTTGGCTGTTTTCGCCCGGAATGCCGCCGGTGATACCCGAATATGATACATCTCTAGCGATCGAATGCGACGAATTGTTAGAGAAATTCCTGAAATGGAACGGTCAGGGCGCCATTCCGATCACCGAGGGCGATAAAAATGTATTGAGCACCAATCAGATTATCTATTTCTTGCAAAAAATGCTCGACGCCGACGAGCAGAGCGTCGATAAACTGAAGAATTTGAACGATTTGTTCGGTTTCGATGGGGTTCGAAATTCCGAGATAAAATTCAGGTGGTTGAGGATTTGCTTGAAAGCCAAATGGGCGGATAAAGTACAGGATGTGGTCGATTGGATAAACGTGGTGGGTAGGATGAAGTTCGTGAGGCCTTTGTACAGGGACTTGTTCCAATGGGATGTCACCAAAAGCAAAGCTGTTGAGAATTTTAAGGCTAATAGGAGGAATATGATGCATGTTACTGCCTATGTTTTGGCCAAGGATTTGAAACTTGAACAGTAATTTAATCGGTGGTCCTTTTCAACTCTAATCGATCGTTTAGAGACTCCTTAAGCGATTGTTTGGAGTTAGGAGCGCGAAATTTGTATTAACTAAAGGGAAACATGGGGATTTTCGAAGTTATTTTATTATATACTATATTACATTAGAATTAGATTGATTTTTCACAATTTACTCTTGTTTTTTAGCAAAAAATTCATCACTTTCTGCGAGAATTCCTCCGAATCGGCGCACTCCCTTAACGCATCCATTTCGATTTTATTCGCTTTTTTCAAAACCTCCTCGAAATGCCTCATTATAATCCTTTTATTCCTTCTAGTATTCTCCAACGATAAATTACCTAACTCGTGTAATTCATCGATGAATTGGGGCAATTCGTTTTGTGGTACAATTCTCGACACGAGCCCCGCTTGTAGAGCCTCTCGGGCAGTTAATTTCCTACCTAAAAAAATCATCTCCGAGGCCATCGATCGGCCCAAAATAAAGGGGAAATTGTAGCTGGAGGCTCCTTCGGCGCATAAACCCAATCCGAGGAACGGGGTATGAAATGTGGCTGTATCGCTACAATAAACTATATCGCACAACGTCAACAAAGTGGCTCCGATACCGATAGCCGGACCGTTTACGACGCTTATCAATAATTTGGGGTAGTCGATTAGGGCTTCGATCATGTCCGATACGATTCGGAAGTTGTCCTGGGACCCCGCCGTTTCGAACGAGCTCTTCAAATCGTTACCGCTGGTGAAATAGTCACCCGATCCGGTGAGAATCGTGACGACTACTTGATTGTTATCGGAGTCTTCGTTTAGTATTTTCGTTATGGCTTTGTATACTTGGTCGTTGAAGGCGTTTTTTACTTTCGGGCGATTTATTTTGATGGTTCTCACTCGATTTTTTAAGGATGTCAGCACCACGGCCATGATTTCGCTAAAAATTGTTCAAGTTTAAAGTTCGAAATAATCTACATTTGGAAAGTGTTTATTTTTTTTTTTAATTAGTTGTCAATTGTCAAAAGTTTGCCGGCCTTGTACAAAAGTGACATTCAGTTCGACTGGTCTGGAATACTTTTTAATTATTGCGAAAGTTTAGTGGGTTTCAGTTAAATGTTTGATCTTTTGTCGTACGAACGATCCATAGAGCATACTTTCAAATTTCTATCCATTTATAACATTTGTAGACAAGTAACGTGACATATCAAGACAGAAGTTTCCAGACCTTGGTTATGTAAGACCGTAATTGACATTTGACAGCCATTGAGTTTCTTCTTATTCTTCTCTGTTACATGGCCTCTTGCGTTGTATCGCATCCGGCCAGAGCCATTGAGTTTCTTCTTTTATTAGCGAATAAATAAAAAAGAAGAAGTTTGTAGGTTAGTGATTCTTGTCAAACATATACCTATTATGCGTTTTTTTTTCAATAAACTCTACAAAAGTTTTGCGTTTTTTTTTCAATAAATTCGAGAAAAGTTTTGCGTTTTTTTTTTCAATAAATTCGAGAAAAGTTTTGCGTTTTTTTTTCAATAAATTCGAGAAAAGTTTTGCGTTTTTTTTTCAATAAATTCGAGAAAAGTTTTGCGTTTTTTTTTCAATAAATTCGAGAAAAGTTTTGCGTTTTTTTTTCAATAAATTCGAGAAAAGTTTTGCGTTTTTTTTTTCAATAAATTCGAGAAAAGTTTTGCGTTTTTTTTTCAATAAACTCGACAAAAGTTTTGCGTTTTTTTCCAATAAACTCGACAAAAGTTTTGCGTTTTTTTTTTCAATAAATTCGAGAAAAGTTTTGCGTTTTTTTTTCAATAAATTCGAGAAAAGTTTTGCGTTTTTTTTTTCAATAAACTCGACAAAAGTTTTGCGTTTTTTTTTCAATAAACTCGACAAAAGTTTTGCGTTTTTTTTTCAATAAATTCGAGAAAAGTTTTGCGTTTTTTTTTCAATAAACTCTACAAAACTTTTAGCATTTGACTTTCTCATCATTTCTACTATAAAACAATAATAATGTCCAAAATGATAAATTTCATCCAGGACTTTCCGTAGAAGTACCTCTCTCCATATAATAAATATCTCCTCTGTTACTAGACTTCCTTCCATATTCTCCTTGCCTAATAATCGAAATTAATCAATGGAGATCTACGAAAACTTGTGCTCAAATCTCGAAATAAAACGTGAATTTGAAATTTCGTATTAGGAGAATAGAATGTGCGAGGAGGTTTACTTCTGACGCTTATTAATCGCGCTCCTGTTCGATTACAAATACGTACAAAGGCAACCATTTAATCAAATTTCGGTAATTCTGGTTGCCTATCTATTGTATTAGTAAAGCGCGAGTAATAAGTATCAGGAGTAAACCTCTTCACACATTCTGCTCTCCTAATACGAATTCTTAAATTCACGTTTTATCGTGAGATTTTCATACGTTTGACACAAACTACTCGAACTCCTAATATTTGTTTCTCCCGATCTTTTTGCTTTAATAGCTCCATATTTTTACAAATTGCGTTGAAACAGTTTTGCGTTTTTTTAATGAACGAAAAATACTAAGAATTCTAAAATCAGGATTAAGGATGCCATAAACAATTTTTAATATTCTATTTTCGTATCATTTTTGTAATAAAGAATTATTAATAATGCCCAAAATGTTAAATTATCTTTGAAAATGTGTTTTCAAGAACGACGAAACATTTAGAATATTTATTAACGCATCAGGATTCATCCAGGACCTTCCCTAGACGTATCTCTCTCGATATACTAAATATCTCCCTATATTGAACTTCCTTGCATATTCTCACTGCCTAATATCCGAAATTTATCAATGGAGATCGACGAAAACTTGTGCTCAAATCTCGAAATTAAACGTGAATTTGAAATTTCGTATTAGGAGAGCAGAATGTGTGAAGAGGTTTACTCCTGATACTTATTACTCGCGCTTTACTAATACAATAGATAGGCAACCAGAATTACCGGAAATCGATTAAACGGTTGCCTTTGTACGTATTTCTTCTTCTCTGTTACATGGCCTCTGTTTGTGACGTATTTATAATCGAACAGGTCCCTCTTAAAAAAAGAAGAATCAATGAGAAGTTGTCAACTGTCAGTTGAGTTCGGAGTGGGGCGGAGATTGGAGATTTGCGGTGCTAGCTGACCAACGTGAAGTTTGCTCCTGGCATTTTTTCAAATTTCGCCTCGATTACCGTGTATTCGCGGGATTTACACGATTTGCGGTGAGTTAATTAACCCTTTTTTTAGTCGTCGACGTTCGATTCGATAATATCGCGATTACGCAATGCGTTATAAATTTAATGGGTCATGGTTTCGATAAATTTACGTAGGGGTTGGAGGGTTGGATAGGTTTTGGATGTGACCCAAAACATGCGCAAACGCGTCGATTCCACTGAATTCGTAGGGTAGTTATTTTCGTAAAATTCATCGAGATAAACGCTTTAATAAACTGGTACAGTAGCCTTTTTTATTTATTAATAAAATACATTATTAACCTAGTAAGTAATTGTACTTTTCTACTATTGCTACTATTCTAAATTAAACGTTTTTTGTATTTTTTATTTATTGATTAAATTCCTTAATTTTTTTATTGCAAGAGTATGCGTTGCAAAGCTACTCGATTTTAATTTACTTTTAAGAAATACTAGTAGGCTTCAAATATCAAATTTCAACTAATCTATTTTACTACACAAGGTCATTACAAATAAATCATTTCTATTACATTTCAGATACCATGAACAAGTTCCTTCGACCATCACTATTCCTGCTCCTCTGCTGCTCGTTGTGCCCCGTACAATCGAACAACCATTCGACTACTACTCCCAACAACAATGAAACAACAACTGTCAGTACAACAACCGTTCCATCGAGTAGATTAGAAACGAACAACAAGACGACCGGAGACGACAAGAAGAGCAACAACGGAAGCGTCGGGAGCTCCGTGCACCATCACATACTCGACGTTTTCTTGACCCACGGCCATTTGGCAGCCAATGGCAGTGTAAAGGATAAGGAAGAGGCCGCCGTGACCGAGAAAACCAATAAAAGGTGATTGAAAAACGTTACTATTCGGTATTGCAGCCACGCTGAACTTGTATTGAACGGAGAGGGTGCATTCGAATCATTTCTACACAATCTATGTAGTGTATTTTAACCATTAATTTCGTGATTTTTAGCGACGAAAACGTGGGACTACAAGATGTTATCGATATGATAGTGAATCATACTCACAACTCTGTCGGATTGAATAAGAATTTTAGCGAAGAGGGTTGCACAACGCCCGCCATTAAACAGGTAAATGATTTCTCTAGTCTAGAAGAAGCAGAACTGAACAGAAGGGACCGATTTTGTTTGTCTTTTTTGCAGTTTCCCCATCCGATAATGAGCGAGAATACGAGGAAACACGGGGGACTTCTAATACACGTGATTGTAGCCATTTATATGTTCATCGGATTGGCCATCGTTTGTGACGAATATTTCGTCGCTTCGTTGGATCGAATTTGCGAAGGTATATCCGAAAATTACACTAAATAAACCAAAGATAAAGGGCCACGCTTAATTTACACAGCAAAGCTAATATTGTAGAGACAAGTAAACTGTGTCTCTACATTTCTACATCTTTACATGTTAATTCATTCGTTAATTTTCGAATTATAATCTCGTTATTAATAGTTTTATTTTTTTGGTATCGTTTGCAGAATTGAAATTGGCACCGGACGTGGCTGGTGCGACTTTCATGGCGGCCGGAAGTTCCGCCCCCGAATTGGCGACCGTCATCATTGGAGTTTTCCTGGCCAAAGACGATATAGGTAAAAGACCACAAAAAAGCCTTCAACGTAGAGTAGACCCTGCGAAGTAACTGAGAGGCTTTCAAATGTTATTTGAGAGTATTTTACGGCCTCTTGTACGCGGACGTCCAGTCAAAAAGCTCCTTTACGCATCCAGGACTGGATTTAGATGAAGATAGAAGTCCTATTCAAAGAGCTTGAGATCCTATTCAAAGAGATAGAGGTCCTATTCAAAGAGATAGAGGCCCTAATCAAAGAAATACCTTCGTTATTACAATAAATACACTAATCTCCATTCTTCTTTTGCAGGAATCTCCGGCGTAATCGGCTCGGCTGTCTTCAACATAATGTTCGTTATAGCCTGTTGCGGCCTCTGCTCGGGGGCCGTGGTCTACTTAAATTGGTGGCCCCTCATTCGAGACAGCTTCTTCTACGCCCTGTCCATTCTAGTCATGCTGGTGGTCATCTTCGACAAGAAGATATCCTGGTGAGAGAACATAAAAGAGATGCCCCCCAAACAAACCTATTTACCAAGAGAAATACATGTTATAACAGAACATGTCCTAAAGAGATAAATAAGTATCTGTACATAGGCCCGGTAATATTGCACGAAATATCTCGAAACTGATAAACAGAACTACCGAAATCATCCAAATTAATTAAAATATTTTGTTCGAAACATTAGGGTGGAATCGCTGTGCATGCTGATCACCTATCTGGTCTACTGCGTGGTGTTGCATTTCAACACGCCGTTGGAGAGATGGGCCCAAACGTGGCCTGTACCATTCAAGGTCGTACCGCAGCCCACCGAACAATCCGGTTTGGTCAGTTACCGGACGCTCGACGACGAGAACAAACGGCCTTCGTACGGCGTGGACCAACAGCCAGGGGGCGGTTACGGGGACGGGATGCATCAGGAGGACCAGCAGCAACAGAACGTGGACTATTCGGATCCCTGTGAGTTTGGTGATATGTACAGGGTGGGGCTCGGAATTCGTGTCTCACTGGGAAAGGTTTTGTGGGAGCGATAATGGAGATGGGGAAAGTGCAGTCGAAGGATAGGAAAAAGTTGTTCGTTTGGTGAATGAGGTTTAAAGTTGGCCAATCTCAGTGGTCAAAAGTGGTTCTGAATTGCTACTGGGATTGGTCGATTTTTAAACCTCTTTATTTACCAAATGAAGAACTTTTTTATGTGTTTGGCTGCAGTTTTGGCATCTCCATTGTCGTTTCCATAAGGCATTTTCCGATGGGGCGTGAGTTCTGGGCCATCTTGTATATAGGATGTCCGAATAGTATGGAAACGGTCGATTTTGACTTAAATTTGCAAGAAAATTGACCGTTTTCTTACTTTTTTGGCCACCCTGTATGTCCTAGACGTTTGTCGAGTACTTGTACGAATTGTAAAAAGGGAAATCTTGCACTCTGTATGTTCGTAGATATACAGGGTGTTGAAGTTGAAGCAAAGAAGATCGATCGAGTAGAGTGAATAAGAACGAATTGTTTGTACAAAGTATCTAATGATGCATCAATTTTGTTGTAGCTATGAATAACTTCGGAATGGCTTGGTCGCCGGAAAAGTACCAAAACAGTAAGTTAAACAAATCGTAAAATTCTACTAACATAGAAGCTATTTCATAGTATCGCTAGTTTTGCGCTAGAAACGTGTATATTGTGTAGATTTCGCCGGTGATTTAAGCGGTCCCGATTTGAATCGCTTCGAACCGGAACCAGCCAGTATCGGTACCGCTAATGCCGGTAGTACCGTCGCTGTAAACCAACCGACTGTAACCAGACCGGTCCAACCGGAGTACTACAAACCGAAGGAATATGATCCAGCAGCTCATCCTAATCCCCTCATCAAACCCGGTAGGTTGTATTTACCGAGTAGAGTAGATCTTATGGTAGATACAGTGTGTCCCGAAAAGTTGTATATACAAATGGGTACAAAAATTTGAATCTGAATCTTCTCTTGTCCTATTTGTATACAACTGTTTGGGACATACTGTATAAGTGGTACTATTGTTATAATGATTTTTGATGTGTTGTAGAGAACGCGAATTGGATGAAGATCGGTTTTTGGGGAATGGTGTATCCGATTCATTGGATGTGCAGGAAAACCATGCCGGATTGCAGGAGTGAAAAATACAGGAATTGGTATCCGTTCACGTTCTTCGTTTCGATGGTGTGGATTTCGTTCTATTCGTATTTTATGGTGTGGATGATCACCATTATCGGTAAACCGGAGTTAGAATTTCGTCAGTTTTTAAATTCAATTCTTTTGCCTGCAATATGAAAAGATAAAAGTAGGGTTTTAAAAATAGTCGTTAAAGTGCTCTAAAAGTATCCCGGTGCATTAGAAATGCCTTATTTCATATTACCTGCCCTTAAAAAAATGCAAATTATCTAAACCAATATTTTCCCCATTTAAAAATACCCTTTTCAACGTATTTTCAAGGTTACACTCTGGGAATTCCCGACACCGTTATGGGACTAACATTCGTCGCAGCAGGCGTATCCGTTCCGGACGCTCTATCCAGCGTTGCCGTCATCAAAGAAGGGTGAGTTTCTTATCCATTTATATCGGCAACACCTCTTTTATTTTTCTTAATCGTAACGCCAACGTATTTAAGATGCGTTCGATGGTACATTAACGTCAAAATTGACGTTAATGACAGAAATTTAATAGAGGTGGGAGTGTAGAGATGCAGTAACTACTGTTACAAAATAACCGTTATTTTTAAGTTACGGCGACATGGCTGTTTCGAATGCGGTGGGAAGCAACGTGTTCGACATATTGATATGCCTGGGACTCCCGTGGTTCATAAAAACGGCCATCATAAAACCGGGCAGTACGGTGAAAGTTATAAGCAAAGGTAAAAGCTAGAAAATCGCGATTTAATTTTTGTATTTCTCTCTTTTTTTTGCCATTAGGTTTGACATATTCGACGCTTTCTTTGTTATCGACGGTGGCGTTCCTGGTGGTGGCGATTCACATGAACGGTTGGAAATTAGACAGAAGATTTGGCGCCATGTTGATGGTTTGGTATGTGTTGTTTATAATATTCGCCAGTTTGTACGAATTGAATGTGTTCGGGTATATGAACCCCCCCGAATGCCAGATCGATTGGTAAAAGAAAAAAACGAAGCTTTTTATTGGTTTTTTTTGAGCAATGGGAAGTTTCGAGCGTTCCAAAAAATTTATTTATTGATTCGTCTTCCCCTTCATTCGATGTGTATTCGATTATTTTATTTTTCGTAGAACATTTGAGGAAATAGTTTGAGCTTAGGAAATAAATTTGCAAACTCCTCGGATACATCGAACTTTACGGGTTGTTTCTATTTCTTGTTATTTTTATTTTCTCTCCGAGAAATTAATATTGTTTAAAAGTAGCGAAAATGACAAAAAAAAGAGTATTTATACATAGAATAAGTATTAAATGAAACGCTTGACAATAAAATATAGCTTTACGCTTCGTTGGAGTTTTAGATGGTAAGTTCGAAGTCACAAATTTAATTGTTTTCTTTTTAATTAAATGTTAATTGTTGTGAGTTATAATTAAAATAGTCAATTTTAATCAATGACAGTCGTCAGGTCAATTTGACACGAGAAATGTATTAATCATATTTATTTTGTGAATCAAATTAAGTCAATTTGAAAATGTACTTTTATTGACAGTCGTCAATTTTGATCGATTTTTAGTCAATTTAAAATCGCTAAAAACGGTTTATAAAATCTAGTCAATTTAGTATTTAATTATGAATCTCAACATTTTATTATCGTGATATTTATTTTACTCCCAATTTAATTTATTCAGTATTACTACATAATATGTTGTATCTTCCGAGAAAATGTTATCTATTTTATAGATGTTTAGCAAAAGTTCCTTAATCGTTATTATACTCTATATAATTTATTTTCTATTAATTTTATACATTATATTCTATCTATTAATCATTGAAATTGTGAAATGTCGATGGGAAAAAATCTCAGCGAGTTTTCCCATCGAAATTTCCCGGACTTAGTGTGTTGTTGTTGTTGTTGTTTTCCCCCCCGACTATTTTTGTGGTATAAAATAAAAAGTAGCACCAAAAGACGTGTTTAAACACGTTCCATTTTAAAAAGTGTTTAAGCACGAGGAAAGGAAGACGTCGCACTCGTTGTAATTATAATTGTTGTGTAATTGTAGTTTACCCATTAAAAAAATTATGTACATGTACTTATTTAGTCGAAAAATAAAGTTAATAAAAAAGTATAGTTTTTGATTGGAATCAAACGCGAAGACATTTTATCATAATATATTTCACAATAGATCTTCACAGTCTCACAATAATATTATATTCATTGTAAAGATTTGTTTTCATTTCAAATACAACAACATAAATAATCAGTACAACGAAAATTATCGAATTAAACGTTTGCAAATGTCGAGAAAAAGCTGCGCAAAAGGAATATGAGATGTTGGAATAAACGAAGAGGAAAAAAAATATCAATTTATTAAATCATATACGAACAGATATGTGCCGATGAGATTTTTTTTCTCTTGTATATTCCAACGACTCTGTATGGCAATTTTACTTAATAATTAATTAAAAATTAATTTCATTTGAATGGTATCGCAACTTTTCTTGAAACTACTACAAGTTTTTTTTTGATTAAATTTAAATCGAAACTACTCGAGCAATCTATCCGAATAGAGTACCTTTTCAAATTTCAATATATTCCATATTTCCACCAAACAACAAAAAAATACTACCGTCTTTGTACTTTCAGTGTACGATCTGTTTAAATCGAAGAGAAAACTTTGCTATTTTTTTCCACTTTTATTGACTAACAAATCGCAGTTTATAAATTTAACGAAACCCATAGGCAAGAGATACTATTTCATATTCGATTGCAGAATTGTCCTGATTAAAATTATCTATTGTAGTTAAGGGATAATTTAGCAAGTTAATATTTTAGGAGACAATTCTGCATTGCGAAATAATGAACTTTCGATTAAAAAAAATAATAAACTCTTAAAAAAACAACTACAATAAAAAAATAACAAATCTGGAAATAGTTTAAAAAAATCACTTTGAATATAAAAAAGAGCTATCGTGAGGTAATATAACTATGTTTTTTCATATTTTTTTTTTGTTTCGTTAAAACGCGTTTGTTTAATATTCGCCTACTTGTATAAGATGGTTTTTTAACCTTTAATCGTTTTTTTTTTGTTTAACTATATCCTAATTTATTTAAATAAAATAAAAATAATAATAATAAGAGAGAAAACGAATCACTTATTACGATTTACAAATCACAAATAAACCGGAAATTTAATTAAAACATTTTTTTCTTCGACACGTTGACAACAAATTGACGTATCACAAATTTTATTAAATGAGACGTCACAACAATGCAGACGCCATTTTGACATCGACAATTGACGTATCACAGCATATATGACGTATAATACGTCAAAAAAATTTCCGTTTCGCGTTCGTTTAAATTGTGAATTGTAAACGAAAAAAAAAAAAACAATAAAAATCGATTAATCACTCCAACGTAAATTAAGGACTAGAATTAGAAAATAAAAAATACATACATCGCGCGTACCGACGTTTCTTCTTTTTTTTTCCCCATTGTTGTTCCGTAAATAAGAGAGTGAGTGAGAGAGAGAGAGAGAGAAAAATTATAACGACAACAATTTCGATTTTCCTATTATCTAAAAACGAAAAAATTTGTTGGTTTTTTTCGAAAAAATTCGCCCCGTCTACCAGAAGGTGTAACCACCGTCCGAGCCGCCCGCCAAGAAGGTGTTCTTTTTCTGACCGAGCGCCACCTGGTGGCCGGCCATGGCGGCCAATTGGGCGGCGGAGGGCGGCACGCCCGGCGGCGCCGGCGGCAACACAGGTTGCCCGATGCCGTCGAAACGGGCGCCGGCATCGTAACCATTCTACAAAAATAAATAATATATTTATACGCAAAAGTAGTGGTTGATTAACATTGACAGTTTGAGTTGTGACTTTAAGTTGCGTACGATGGTACAAAAAAACGTAAACAACACAACGAACTGTCAAAAAAAAAACTGACACTAGTAGTGACGTTTTCGATTAATAGAGTTGGAAGTCGATTGATTAGTGTAGAGGTGTCGGAACTGTCGTTACAAAATAACAGTTATTTTTCGATTCGAATAATTTAAATGCAATTACTTACTGGTATCATAATGGTAGGCCTGAGTTGTGCAGGTTGCATGGCGTACGAATAGGCACCTAACGAAGGATAATACTGCATTGGGGCGTATGTAGGGTAGCCTAAATATGTTGGATAACCAGCCGCTGCTGCTGCATACATTGTACCAGGAGGGTACATCTGGATTAACAAAACAATAAATAATTTATTTACATTCTTATTCATAATCGTCTAATTAAAATGATGCTAAAACACCACTAGTAAGAGGCCACTAACATCATACTAACAAGCCACTAAAGTTTCCTATTCATAGTCGCATATTTCTTTCCTGCTAGTTAAAATATTGCTATATAGCAGAAAAATGAATGTGGCAACAACAGAAATAACTTTATGTAAAATTTTATTTTATATTGGGGATTTTTGTTATGTTAAAAAGCCAGGAAAGTCGCTCAATTTCAAGCACTTGTTGACTGTTTTAAATTATGTTTAAAAGTAACTTTAACACCCCTTTGTAACACCACTAAGAAATTTAGTAGGCTACCAACAAAAATAACATCTTAGTAGCCACTAAATCGAACTAAAAATACGATTTTTTAGTGAGATGTTAGTAGTGTGTTAGTAGTCACTAAATAAACTTGTTTGTAGTTAATTATTTAATTTCTAAGAGGTAGAGGGAAGTGGAATAGGGTAGAAAAAGAGTAGAATAAAGTAAAAATGGCTTACATGTTGTCCTACGATGGCAGCCGGATGGGTCATAGCTTGATCGTAAGTGGGGGGCGGAGCGCCCTGCGGATAAATCTGCGCCTGTCCGGGAATCACATAGGGATTACCACCGGGAATTCCGGGCATCACTGCAAAAAAATTAAAAAAAAAACGCTTATTAATGAGTAATAACTCGCGAGTATGGGGAAGAGTCAGATACTTTTGGATGTCAGACTACAAAATGGTAAAAACGTGTTTTTTTGGGTTTAAGGGATGAGCACTAAAATTTGGCATTAACTACTTTAAAAGCACTAAAATCATTGAAAAATTAGAGATCAAAATCGTTTCCCTATTTAAATGTATTTTTTCTATGCTTAACTGTTTTTCTATTGACTCTAGTGACAGGGAGACCGATTTTGACCATTTTTAGTCAACAACGATATATTTTGCATTATTGCAACAAATCCAGCGGGTGAATCGAGTTCAAATTTTACCCGTGTCTTCAGAAAATATCGCATTTGGTAATGCAAAATTTTTCTTAAGCATTTATTCGTCTAATTTTCTTTTATAACCATCCTAAAGTTTCCGCCCATAAGAGCTCATGTAATTTCAGACGATTTTACTATTTATTTACTCCTATACCGTCGAGGCAAATTCAATCAAATTTACAGGGGTGGTTTTAAACGCCGTTTTTTACAAAATATATATTTTTTTGAATTTTTTCGACCCGACCTCCTTAAGGGGGCGGCGATTTTACCTCCGTAAGGCTGACTGGTGGGCATCGGCGGGTTGCCCTGCGGCGGCGGTTGCGGCGTGTAGGAGGGTCCGTTGGCGGGTGTGGGGCCGGCGCCGCCCAATGCTGTAAATCCAACAAGAAAAACGCAACGGTTTATATACAAATTTACAAAGAGGAATGATCGAGTAAATAGATGCAAAACCAAACTCTCAAACAAAACATTGAAAATGAAAAGAAAACACGAAAGAGATGAGGAAAAACAAAAAAACGGTTTTGAGGTTACTGGGTGAGTGAGATTGTTATACGAAAGGAAATAAAATTGGTAAGATATGAGTAAAAAAGATAGGGGAGAGAACGATTGGCGCAGCGATTTGGCAAGTTTTTTGGATTAATTATGCCGAAATAAAGCGAAAATGAAGAATACAATTTTGCGATATTTCGCTTCGTTTTTGAGATATGGATGCTTCAAGTTTTTACCAAAAAATTCTTCATTTTCTCTTTATAAGCCAAATCGCGGCGCCTCGGAAATGTTGCCAAAAGAAATGTGTAAATTGTGTAAAAAAAGTTACTAAATACGATCCTATTTCGGGGCGTTTGGCGTTTCGTTTACTCTATTTGATATTAATATTAATTTATATTTTTTTTGTAGTGGAGTAAAAAATTAAAACGCCCCGAGATGCGATCGAAAATAATTTATCTGGTGATCGGTTTCGATAATAGACACCGAAAAATACGATTTTTTTGTATGAATATAAACATATCTACCTAGCTAAATTTACTATAATTTTATATACGTAAAAGAAAAAGTATAAAAATAGAAAATTCGTTCTTATTATTCATATAGAGAAGTTCTTATTTATATTCATGTTGATAAGTAATAGGATTAGACGTGCAAATTTCGTGGGCTCAAAGATTTATTTATGCTCCAAAAAACCCGTTTAGAGAAACATTCGTATGTACAGTAATTTCGTATACAGCCAAATAAATCTTCAAATAAACCATGCAAAATGATAAATAAAATAAAATAAAATCAATAAAAAGTTAAAAACAATTTTTGTATTATTTTCAACTTTTTTTTCGAGTGTGTTTTATCGAAATAATATATTCGCATGCAAGTAAATTATTTATAATTTTATTTAACGCGTAATTCTATCCAATTTAGTGACGGAAAATTATAATTGTAATATAACAAAAAAAAATAGAAAAATAAAATGGAAAATAACGTAAAGAAAATCCGATTTTAATTTTGTTCGTAAAATGTTCATAAAATATCAAATAAATAAATAAATAAAAACTACATGCATTTTTTGTTCTACTCCTACTCATGCAATATTCGAATGACCCACAACACTTAAACTGTTGCAAATCACTAAATTTTATGATGATTTTAGAGCATTTTATACCTCAAAAAAACAATTTATTTGAATTATAAAACTTTAAATGTTACTCGAGCAATACTAAACCAATTCTTTCTTAATTGTAGCCTATAGAAAAACTCTAAATTCATCATAAATAATCATTAAATATCTATCGTGAGGGGGGTTTACTTAATCTATGTTAATCACATATTAGTCAGTAAAAAATATTCCAAAAACGATAAAAGTACAAAACAAAATGTCTCTTCTTCCTTCGATTACACCCTGTACCTATCAAATGTTGAAAAATAAATAGAATACGGGGGGATAAATCGAACAAATCGTATCATTATACGAACCTAAAATAAAACCTGCATATTATCACTAAACCGATGGTTTGTATTTGTATTTGTATCTGATTCATTCAATAGGTACAGTTGCAGTAAATTATTATTTAGCGATCGGAGAGGTGCTGCAGCAGTATAGCCAACATTGTAGCAAAACACCAGTGATTTATCCAGTTTTTTTTACCTCCCTGTATATGTACCCACATATATAACAAAAGATACGTAACAATTTACGTATTTAATTCGATCTTTTATTGTTAATAAGTAACTCAACATTGCTACGTATCCTTCGATTCTCATGCAGTGAATTAATAGACCACAAAATGTCTAAAATATCGGACCATTGATAATATTTTTACATCTTCAGCTACGGTAAAAACTCTTTTGCACCCTTCACACTCATTTTTAGACCATTTTAAGGTCGGGTTTGACAAGACAAAAAAAGTGAGGTTAGGTATCTTTTGTAATTTTGACAAGAGCAAAAGTGAGGTTAAGGAACAACAAAAAAAAAAAAGACGTTCTGTCTAAAGTTACGTTAACGTAAATTTTCGTAGAATGTAGAATGTGAAGAGTTACAAAAATCCCAATTCTAGTGAAGGTAATTCGTTGAGCAGGTATGAATAACCAACAAGCAAATCAGCCACTGTATATATATATATAAACACATGAAAATAAATAGGTACTGTTTGTGTCCGGGATCCACTTCCGGCTCGGATCAGCACGTGTCCTTTTGCAGTCGAAGCTGTAATAAGTAACATAACTTTCATGATCTCGCTTCCTACATTCATATTTTAACTAACATTTAATATAATTTTTCGCGTCCCTATTGATGCTGCAGTAGAGCAAAAGTAGGGCAAGGCTATTGCCATTTTATTCTATCGCACGGACGAGAAAGAGTTAGACGTATGTAGGTTACCAGTGGAACGAGAGAGATAACCCTATTCGTTCGGTATTGATTCGGAACATCCTGCATAATTATGCAATTTTTATTAAAAAGCCTACGCGATTTTTTCGTTTATTGGAATACCAACCGATAAGTGAAAAATTCCAAACCGAAATTCTATCCTCCATTTTATAATACGATTTTTTTTAATCGAGACCACAATCGAACGATCACTTACCTTTTTTGTCTGACATTATTTCGCTAAACGTGTAGACGATTTTTAAACTTTTAACGCAAATTAACTACAATTACGATAAACAATTTTATTGCACTATGCACTTACAATACACCTTTATTGCGAGACAACACACACAATTCCTCACAAAATCACACAAAACTTGCAAGAGTCGAAAAAAACACACTGTGATAGAAATTAGAGAAAGAAGGCGCAGTGACCTCTGCAATGCACCGACCGTGCGCCAAACGAAGACGGCGATATGTCGATTCCCGTTCGGGAAAATCGTTCTTCCTTCTGTGCGTCAACGGGATGCGCTCTGAACGACACCGTTGCCAAATTTCTACTTTAGTAATTGAAAAATGCTACTGTAAAAGACCACCCATTGACAAGTTTGACGTATACGCACTTTTTAGGTAACGGCCAATGTGGGATTGTAAATTATAATTAAATGTCTCAATTAAAGGTAGTACAGGTAATATATTGTGTTTGTATCGATAATTATTTATTAAATTTGTATGAATTCCAGCATTAGATGACAAATTTACCGAATAACTGTTTGGTAAAAGGCCTGTTTATATGTAAATGACATAAAACAGAAGACATCTAAACAAAATGGCGTCGAAATCGAAATCTCAACGAAACTTGATAGACGTTTTAGCATAATTTCCCACTTAGTAATCTCGTTTGCGACAAAACAAACATGGACCAAACAAGCACCAACAGCGATGAAGGTAAGCCCAACACAATTATCACGCTCCCCCTTTAATTAAACCCGACATTTTCGAATTCCAGAAGGCAACCACTCAGCGAAAACCTCCAAACAAAGCAACGTCCTACCCCTTTGGGGCAACGAACGCACGATGAACTTGAACCCCCTAATTCTAACCAACATCCAGAGCTCGCACTATTTCAAAGGTAACCCTCTCGTCGACAATAATACAAGTACATAACATAACCTACTATTCGATTTCCAGTGAATTTATACGAATTAAAAACCTACCACGAGGTAGTCGACGAAATCTACTACAAAGTCAGCCACCTGGAGCCCTGGGAGAAGGGCTCGAGACGCACGTCAGGTCAAACCGGGATGTGCGGAGGCGTCCGAGGCGTCGGCGCCGGCGGCATCGTCTCCACCGCCTACTGTCTACTCTACAAACTGTTCACGCTCAAACTCACCCGCAAACAATTGAACGGGCTCATCGGCCACTGCGATTCCCCCTACATTCGAGCGTTGGGCTTCATGTACATCCGGTACACGTTCCCGCCCGGCAGCCTGCTCGAATGGTTCGAGGACTATTTGGAAGACGAAGAGGTGCGTAGATATGCAGGTAGAGTGCCCCCAACTGAACTATCTACATGTATTCGTAGCGTTGTTAGATTTAAAATGTATTTAAACACGTTTAAAATCTTGGTTAATTTGCGAGTGTTGTAGGAGCTCGATGTTAAAGCGGGAGGCGGTCAAAATATCACCATCGGTTTGATGTTGAGACAATGGTTGGTGAAATTGGAATGGTTTTCGACGTTGTTTCCGAGAATTCCGGTACCCATACAACAGAAGATCCAAAAACATTTAGAAGTAAGTTATTGTGTATCTGCAAAACTGTTTAGAATGTTTTAGAATCGTCTGGATTGGTTTAGAACTGTCCGGGATCGGTCAGAATGAATTAGAACTGTTCATACTCCTTCAGAACTGTTAATACTCCTTCAGAACTGTTAATACTCCTTCAGAACTGTTAATACTCCTTCAAAACTGTTCAGACTTCTTCAGAACTGTCCAGGACCATCTAAAACGCTTCAGCTTCATTCGGAACCGTCTAGAAGCATTTAGAACGTTTCTAAACCAACCCGAACCGTCAAAAAAACCCCCATTAAAACACTCCGGAACGATCCTCGAACCGTCCGGATGAAATCCAACCGTTTATTTTCTATCTCGTTACAGAACCGGTTTCCCCCTCACGCCGTCCAAGCGGCCACCGAGCGGGCCAGAGAGGATCGAAACAACAGGAGAGAACGACCGGCGGCCCCGCCTGTGGCCCCCCTTCGGGACGACATCCGTAGGGATTTCCTGCGGGACGACGACAGGCGAAGGGATCACCGAGGGGGCCACGACAGGAGGGACAGGAAGCACCGAGACAGGAGCCCGTTGAGGAGGAGCCCGGCGAGAAGGAGCCCGACGAGATCGTACAAGCACGGAGAGAGGGGCGCGAGTAGGGAGAGGAGGAGTCGGTATTGATCGGCGGGGGGAACGTTCGAAGGTTTTTTTTTTTATACGATTGTAATAAGTTTAGCGTAGTTTGTAATTTAATTGATGCCTTTTTGTGAGTTTTGATGGAATAAATTTTTAGTTACCTTTGTTCGGTTATCAATTGTCTTAAATCGTCGGAATATGTGAAAAAATAACAGTTATGGTTTCTGCACCTCTATACCAAAAAATCTATTCCCACCTCTATTAAATGATAGAGTGTATCATCGAACGCATCTTGAAATGACACCACCGTTTGAAAACAAAACATTTTATTAAACCTCCGCCTCCGTTTCCTTATCGTTTCCGATTATTATCGGGGAAAATGACGGGCCCCGCTCCGCGTGCGGTAGTCTCCTTACCGGGGTACCCTCCGCGCTGACATTTGGTCCCTTTCTTCAGCTCCTCCACGTTGCCTTTCATTATCCTGAAGTTGTACTCGTTGTTCCTGATGTTGTCGTTGGCCACTTTCTGGAAACGCGACGACAACAGCCACAGTTCCTCGACGCCCCTCGGGTTCCTTACCACCTGTAAAGGAAAAATATACAGGGTGTGTCACGTTGAAGAGGTAACGGGGTGTAGTACTCACTTTCATGCCGCTGATGAACTGTAAAGTATCATTATTCCTGGCTACTATGTCAGTACTAGGGCAATTTCTTCCGTATTTTCCTCTGGTATCGAAGCATGCCACGTCTATTTCGCTCATCAAGCCGAAATATAAAATGCCATCGGAGTCTACCGCTTCAGCGGCGCTTTGGGTGCCCCTTCGTCCTGTATAAGTCTACCAAAATAGAAAAAACCGTTAAAATCGTGTAGAATAGAGCTTGTTTTAGAGCTACTTACGTTGAATATTTGCGCGTTTTCCGTGGCTGTTTGGTTTTGAAGATCTTTCGTGTACACCCAATGCTCTGTATCGCTGCTCATCGCGTGATAGTACAATTTCCTGCCTTCTTTAGATAGAGCAGGAGATAGAGCCATGCCCAGGACACCGTCCATTATATCGAAACTTTCACCTATAAAAACATAATATAGGCTATAAGTGCGATAAAGACAACTTCCATTAGACACTTATAAAAGAAAAAGAAAGTGACATTTGTGTCATTTGTCAACTTTTCACTCTGACAACTGTCATTTTAATAATCTTTCTTTGTTCCACTCATAGAAATGACCATGTTGCAATCGGAAATGGAGCAAAGTGTAGATAAATCGGTATGGATAAATAGATAAATATAATAAATCTATTTACCGGCTATGTGATAATTGGCCCAATCGGGATCCGGGTACATCGAAGAGTGCTTGAACACCCAGGACTTCTCCTTCGACATGTCGTAGACCAATATCGAGTTGGCCACGCAATCGGCCGCGTAAACGAACGTGTTTCTGCAACTATTCGCTCGACTTTTCACTTCTACGATCGGCGTGACGAAGGTGGAATCGATTTGGTATTGGTCCCGGGGAATTTCGTATCTGTGGATCAATCGGTCCTGAAAGAAAGAGGCCAATCAAGCGAGCGTAGATACCTCATCACATGTAGCTTGACAAAGGCCAATCAAGCGAGCGTAGATACTTCATCGAATGTAGCTTGACAACGGCGTTGTAAGAGATAGAGAGAATATGATTTAAACGTTGTTAGAGAAAGATAGGTACAAATTTCGAATGTAGAAATATCTCTCCGGTTTCTATATACAGGGAAAATTACACTTACATTTCTCAAATCGAAGACTAGCAATTGCGGTGGACAAATCACGTTCTCATCGAGTTGGCCGTTATCGAGCACCCACAGTCTATCGCATTCGTCGATCTAAAATTCGAAATAAAACAAATACAGTGTAGAGTGGTGCAAAGTAGTGCATTTTTCACACTGCCCTATATTTCTAAGGTCTGGAATCTCCCTATACTTATGTATTAGAGCGTTATTTGAGCACTTTTTGTCAGCGACGCGCTATTTATAAATCGCGGTTGTTGTGAAATGACAGTTCGAGCTGTCAAAAGTGTCAAAAATTATTATTTGACGTTTCGAGTAGAAAATGGAGAATTAAAATTAACCGAAGATAACTGAGGCGTGATGTTAACAACGAAATCATCGCTGATGTAAGTAGATTTTTATATTTTCTATCTATTTTTAGTTTGTTTATATGAATGTTTATATAAAAACCGCGGTCCTTTACAACATCGCCTCCTAGCGGCCATTTTAGGAACCCCGTTTCATCCTCAAATAACTGGACACTTTTTCGACCTATATACGTTCCAAAACCTCAGAAATATATTACCGTGAGTTTCCATTACCTCGATTCTATAGACGGAAACGATCCTATCCCTGTTACATCTCGCCGGATTCTCGTGCCAACCCCACGAAGGGTAGGGCTTCACGTAGGGCTCGCCGTTTCGATCCAACACCACCATCCCCAAGGCGGCGGGCACGCCGGCCTGGAACCTGGGGCTCGTCACGAACACCTTCTGGTGACCGAACCGCCCTTTTGTTCGCAATAAAATTACGATTTTAGAACCGAATAACCGCCGAGTAAGAGTACTTACTGTCGTAGTAGACGTCCACATCGATGGGGGCGGGTTTCCTGGGCACCAGGTTGCCCGTGCGGTAGTCCGTTTGCATCTGCTGGGCCGAATCGTAGGCGTAGTTCAGGTACTTCCATTGGTAGACTGTGGTTAGTTTATCGCCTGAGTAATGGGAGTTTGATGAGCCCGAGCACAGGCCGAGCACCAAGCACAAATAACTGTAACCTGGCGTTGAAAAATAGGAATATATTTACTGTATTTACTCTCGTTATTATTAGTACATACTTTCCGAATTGTGGTGATGATGAGACCTCGAATAATAAGGCGATGATGACGAGGTGATTGGAGATAATGAAGCGATGCATAAGATGATGCAGATGATTCTCATGGTGGTGGTTAAATGAAAGACTTGCGTTAAATGCGAGTAGTTCTAAAGGTATATCGAGAAAGGAGTTTTCGCAATAATTGCACTATTAATGCATAATTTAATTGTAATTACTAATAGGGTTTTTAACGAGCGGAAAGTTTATTATTCTATGGGTTTTAAATGGTTTAAATGGCGGAGCTTACCTGTTAGAAGGCGCATTTTATCACTCATACTAACAGAAAATTGTTCTGAAAACGGTGTAAATAGTACTATAATAGAGGTGATGCGTCACTAATAAGTTTTTTTTTGTTTCTTCTAGTTTATAGTAATTCGAGGAATTGATAAGGCAATATAAGGATAAGCGTTAGAAGGTTTGTGGATAATGTAAAGGAAATAATTTTAATTGTAAAATAGTCGCAGTAAATTAGCAAATTAGAAGGGAAAAATTTACAGAATTCAACTGCACGATAAGATAACTGGAGTTAATTAGAGCAACAATTATTTTTCCACTCGATTATTACAATTGGAGTTTAGAAGTATTATACTTGGGATCATCAAATACTACAATTAAATTACACTTGTATTTTTTTATTAAAAATACGTTATTTGTTACGCAAATTAACGAACCATTACGAGCGAAAAACGTAAACAAAATAAACAATAAATTGAATAATCTATAAAATATACTGTAGCGAATTATAAGGATCACCCAATCGAATCCTAGACGAATTTATAATTCAAATATACGTAAACATAATTATATTTCGAGGATAATTATTACTTATTATGAATATATTTAAATCGGAATATATCAATCTACTTACTATTCATTTTCCTCCTGTTCTAATGGAATATTTCTAATGGAATAACGACCACAATTCAATTGAATAACAAATAATAATAATCAGAAATATGTAATGTGGTTATTTAAGAACATCTTCCTTCCACATTTGCCGTGGATTCTGCGAAACCCGTTGGTAAATAATTATAATTTCAGTTCGAGAGAAGCAAGCCGGTTCTTCATCCGATATTTCGCATTTTTACAATAACGTTATATACAGGGTGGTCCGTTTAAAACGGGCCAAGCGCTCGGAGAGATATAATACATCTCCTGTTAATTAATTTCCATTTAATTAATTCGTGAATTTAAAATCAAATGAAATCGACATATCTCGGGGATTTCCCGAACAAAAAAATCTTCTCCCGTGGAAAATATGTCAGGTGGAATGTTGTAAATGGACCACTCTGTATATATACACGGTTGGATTGTGAAAAAATAGCGCATTAACTCTCGCAGATCAAGGTTAAAGTTCACGTTCGAGGGAATTTATTCGTCTCGATTAAAAACGGCAGGATTTCCCGTTTGTCTGATGGTATTCCGAAAACGGGATTTTTTTTTATTGGATTAGATTGTAGAAAATCGATCCTTCCGGTTGGAAAATACTCGATTGATAATGATTGTTAGTAATGAGTAAGGAATTTATTGTATTAATGTAACATTTTTTTAATGGAAAAATTGCAATTTCGGGATAATTTGTAGGTAATAATCGTTCGGTAATAATTTATTTTTATTTAATATTAAATATCTTATAAAAAATTAATTTTTCATACATTACTTTTTTCTTCATTAAATCGACAAATTATCGGAAGAATAATTTCGCGAAAAAAACCACCAGTTTATTAGCAAAAATAAAATATACCTACAATTTCAAATAAATTTATTTATTTAACAAAAATCATAATCGACGTTTGTAAATTAAATAGCAAAAATAAGGATTCGTACCAAAAATTTAATTTAATCATTACAGGTTTACTTAAAATTTACTAAAAATAAATTAAATTCTGTATATATTTATAAATACATAAGAGAAGATGGCAGTCGTGCGGCAATTTAAATTACTCCCTAATAATTCTTAGTTATTCCTGCAATAAAAAATTATAAAATAAATAAGAGAATAAATGAGCCTCTTTTTCTAAATATTTAGAGTTAAGATAATGGTCCCTACTATTAAATAATGTTTGCAAAAGGGCCAAGAAAGAGAAAAGTAAAAATAGAAAGAGATACAGGGTGTTTATTTGGATGATTTTAAGAAGAAAAGTTTATGTCAATGTATGTCCTAAACCTCTTAGTTTTCGAGCTACAGGGTGTTATAATTTTAGGACAAATCTTAGGAAAAAGAGGACATATCTTTAGAAGAACTTTTCGATTCAAAATTAGCCCTGAAGAATTAAAATTACCACTGACCTTAAACGGCTAGAGAAGCGTCTAAATGATTTGATTCTGCATCTGCATTTCCTGCGTGAGCGTTCGTTCCACCGGCAATTGTACAGGCACGATTATATCCGGTTTGGACGGTTCCGGATGATTCGTATCCGAATGGGTCGTATTCAGCGAATTCTATACAACATTTTTATTTTTTTTATTCAATTATAATCATTTAAATTCATCTAATTTTTCATCTACACCTTGCTCCATTTCCGATTGCAACACGGTCATTTCTATGAGTGGAACAAAGGTTGTTAAAATGACAGCTGTCAGAGTGACAAGTTGTATTGACACAAATGTCACTCTTTCTTTTTATTTTATAAGTGTCTAATTGAAGTTGTGTTTGTTGCAATGAAAAATGGAGCAATCTGTATATAAATTTCTACTATTTTTTTTTGTCGTCTATTACATCGTCTATATATAAAAAACGAGTTTACAAAAAGAATGTTTTTATGCATTTTTATTATTCGTAAAACAATTCTAGGTTCTTAATAAATTACCGATTCGCAAATGCCGCAAATAAATAAATAAATCAAACCGAATAAAATCCAATATATTTAAACTTAACAGTTCTATAAAATCTTGTAGAAAACAAATGTTAATAATTGATTGAGGGTCAGAGTGAACAGGAAACGTTTAATGAATTTCAAAATGTCCGAATCGATCGTCATTTTGGGGCCGTTAAAGTTTTTAATCAACGCCAAGCAGACTTTTCTTATACCAGGCTAGAAGAGCAAATTTATTATTATTATTAGATTAAATTTATTTCATTATTTAATTATTTAATCAGACTATAAAACAAACCCCCTGTATACCTATTAAGAACCCTTCTTGTTGTTATCGATAAATAACATCGAACGGCGCTGTTGCCAAGTATTCATTGTTTTATTAGATTCATGGGAAAGTTAAAAAAGACGTTACATTCTATTAAATAAGTGTTATTTATGCTCAATTTAGCAACTATTAGCTAATTTATCAACGTGTAAAGCAATTACAAAATTAATTACCTAGTAATCTAATAGCATAATAGAACGTAAAAATGTGGCAACAGCGCAATTCGAATCGCTTCGTTTAAACTGTCATTGCGCAATTTTTATCACTCTTTTTGCAAATAAAGTAATCTAAATATTTATCTGTTTGTTACTCTAAACTCTAATCGAATAAACGAAAACTTTCCTATATTTTTTACCTATGTATAATAATACGTTCTGCTCTATCTAAAATCGCTAAATCGACGGGGAATTAAAACGGATTAGCTAAGACATTGGTTAATAAAATACACTCTAATAGAGCATAAATAATGTTACTGGTTTCGTGACCGGTAAAAGGCCAGTAAACTTACTGCGACATTGCGTACAAACGCTCAATATGGCATCCAACATGAAATTTCTCGCCTTTTTTCCACCGCAAATATATTTTTTAGTTTTCGAGGAAAAAACCAATTAAATTCAAACACCGTATTTTTCAAAATCGTATAAAAATTAGCGAAAAAAAAATTCAACTTACTCTACTCGTCGCTGGTACTTTTAAATGCATTTTTCTATCGCACAATTCCTGGAGCAAACCGATTCCTACAACAAAAAAAATATATTTTAGGGATTGTTTAGTGCAAACCACAACGTTGCCAAATCGTGCAAAAAATCAGCAAAATTACGAACAAAAATCAATTACCTTTTTCCCTGCAATGGCCGTACTTGTATTCCCAAGCATCGAACAATCTATTGTAATATCTCGGTATCATGAATTGCAAATATTTGTACGATTGCGGCGTGGGAAATATCCTTTCGAATTTCCCTTTCGCCGATAATTCGTCCTCGTGTTTGGCCAACAATCGCACGTCGTCGCTCGTCAGGTTCTTCAAGATGCTCTCCAAATATTCGTTTCTGCAAAAAAAAAATGCAAATTCGAATTTTAAGATGCGTTCGATGGTACGCCAACGTCAAAACCGACACTAATGACGTCAGTGACAGAAATTTAATAGAGGTGGGATTCGATTTTTCGACATAGAGGTACCGGTAACGACCGTTACAAAATAACCGTTATTTTTTTCGCTCATTTACCTGGTCTCCAATTGCTCGTAATGGGAATGTTTCCTTTGTTCGCGCCTATTCAACGACATGCAATAGAACCTCGAATCCAACACTTCGGGCCCTTCGACGTCCCGGTGCAATTTCATCCTGGGAGGCAGATGGAATTGCGCCATATTGAATATGGTCTGGACGATCGGGCCTTTTACGTGCGCGTCCAACGGCGAGGCGCTGTGAAGGCTCGGCGATATATTCACCTAAAATTTCGAATAAATTGATATATTTACTTATAAATTATATGTAATATTATATACAGAACGTTCGTTTAGTCATTTTAAAGGGTTTTAATCTAGAATTGAGATTATAAAAATGTCGTTTCGGTGACTCTTAAAGTTCTCGACCTGTTTCAAACCATCAAGAATGCTTTAGAACCGTATAGAACGCTCCAGAATCATTTAGAACTGTCTTAAACATGTCAGAATGCTTCTTAAATGCGTCTTAAACAATTCAGAACCATCTGGAACTCTTCAGGACGATTCAAAAACCGTTCACAACCATTTAGAATGCTTTAGAACCGTATAGAACGCTCCAGATTCATTTAGAACTGTCTTAAACCATTCAGAATGCTCCAGATCATTCTGGAACTCTTCAGGTCGATTCGAAACCGTTCACAACACCATTTAGAATGCTTTAGAACCGTATAGAACGCTCCAGATTCATTTAGAACTGTCTTAAACCATTCAGAATGCTCCAGAACATTCTGGAACTCTTCAGGTCGATTCGAAACCGTTCACAACACCATTTAGAATGCTTCAGAACTATTTAGAACGCTCTAGAGTCATTTAGGACTATCTTAAACCATTCAGAATGCTCCAGAACCATCTGGAACTCTTCAGGACGATTCGAAACCGTCCACAACCATTTAGAACGCTTCAGAACCGTATAGGAACGCTCCAGAATCGTTTAGAACAGTCTCGAACTAAATATTTCGACCCTACCCTCTCGTAAATGACGAAAAAATAAATACCTCCAACAACCACGGTTTCATTTTCTCGTCGAGCAACACGTCAACGCCGAATAATTCGTAACAATTGTACCGGCTCAACATGTTCTCTTCGCACAATTGCACGATGGGCGATTCGCAGGCGATCAGAGTTTTGATCACCAATTGTTGCAAATTCCTCCACAGGGATTTCGTGTCGACGTTTTGCGTTTCCAATACTTCCAATAATTTCGTTATAGTCCTACGAAAAAAATTTACAAAATCATGTATTCATTAATTATTAGTACACACGTACCATTTGTGTCCTTCGCACGAATTGAAATCCTCGTTAGCCGTATATTGGCTGGATAATTTGTTTATGCTGTAATTCGTCAGGTGCATGTACCGGTCTTTCAAATCTTTGGCGTCCGAACTGTATTTCGCTAAAAACAAATACAAAATTGTAGCAGTTACATACATAGTAAAAGGCCGCTACTTTGCACGTCTAGTAAGAGACCTCTTCTTAGCACGCCTAGTAAGAGGCCATCAAAAACGCTCACAATTTCATTATTTCTCGTCCTTAATACATAACTTACATTACTTTGTAGATAATAAATAAATAGTATTTACCGCTGGCGAATCTGGCTAATCCCTCGGGATACAAATAAACGACCAAAGGATGAAAACTGGTAACCAAAACGTACAGTCTCAAATCGAATTTACTGCCGTTTATCAAATACGGATTGGAAATGTACTTTTGCACGATCAAATTGTTTTTCTTCGGAATCTGCGATAGTTTGTTTATCACTTTTATGCCGACGCCTCGGGCCGAAGCAGGCTGTGAAAAAAATATAAAAACTATAAATAAATCATGTCTAAAACATATTTATTTATAATTATTTACCGGTTTTATGATCCACATATCGCTGGTACCAGCATTGCTGATCTTGTATTCCCAGCATTGCTTCAGCAATTTCGCTTCCTGAGGTAGAATGTACGTGTGAGGTAGAAAGCCGAACCTAAACCGATGAAAAAAAAATCCAATTATTCACTTATTATTTATAATTATTCACAAGTAGCTTGATTACGAGTAGATTGTTTTCCAAACTTACTCCCTCACGCCGAATTTGAGTATCATCTTCTGGAAATTCCTCCACAATCTGTCTTTTCTACCCAATTGAAAAGTGCCTGGGAAATGGTTCAATTTTTGCGTTTCTCTCAGCGACTTGAACAGAGGCGATTTCATGTGTTTTCCCCACGTGCCCAGCCAAGCGGAAGATTCTAAAATAAACCACAAAAAAAACAAACTTAATACATTAGAAAAAACCGTGGGACAACAATGAAATTCTTATGGAAATGAATGAGGAATATGTTTGGGAAGGTTTGAGAGCTTCAGGAAGTTTTGGAAAGGTTAGGGAAGCTTTAGGAAGGTTTGGGAAGTTTTAGGAAGGTCAGGGAAGCTTTAGGAAGGTTTGGAAGACAATTTAATTCTTGTGGGATAAATGAGGAATAATAGGGGGGACAAGGACAATGCACACCTCTGCAAAACTCACTTCTGACCAATAAAAAGCCCGAATTGACGAGGGTTTTTCTCACTAATATCGGCGTGATGGTGCTCAATTTCCATTTTAAATATTTCCTGGCATGACCGTATTTTATTTCTCCCGTTTCGTGATCGTACGGATTGAATCGAATGTATGGAGGAACGTTGGGAAACAGACTGGGCCTTAGCATCCAATAGAGGGAATCAGGAGAACCTAAAAAATACAAAAAAATATATATAAACAATGTAGTAAATGCCCTTTATCTTTCTCCTTTTTATACGACATAAATAGACGTTGTCTTTGTTGCGCTCTTAGAACTTTAACTGTACATATATTTATTTATAAAATCAATCAACCCGAACCGATCTATTAATATCACCATTTTTACTATGTAAATAAGCGAGTTCTAATCATAGACCGCTCGATTTATTTACAATTTCATTCACAAAATTCGATTTCGTGGTAGTATTTCGATAGTAGGTCAAATATATATATTTTTTAATAGTTTTATCTATACTAATATTTATTTGAAGCGGTTCAAAACTGTTCTGAATCGTCTTGAAGGATTCTGAATGGTGGTGGAGCATTCTACATGATTCTGAACAGTTTTGAATCATTCTAGACAGTTCTAAAACACCCTACAGAGTTCTAATTGAGCAGTAATTAACCAATTATAGTATTAATTAATTAATATTAATTGAAACTTACCCGAATCCGGTGGTTCAGTGTACAAAACGGGTTCGGAAATGTCCTTGTTACTTTCATCTGTAGCCGATCTTTCGCTAACATTATCGACTTCGTCTAAATTCGTCTCGTTTTCGCTATCCGAACCGCATTCGTCGCTGAAAAATACAAAAAAAAAATTAAACAAATCGATCAATTTAAACAAAAAAAAAATCGATTAATTACAGGTAATCCGGATAATCTAATTTCATGTTGAAACGCGAGCGATTAGAGCTCGATTAGAAAAACGTGCGAGAAACGGGAAAACTAAATTTAAAACATTCCACGAGGAATTCCGCGCGAGAAAGATCTGCCAAATACATAAAAATGCCTGTTATCTGACTAAGACCGACTAGAAATAATAGCGCGTGGATAAAACTATTATATCAACAAAACGCATTTCGATTTTCCCAAAATAAAACATACAGAGTGAATCTAAAAAAAACTTCTACTCCTCCATTTCCTCTACTTACTCCTTTCTACTTCGCCCAACGCCCCACCTCTACTCCTAGATCTCCTTTACTTTGTATCAATCTTACAACAAATTATCGATTACCTTTCGAGTAAATTAAAATTCGGTGTAACGTGAACCTTCGGTTTGGCCTTCGCCTTCGACTTCCCCGAGTTCGGCTTCGTTTTGGTCTTCAAAGAAACCTTATTCTTCGCTCTGACGTCATCGGGGAGTTTCCTCGGCCTGTTCTCTTTCACGCAAGGCGCTTCGTTGACCGGCCGTTTATCCCTCGATGAGTCTTTGAGGCTCATCAATTGCTCGCGCAGCCTGTTCAACTCCCTGGCGTGTTTCTCGGCCAGATTCAGCGAGTCCTCGCGCTTGTCGAAGTACGTGGTGGTCTCGAAGCAGAAGGGCTTCAGCCCGGAGATGTTGCGCAGCTTCAACTCGGAGAGAGAGCAGAACTCCGGACCGTCCGGATTGTCCGGTCGCACTCTCGTCATGGTGAAGTTGTTCAATTGGTCGCTTTTGCTTTGGAAGTGCTCGCGCTCGAGCTGTCTCATCGAGCATTTCGATTCCCTCTTCTGCATCCTCGGCTTGGCTTGCATGTCGTCGGCTAGTTCATCGAGCTTCGAGAATTTGATTAGAGGATTTTCGTACGCATGGATCGGTTTCGAGCTATCAAAACTGCTAAGTTCATTGGATATTTTCGGATTTGTCACATTGTTTGAGAGCTGACAGTTGTTCGAAATGTACGATGTGGGCAGCTCGCACAAGTTCGATCGGATCCTAGTGGACTGCTCGTGTCTCGTCGAGTCTTTTTCCTGGTACTGGCCTCTACCTGTAAACGTACACAGCTATATAAATAATTGTTCGGTTGGTACAATAAGTAATCGTACAGTCGTATTCCAAGTCCATGTTCTCGTATTCCCGGCTACGATTGCACCTCTTCGAGAGGATTTTCAGTTCTTTGTTCTTTCTCCTGCAGGGTTCGCCGGTTTCGCTGATCGAGCGCCTCCTTTGGGCCCCCCTCGAACAAGCTGAACACCATGGTGGGTAATTAACACAGAAAGTTTCTTCGGTTTTGTACAATTGTTGAACGTTACATTCGGCCATATTTTTGCGATCGTTTCTCTAAAATCTGATATATTAATTCGTTTTTATATTAAAAATGCGGCTTTATATCGAGAATAAGCGAGTTTATACATGCGTTATCAAAATGGTCGATTGGCATCAATTCAAGTACTTACTTTCGACTAAATATGAGTTAAAATAAATTAAAACGGCCCCGTTTTCGACGCCATTTCACTTCCCGAATTTACTTTTGCAATTTAAAAACGGATTAATCGTTTAAAACGCAACGAAAACGTAAGAAATACGAACGTGAACAATAAAAAAAAACTAAGTAAAAATTTGACCGCGTGAGAATGGGAAACAGAAGAAATTTATTTTAATTTATTACACCTACTCGATTCTACTCGTTCTCCGAACTGTCATTTTAACGACACATTTCCGTCTTTCTCTAACGCGTTAATTTTAACACCTTTTTATACTTCCCTCTCTTTTTAATTACTGAACGCATGTTTTTCAGTAATGACAATTGACAGATGACAATATAACCTAACAAATTGTAATAAAACGGTTTTTATTTGAAAAAAAAAATCTTATTCGATTACAATTTACAATTAAAACATTCAACTACCTTTAGAATACTTTTTCCAGAATCTTTTCACATCATCGTGCGCCGCTTTGTTAATAACCAAAGTCCTTTTTTCCTTATTAAACCAAATCAACACACCGTTGGATTCCGTATACTCTTTGAGCACGTTAAAATCGATTTGGGACAAAAACTGGCTGTACAACACCCCTTCCTTGTAATCCAATCTGTTCCTTTCCAGTTCCCACAACTTAATTTGATCGACCACGGTCGGAGGCAGCGGACTTTTGGCTTCGGATTCGAGCATCCGAGGGTGCACGTGTTGCTTCAAAAACCCTATAATTTGATCCGCCGTAATCCCACCTCTCAGGGCCTGCCTCACCGAGTCCCTCGTAATCACACCGACCACCAAATTAGGAAACCTGTATATCAATTCGGTGAATAAAGTCACGAGGGCCACTTGCAAATTCGAATCCGTATAAGCGTACACCCTGTAGTTGGTTTCTACGATTATATACCCCTTCGGGTGGTCGTCTTCGATATCAGGGGTAGATTTATTGGTGTTGTTCGTTATGTTTAATGCCAATCGAGTGGGATAGAACCTCCCCGCTTTCCTTTTACGTTGATACACCAGCCCGAATTCGCGCAAATGCTGCAGGAACACCAGCAAACCGGGGCCCATGCCCTCCGTGCTGTAATCCTTTCCGAGCGTGCTGAAGCTCAGCTGGAAGAGGAACGTCAGGCACTCGACCAGGTCCAGGTCTCGCTCTTGCACGGTATCCAGATATTGGAGGATGAAATGCCAGACTTGGGCTTGCCGGTCGAGCAACAGAAACTGGAAGCCCTGTCGGGTTATAACGAGCGTACCGTCTTCTTCGTCTCGTTTCATCAGTCCTGCGTGTAAAAGTATTCGCACGGCATCCGCGGAGATGCCTTCTTGTTGTTGGGAACCCACCATGTAATGCAACACGCATTCCCATCTTTCCTGCAACGAATACAGTAAATTGAATTGAATAAATTGAATTGTGCGATAAATATACTTGAGAGTAGGTATCCAAAAAAGCGACATCTCTGGCTTTACTATCGGCCTCTAAAGCTGATGACATGCTCCAGGTTTTGCCGCCGCCTAGCAGGGCTATTTTGATATTTTTCTTGAACGTCGGGGAGATTATCCAGCCGAGTAAACCGCCCGGAATAGCAGCTTCCTGCCATAGCATTAAATCCGATAGCACTTTGCTGGCGTTGTTGTGCTCTTTGGAGTATATTTGGGAGCCCCAAGAGGCTACTACGGCTTGGGGGACGGGTTGTTCGACGAACACCATGCGAATTACGTACTGCTTGGCCAGATCGGGGAGCTCCCGGTAGACCGCCAGGCATATCGTGGGGTGATTGTAGAGCTTTTCTAGCAGATTGGACGGGCGGGATTTGAGGTAATCGTAGAGGTTTTTGCATTCCAGGTTCGTGGATTTCGAACGGTTTTGTTTCTGGGCGTTGGAGTTCCCGGCGTTGTCGGCCATTTTGTGTTAGCTCATCGTTTTTTTACGTGGAAAATTGGCTGTAAAATTGGGTTAGTTTTTGATTATTATATGTGAATTGTATTTGTTTTCAACTTCAACTACTTTTAAACGGCATTTCGGGTTCCATTTTAGTGACGTTTGACATTAGTGACGTTTGACGTTAGTGACGTATGAAAAGTCGCAAACGTCAATCCGGCGCGAAAATTTGAATTGTATAGTTACTACCCCCTTATCACGGAAGCGTCTTATGTGACCGAATAGTCACTTTTCAAAAAAAAAACAAGCAATTTTACAGCGCAAATTTTAATTATTTTTTAGGAAACTTTCTTCTGTTTTCGGCCATCTTTCGATTGGTTACCCGTTACTCGTTTTCTTTTATCGTTTAGAGTAAATCGATCATTTATCGCCTTAATCACATCTTCCAGTTTTCCGGTCGCCGATTCTCTGGAATCGGGCAGAACGACTTTTTCCAGTTTCGTATCTGAAACGAGAGAAATCGGTTTCAAATAAAAAAGTAACGGTTACTTTGTAACGTATTCAACACTAAAAAAATCATTCCCAACTCTATTAACCGAATGTCACTAGTGTAACATTTGACAGTTCGAGCTTATTGTTTACATTTCGTATCATCGTACGCATCTTAAAGTCCCCCTCATTACGCAATACATTGAAAATAACGCAATAATATTAACGCAACTCACCCAACAGTTTAGCTTTTACGTGAGCTATCTTGTTTTCTACAACGACATCGATTAGCATGTCTGTGGAAAAATCGCAGGTATAACGATCGATAAATTCCTTAACGATTTCTTTTCTATGTTTATTACTTTCATCATCATCTTCTTCTTCTGGGTAGTCGAACGTTGGACAGGGAATGAATTCGTTGGTAAAAGGCAATCGGGTTTCTGGAAAAAAACATGAAAAATGTGTTTCAAAAAGTCGATAATAAATTAATAATAAATCAAATTACCCAAAAACATCGGTTCGTCGTTAATCAAGACCGGCATCATTTGTACATAACGCAACTTATCCACTTCTTTATTTTTATTCAAAGATATCAAAACTTTCTCTTTTTCCACGCAAAACTCCCAGAATCTCTTAAATAACTCCTTTTTACCGCAATTCACGTCGGATTTCAGTAACGTCGGTTTATTTACTGTAACGCCTCCTTCCGCTTGGACATCAGCCACAAACATCAAAGTTAATCCTTTCGAAAAGCTCATATCTAATAAACAGTTTTTGTCGACTTTGAAGTGTTCCTTCGTATAATCACCTGAAATAGTAATATAAGTAATTCAACCTTAAAAGTAACAATTTAAATAAATACCTAACAGCAGATTGCTTCCTGAATGTTTAACATAATAATACTCGGGCGATTCTCCTTCGACTTCTAAATAGAGCACTTGCTGGCCGCTTTTCGTGTACGATTTCTGATTAAAATTGACCTTTCTAAACAAACTCATCCGTTTGCACATGAAAAACCTCTCGTAATCCCCTTTGAACGGATAGAAATTCACCTTCCTCTCCGACAACTTCAACGAAACCAATCGGGACAATTTCTGCATCAAACCTTCGCTATCCAAGCATATCTCCTCTTTGACCGTCCCCATTTCCCCGGCCTCGTACAATTCGTTGTAAAACGTTTCGAATCGAAACGATTCCACCATCGGTACCACCTGGAAGGTTATGTCGTTTCCACGGCACGCTCGGATTTCGTTGGAACAGGCGAATTTCTCCGGACCCTCCGTAACCGGACAATCATCGTTCGTGATAAACAGAAATCTCCTCGTGGAATAATCCCGTTTGCTTTGAAAGGATTTCCTGCAAACCAACAGCGTCTCGCTCAGTTTGGTGCTCCCTTTCGTCTCGTAGCGCTCCTGCAATTGGTCGATCGGTAAATTCAGGATTTCCTGCAGGGATTGGACCGTTTCGAGTATGTTATTTTCGAACGGTACGACAACCGATGAAAGTCCTTTGATTACCACGCAAAAGGGGTTGTAGCTTTTGCTGGATTCGCTTGTTAATAGAAAATCGGCTAAGGCGTAGCAGGCTTTGATGGCTTCTCGGAATGGGGTGGAAATGTTTCCTTGTTCGTCGGTGAGTTCTGCGAACATTACGGGATGGGTATCGATGGCTATTAGAATGAAGGAGGGTTTGAATTCGGGGGAGTTTTGATCGAATTCATCGTCGTCGCTGGAATCTTGATAGTCGCTCATCTACGAATAAAATTAGGAAATTATATAAGAAATTCATTGCAAGTAGATGGAATCTAGTTACCTTTGCAAGATCGTCCTTTTCAATGCACCCCAACGGTTTTCAAGTTCTTTGCACTAGGCATAGAAATCAAATAATAATATTATAAGTAAATAGCTATGGTATTAGACCGGTATTATGTTATTCCTGTTTTTTTTTCTAAATTATTTGAATTTATTCTTCTTCTTACCTAATAATTCGTCCGAAGTTGCCGAAGCTATTCAGTCAATTATTTGACATTTAACTTAAATCTTCTTTTTTGATTAAAGAAGAGATGCCTGTACAATTCGGTATTATAGTTATTTTGTATTGTCTCGTATTGATATTTTCGATTAATCTGCGGTTAATAAGGCTATTTTGCACTATTAGTTAATTAATGCACTATTAATATAGTCAATTATTTGACATTTAACTTAATTCTTCTTTTTTGATTAAAGATTAGATGCCTGTACAATTCGGTATTATAGTTATTTTGTATTGTCTCGTATTGATATTTTCGATTAATCTGCGGTTAATAAGGCTATTTTGCACTATTAGTTACTAAATAGCAACATAAGTAGCCATGAAAAAAGCCGAATTAAAAACATACCATTCCTTTTGCATATGCAACACAAATTACACGAAGTATAAATACTTATAGGGAGAGTGTAATCCCCTTCGCAAATTCTCTTTTCTGTACGAAATAAAACGAACAAATCACTTTTTTTTAAAACAAATATATTCCTACATCAGTCAGAGGCTCGTATATCGCATTAAAAACGATTAAATAATATGGTATAATAAGAGCGTTGTTTAAATAATTTAAAAATTAATCTACTACTATGCAAGTTTCACGTAAAATTTATGAGTATTGTCCAACAAATAGTTATAATTACCTCCATCTTGATTAAATTTCTCATACTTTAACATAAATGCCTAGAAAACTGAGCAATAGAGGCTCTATAAATACTATTATGTACAAGAACACATAGCGTTCATGTAAAGATGTTGTAATCGATTATGATCGATGTTCTATAAGAAATTTTCTACATTTAATACTGAAAATTAGACAATTTTTTTCGATGGATAATTTAAATTTTCTTCGAATCATCCGCACTTTCGGCGTTGCTCGTTCTATTGAGCAAACTGGAGCGAATTTGACCTCTGAACGAAGCTCTCGTAGAGGCTCTAAACGAACTGGCCCTGTAGAAACCTTCGTTATTCGTTTCAACCTCTTTTTTCCTACGAAAAAAAAAGCAATAATTTTAATACCACCACGCAATAAACACAATATCATTTACTTGACGCAGGGAACGTCCCAAATCTTCTGTCCCAATCCGAAATTCTCGCCGTCCTGCAACGTTTGCGGCAGCTCGTGATCGAGCGTCTCCGGCAGGAACAGCGCCAGCATCCCCCCCAATATCCCCAGCACTCCCAATATCAACAGCGGCAACGATGTAGACATTTTCGCCTGAAACCAACAAAAAAAAAACTCAGCCTCCGCCACGATTCGAACCCGAGACGCGCCAGCTACACACAAACGCCTCTACCAACTCCGCTACAACCACTCGACTAATCCCCCGCTAAATATGCTCTATATAAAGCGCTAGATAGCTACAGAAACTCACCAAATACACCACGAACGGTGCTATAATACTAGCCACGTAGCCCATGATGTGTATCAAAGCCACCCCTTGGGCTCTAACCACAGTGGGTAGTATCTCTGCGGCGTATTGTAATCCGATGTTATAGGAAATGTTTATGGCGAATCGACCGGCTATAGCGAGCGAAGCTGACGGGATACCTAAAATATAATATATACAGAGTGTTTGTGGACCCCAAACCCTTTATATACTCTACCTAAAGGTACAGCTGTAGCCAACAAACTGAATATTCCGCTGACTATCATCGAACCGGCCGCGAGCCACCTCCTGCCCCATCGGTCTAGCACGAAAATCAAGAATACATCGGCGGGGAATTCGGTGAAAGTGGCCACGGTGAAGGTGAGAAAAACGTCCAAGCCCAGCGTTTCCACGTTCCTCACGTGCCCGTCGAAGACCAGCGAAATCGCCATCCAGAGGGTCACCAAGATGAAGGTGGTCTTCCTCAAACGGGGCGATTTGAACAGATCGATCACCGTGTAAGTCCTGTCGGCGTCCTCTTCTTTCAGCGCTTTTGCGCAGGAACTCTGCGAGGTTTGGAAGATATGGGATGAGTTTTTTTTGTGTTTTTGTTGTATGGTGTGTCTCAAAGGAGGATAGAAAACAGTAGAAAAAAGTAGGGAAGGATGGTGGAAGGTTTCCTGAATGTTTTGAGACAAACTATATGTGTAAATTCGCTTTTTCTTACCCTAAATTGGTCGTAAACTTTCTCGGTAACGTCCATTTTGTTGACTTTCTCGATCCTCTTCAGGATTTTTATGGCCTCCTCGGTTTTCCCTTGCGAAACTAACCACCTGCAGGATTATAAGGAATAAGTATAGATGAAAGCTTCTGCTATTGTTTAGAGAGTACCTTGCAGATTCCGGAACGAAAAATGGCGTGAGAATTGCCAAAGCCAAAGGGGCTGATGTGGCGTAACAAACCATCCTCCAATCGGCCAAACCATAAGCTATCCATGGAAGAACACAAGCGGCTAAAGTGAAGAACACTGCTATGGATAAATTCGCCACCAAGGTCCTCCATTTCGGCCCCACGTACTCCAAAACTGCGCCAGAAAATGCCGAAATAGCAATTAAATAAATCAGTATTTACCCCACGCTTAAGATGCGTTCGATGATACATTAACGTCAAAATTGACACTAATGACATTTCGCATGATACAAGTTCGCTCTCTCGATTACTCCGTTACTAATCTACACCGAATCTACACTAAATCTACTCCGAATCTCACCCAAAATGTACATCATGGTGAAACAATTATCGAAGGCCATGCCGACGAAGAACCGGCACACGCAGAACATCCAAAAGGAATTGCAGAAGGCGGTGGCGACGCCGCCGATCAGGCCCGCTAGATTGGTGCCCACCAGGGCGGGTATGCGCCCGAACCTGTCCGCCGTCCAGCCGAAGACGAGGCCGCCCAAGATGGCGCCGCAGAAGAAGATCGATTGGGCGGTGCTGGGCAGCGCCGAGTTCTCGCACACCCAGTTTTGCTGCGAACGATCTTCGGATTAGAAGACTTGGAAGGTAACCGGTGCACCTCTGGAGCATTGGTTCGTGCACCGGGGTGCACTGGAGTGGCACTGGAGCATGAATGAATGCTCCAGAGGTGCACTGGAGTTGCACTGGTGCATCAACCAATGCTCCAGGTGACTTTTCGGTTGGGTTTTTTTGAACATACCTCTGTAGATATAGAAGCGTAGGGTACCACGCTGTAGTCGTACTCCCATCCGTTGCGACAGGATGCAATTTTCCAGGATTCATTGGCCGATTTGACGCCATTTTTCAATATTTCGGTGAAATTTACGTCATACATGAGGCATTTTTCGAATCCGTCTTTTCCTTTCGGTATGGCCAAGGCTAGCCTAGATAATAAATATTCGTATTAATTCGTTTGGAATCAAAGTTGCCTTGATTCGGGCGGAAATAAAAAATATATTCGGTGTTTTTTTGTTCAAATCGGAAGTATTTTTTATCTCCTTAATTATTGATTACTAATAGATAATTATAATAATAAATGTTCTTATTTTAATTTGTTTGAGGTCACTGTTGTTAAGGCTATTCGGTTGTTAAGGTTTGACATTTCAGTCCTGTCAATTCAAATTTTCAAATTTCAAACATGGCGGATGCATTTTGCGACGCTTGTTTATTATTCATCGAATATCTTCCTCATCCGGTTATATCGAGTAGTTTAATTAATCGAATTTAATTGCTCATATTTACCTGAAACTTTTTACAATCGTATTTTATTCTAAACATTTCGTAAAATCGCAAATATCGAGCCTCAAACTTCAACTTATTGCGCAATTGCAAACACCGCTAAACGAAAAAGAAGAATAACCGGCAATTTCTCCAATCGATAAAATGGATATTTAATAGCAAACCAGAATGCACCTGTCGCTACAAATTCGAGTAATAGATAAAAATCCGGATCAATTTCATATGTGAGGCAAAATGTGTGCCATTGTTAAGTTTCGCAAGGCGGCCATGAAACTATTTTTTTTTTCTTTTTTTCTTCAACTAATAGTAATTGCACGTACTAGTACATACGTTAGAAATAATCCATTAAAGAATCTCGAAAATATATCGAATAATTTTATATATTTAACTAGAATTAAAAATTATTTTAATAATATCTTATAAATGAGCTGGAATCGATTTCGAATTATCGTTATTAACTTCTAATAAATATAATTACAAGGTGGACTGTTTGAATCTATTTAAATATTTAACATTCAATTAAATCGAGTAGAATATAGGAAATTAGATGAAAATTCGTTATACTTACGCATTTTACTGATTAGCAATTCTGATTAAAAGTCGATAGAATAATTAAAGTGAGTAATTTCGAGTGCATTTTCCATTGAAATTCGCAACGAGGGCGTATTTCATAGTACATAATATTTCATTAGACAAGTTCAGGGAGAAATTAGAATGGTCTTTGCTCATGACGCTAACGAGCCCGGTTATTATATTTAATTGTCAAGGTGTTACCGAGCCCCCCGAGGGACACTTTATTATGCTTTCCTATTGTTACTTCACGTTCGCCATTTAACATTGAAAACGAACGATGTAGAAGGAAGTTAAAGAGGAATGTTTGGTGGCTGGATGGTGTGTAAGTCGGAGGCCAGTTGGACAATAAAGAAGACGAGGCGCGAGTGAATAAAGCGGAGCGTTTCCGGCCTGGAAGATGTATCAGTCAGAGGCCGAAATTACAAATTACTAGAGTAATTTTGTGGCTGAATGATGTATTAGTTAGAGGCTATTTAAAAAAAAAGAAGATTATTTTTTGGTATTTTAGAAACGGTTACATGGTCGAAAAATTGATTCTTTTTCAGGAACCATCGTTTATTTACATGCAAATATACAGTAAATAGATATTTTTTTATTTATTTCAATTATTAAGAGATTATTTTGCGAATGATATCCGATGGAGCGAAAACCGCAAGTTTTAATCTGTTTAATTTATATATTCGAAAAATGTTCTAGCGGAACATTTTTTTATCTATTCTCCTCCTTGACACACACACGTTATAAAATTTAAATGTAAATAAATAATTATAAAGGGTAAGTAAAAAAATAATAAACAATTTGATTTTTTTGACAATTGACGTGAGGGTTGTAAATTTAAATAAAATTGTTCCGTGCCATTTAATACACTTTCAAAACCACCTTTTGTACTTTAAAATATTTCTTGTATAAAATGTTATACAGAGCGTTTTGTTGTGACTGTATTTATTATTTCTCTAATCATAATATTGGATATAAAATCGATGTTATTTTTTTGATACAATTAGAATGCCTGAGCGATACCTCATCGAATATAAACTGACAATTTTATTTATTTATACGAGGCGATAATAAAACAACGATCGGATTTTTCATGTACGTTTTCCTTTTATCTATAGGGTGTTAATTAATTGAATGGCATAAAAATACCTGCCGTAATAAGAAAATTTATTCAGTTCAAACCCCGTACGGACGTTACTGGTGAAAATTTTAAAAAATCTTACACCTCAAAAAATGCTCCTTAATAATTTAAAAGTGTATACAAAATTTCATAAAAATATCTGGAGTAATAAGAAAATTATGATGGAAAAGTGATTTTTTTTCTAAAATTTTAACACCTTGTAGCTCGAAAACTAAGAGGTTTAGGACATACATTGATATAAACTTTTCTTCTTAAAACCCTCCAAATATTCACATCCTGAAGCATCGGCATACAATTAATTAACACCCTGTATTTCTCGTAATACGTATTATTTCAAATTAGCTGCAATTACCGGGCAATTTACATATAATCCGTTCAAAACCAATTAAATATCACTGAAAGAACGCAATTCTTACTTAAATCGTGCATAATATGGAAATACCGAAAAAATCCTTGAATTAAAACCGAATTTAAAATTTTAGAAAAATTAAAAGTTAACGGTTCATTAGTTTAATTAGCGTTTTATTTACATGCATCGATTTCCAATACATTAAACAAATCGACGAGTTTGACCTTTAATTTGCATTTTTCTGAACCAACGGACTCGGTAATTGTGTAATTGTCAATTTAACGTGTAATTAACTTTAATTAGCACCCGTTTATCTATAAAATTCACGTTAATTCCGTAATTAAACTTGCATTATATCTCACTGCACCTATAGAGGAAATATATCAAGTATAGGAAAATATTTTGACAGAGATAACAACTTTGACAATTGATAATTTTGACAAATGATTTATTTAAATGACAGAAGCAAATGGATATGTCTAATTCAAGGGAAGAGGATGGTAATTAATTAAAATAAATGTTTATAATTACTGCAGTATAATGTCACGGTAAATAGAGCGTGACTAAGATAGAGAATAAAAAAAAAAAGAAATGTTCATTAACGGCGCGATTAACGCCATTGTTTGTTTAACATATCGAAAAAGGATATACAAATTTAAATATTATAGAGGTATTGATAGAAATATACTAAGTAAATATTTCTTTAACGCGTTCTTGAAGTGATTATTGGACATTCCAAAATGCATTATTGTGAATGAATTGAGAAACATTGTGATGCATTGTAATGTATTATGAAATATTGTAAAGCACCATTTTTCTAATATAATTTAATACATCTAGTTCTTAAAGTTGCTACATTTACCTAATAATAAAAATGTCTCTAACTGATGCTAATTTAATATAATTTTTATGTGGACATTAATTATCTTGTTAAATATCTGTTATAAAATTGTGTTTGCAATAATAATTTACACCTTGGTCGTAAGTACTATTATTTCTTAATAAATAATAAAAAAAAATTCAGCGAGATTTTATCACGTATGGAAAAACTTTCTGTTGCTAGGTAGAAATAAATTTCCCTATAAAATTAAACAACACTATCATATACCTGCATTATTGTGGATTTAATAATTCCAAAAATGTATTTATTTTACGCGTACAAATTAATTTATTATCCACCTCATCTCTGCAATTAATTTTTTTTTTCAGCATTTATTAATAAAATTGCTAATAATGCGGCCTTAAGTTCATTATTGTATACAAAATTCGAAGGTTACCTTACTATTATTATCGCACAAACCATGAAATAAATCTCTCTATTAATGCATTACTCGATTAATTAAAAAAAACTAATTGTTAATTCGCAGATTTCATTTATTAAATTGCAAAAAAATTTATGGATCGTAAATTTATTGTACAAACATTACACGATCTAGAGTCATCTGGTAACCGTAGATAAAAAAAAAATCTTAAAGTCGAGTACACTCGCAGTCAAAAATAACGCTTCAAAAATAGAATACAGTAGTAGTCAAAAACTATGCTTACCTCTCATCCAGCGGCAAATCGAGCAACTCGGGCACGTTACACCAATAATTCTCCGGCACCAAAGTGATGAAAATCTGCGTGAAATACACCCAAGCCACGAAAAACGCGTAGGGCACCATCAGGAAAAACAAAGCGATCTGATACAACCCGAACTCCCCCACGTGGGGCAGCAAATCGTCGAAATCGAACGGGGCATTCCCAGGGGGCGCCGTTTCCGCGCCCCCGGCGCGCCCCTTGCCCCCCTGCTCGTCCTCGACGAACCCTTCGTTGTTGTAGGAGTTTTCCTGGTTGGGCGCCATCTTTTTCGGAGGATTTTCTGGTCCGATTCGAGCCGGATTTTCGGAGGGGATCAGCGAAGAGACTGAGCTAGCGCTGCGCTAATCCGGCGCGTTTATACGCAGAGCGGGGCGCTTAAAGGTCGAGAGAGATGATGGGACTTGGGTTGGGGAAAAATCCGCGATGGAGAGAGAGAAAATACGAGTGGATTTAGAGATTGTAGTTGGCTGGTGATGGGTGGAAGAAAATATACAAAGGATCTAGTTACATGGTGGTGTGTTGGATGTTTGTGGATGATCTAGTTTGCTGTGGGGATTTTTATTATCGTTTTTCTTTAGTGTCCTAAGCGTTAAATATTACTCTCGAAATTGGAGGAAATTGATGGATAAATTAAAAACCAAAAAAACGAGGAACTCGATATATAAAAAAACAATAAAATAATGCTTTTTTTTTTTAAGGTTGATTGACTTTCACCGGGCGGCAATGTTACGATCACTCAGCAAGAACTAATTGTTAGGTTGCATTCCGAGCAAACGACCTCAAAAGAAAATGTATTTTATTTGATTTTTTTTGACGGTCATATTTTAAATTGCGACGATTGATTTTCGTTATTTCACAGCTTCCTTAACTTGTTTATTCTTTTTTTTAATAATGTTTACTTCCTGTTACCGGTTTCGTTAATTAATACACCCACAGATCCGTGTACTATACGTGTAATTATTCGTGATTTAATCGACCTCATTAAAATCTATTCGATGATAAACATTAGTCTACTTGTTATTCTTGTTAGTAATTAAAACATGTTTTCTTCATACTAATTGTCTAGGAGGGAGATAACAAGAGTATTTGTCTTCTTTTTTTACTCAACACAATAATTTTGATGACTGAATACTTCAATAGGTAAAGTAACACCTCGACTGTCACTATTTGACAGTCCAACTCAAAAAGATGTTATTTAAGCTTTAATTTTCGTTTAATTTAACTAACCAAGTCTTTTGAACACTATAATTATTCATATCAACTGGAATATTTATCTTTTTTTAGTCAAAGTAAACTGAATATGACTGAATACCTCAACAGATAAAGTCAAACTATCGATTAAAAATCCAATCCTCAACTGTGATTATTTGACAATCTAAACTACAAAAGTCACTTAAGAAATACGTTTTTCATTAATTTCTTTAAATAAATGTCTTTTTAACACTAATTATATATAAAAACTCGATTAATCTTCTTTTTTATTCAACACATACTTATTTGACTGAATACCTCAATAGGTAAACACGAACTGTCAACTCTCACTAATTTGACAACCTAACCTACAAAAGTGAACCAATTTATTTTTAATTTTCTGTATATTTCAATAAACAAAATGAGTATAAATAATCTCGTTACGAATTTATCTAGGTAATCAACAACATCTTTTAATTAAACCTAATTAATTCGCATATCTTTCAGATTAACAATAAAATCTCTTCCGATAACAAGATGGGTACACTCCAGCAATCCGTTATTATTCAAAACCACCCCCATACTACTGTAAGTAACACAAGAAATACTTATAATTGGAATAAATCGTGTATTTTAGCGGCGAACCGTTGAAAAAGAAGAAACGAATGGACCCCGCAATCGTACGAGCCCGAGAGGAAAGGAAGAAGAAGAAACTCGAGAAAGCCATCAGGAAATTAGAGAAGCACGCCCGCAAATTGAAACCCATAGGCGAATGCGAAATACCTTTCGATCTTTTGGATACCCTCAAGTAAACTGAAACTAAGTCAATAAATTTTATGCTTATTGAATCATATTTGTAGCGAAAGAAAAAGAAGTTTACCGGCTCTATCGAGCGAAATTCTAGACAAAAGGGCCTTGTTGGAGAAACGATGGGCCAACTACAAACGAGAGCAACGCTTAATAGACGTTCAAATGTTGGATCGGATACAATATTCGCAACAACGGGCTTTAGACGAGCTGCGAAAAGAATCCGAGGAATTATACCAAGAAGCTATACAAGTAAACTACTATAATTCAAAGAAAATCGTTTATTTACGAGTTCGTTTCCAGCCCGATCTGTTGCTGATGCCTTACAAGGTCGAAGGTCCCGTAGAAACGCCTCCTATTGAGAACTACAAAAGCCCCGATGGGGATTACAAAGATGTATCGAAAGTGTGGTAAATTCGATTAAATTGTGTAGTAATAAAACGTTTATCTACATCTACGAAATGATTATTCTACAATGTAACTTTTGGGCAAATCGATGAGCTTCGGGAACTCCCGTACTTCCTCCTCTTTGTACTCGTCGAGCCTCTTCGGCTTCGGGCGCAATTGTTTGATTTGATTCGAAACGTTCTCGAGAAGATTCAACGGTACATTTGCATCGGGGTACAAGTGCAACCGTTCCATCGTGTACCTCCTTTGTAAACTCCGGTCCATGCTATTGTACACGGCTTTCTTCATAACCTACAAAATCGAGTAGAAATTACGCAAAGGAATCCAGGCGATCGGGCTTCGGGTTACCATCGTAGGATTCTTCTTGTGTAGTTCCCATGCTAAAGTCCAGGAGGCTCCTCCGGGGTAACCGGTGTGGTGGAAATACACGCGTTTCTTCCATTCGTCGCCCGGTAGAGCTACATCGGCCGTATTGATTACTATAACGTGATCACCGCAGTCGTCTGGAATAGCGGCAAATTTAAATTATGGGTTATTTTTGTGGTGTAAAACGTACTCATCGGATGGTATATGGGCTTGTGCATCCCCATTAAATATTTCTTGAGTAATTCGGCGGATTGGAAGGGATTCTGCCAAGCTGCATCGTATATGTGCCATACGCGAGCGAATGTCGCCCATTGCTGGAATTAATGCGAATTTAATAAATAATTATCGATATAAACGCGATATTTGTACCTGTACTCGCTTTAATTGGGACATTTAATTATCTATTTGTAATCACACATTCGCCATAACATAACCTGAAAAGTGAGTAGATGTCAAACTTGTCAATCGGTGGTCTTTTACATTAGCATTATTCTGTTATTAAAGTAGCGATTGATTGCTGGAATTAATACGAATTTTAATAAATAATTATCGATACAAACGTGATTTTTGTACCTGTACTCGCTTTAATTGGGACATTTAATTATCTATTTGTAATCACACATTCGCCATAACATAACCTGAAAAGTGAGTATATGTCAAACTTGTCAATCGGTGGTCTTTTACATTAGCATTATTCTGTTATTAAAGTAGCGATTGATTGCTGGAATTAATACGAATTTTAATAAATAATTATCGATACAAACGTGATTTTTGTACCTGTACTCGCTTTAATTGGGACATTTAATTATCAATTTATAATCACATTCGCCATAACCTGAAACGTTAGTATATGTCAAACTTGTCAATCGGTGGTGTTTTACATTAGCATTATTTAGTTACTAAAGTAGCGATTGATTGCTGGAATTAATACAAATTTAATAAATAATTATCGATACAAACGCGATATTTTACCTGTACTCGCTTTAATTGGGACATTTAATTATCAATTTATAATCACATTTATAATTTTGGAACAACAGAAATCGAAAGATTTTATTAACTTCAAGTTGCCCAAATATCATTATAATTTCTTTAAAAGATTTAAACAAAAATGTACATTTTTCTTCAATACCCAATAGAATATAGTAATAACAAGTAGAATAATGTTATAGAAGTTTCTAGCATATTTGCAATACCTAAATTTATAATCAAACTCATTAAATAAAGCTTCAAATATTTTTTTTACTCTTTCTTTCCCTCCCTAATTCCTTTAACACCCGAGCTCGCGAGGCCCCTTAACAAGCCCCTTCCGATAACTCTACCTTCTTAAATTACATTTAAAATATATCGGAATCAAATTCCATTTAAAACGCCTCCAAAATAATCCAATCGGTGTAACATTCGAGTCGAAATAATCGAGTTGAACATCCAACGAATGCAACACAACTGCTATTAACTAGCAAATGAATTTGTTGGAGCATCGCCCGTTAGCTCCGTTTGCATTACAAGAATGCACCTGAATGCAACTCGCGTCCTTTTTACGACTAAAACACGCCATGAACAAACGTATCCCCGAGCATTTCCTCCGGGATAATATTCTAATTTCGTTATGCCGGCGCGGGGAAAACCCGGAGATAGTCCCAAAGCTAATTAGAGGGAATGTAAAAGAAAAAACGATAAGTGTGCTTAAAGTTCTAATTGTTTTGTTCAAGTCGGAGTAATTAATATTGTATTGTACACCCTTTTGTATATCTACTGCACTGATCTAATCTGCATTTTAACATTCCTCACCGCAGGTAATCGTGATTAACTTGAATTATTCTGTATAAAATAAACGTGCTCTACCTTTTACCTCGACAGGGAGAGATATGGCATTGTCACAAATTGTTCAGGATTGTAGTAGAATCATTTAGAACCAAAATCTCTTCGAACAGATTCTGGGATCGATCCATAATTGTACGAATTTATTCAAACAACTGTATCAAAAACGCTTTAATATGCAAAAAAAAAACAACTCTTTGACTGTTGGATCCGAGTCAAAAACAGACAACGAGCTTCTGATAATTGAATAACTCAAACATAATCCCTCCAGTTTTTTTTGTAGCTTTTTTTTGCTCGGATTAGAGCCCGAGGATTTATGAATCATTTTTTCTTTGATAATTTTTCGTTACGTTTGACCGATTAATTCGTAAGCCAGTCCGATTCCATTCCCTATTTTCCCCGGTCAGTTGACCGGCGACAATCCGGAAAATCCATTAACTTATCCCGGAGTTTTCGATAGGATATCAACTCAAACAACTTCGGTAAACGGTTAAAGAGAATCCTCCTTTTGTCTTCGAGACAACGAAATACCTAATAAAACAACCGGAAATCGCGAAGTTCCGACCGATTCGTCAATATAAGCTCTATTATTAAACTTATCTACCGCAGTCGATAAGAGCTTGTAAAGCGCCATTAAAACATTTTACGGCGATAATAAAAACATCCCCGTTCCATTCCGAAATATAAACGCTCTCGGAATCGACGGGATTTCCGTCTCGACCGCGCCAATTTTCCAATTTATTTTACCGCTGCAAACGAAACGCCCGATCTGAAGATATTGCATTGTTGAGGCATCCAAGTGCACAACATTTTCACCCGTCCACTCTGATCACCAGTAGAGAATCGATCACTGGAAAATGCACGATACAGGAATACTATTTAGGGATATTGAGAGGATGATAATTTGTTGGATGGTCCTGAATTATAATGAAATGTGTGGGCTAAAGAATGAACGAAACTTGTAATGTGAATCCTGAATTGTTCCACAACAGTCAAAGAACTGTTCTTAGTGATTTTGGACAGTAATAAATGGTTCTAAAGGGTCCTAAGTTGATCCTAATCAGTTCTAAATTCGTTCTAAAGGGTTCTAATGGATTTTGAACAATTGATTTGAGCACTCTACCTTTCCCTATTTCTCCCTACTTCACCCTATTTATCCTACTCAATTATAATGGTCAAATATACTTCTTTGTTGCATTTTTGTGTCATTATTCTGTTCTTAGTGACTTTGGACAGTACTAAATGGTTCGAAATCGTCCTAAGTTCGGCCTAATCAGTTCTAAATTCGTTCTAAAGGGTTCTAAAGGATTTTGAACAGTTGATTTGAACACTCTACCTCTCCCTATTTCTCCCTACTTCACCCTATTTATCCTACTCAATTATAATGGTCAAATATACTTCTTTGTTGCACTTTTGTGTCATTATTCTGTTCTTAGTGATTTTGGACAGTACTAAATGGTTCGAAATCGTCCTAAGTTCGACCTAATCAGTTCTAAAATCGTTCTAAATAGTTCTAAACGATTTTGAACCGTTCTAAATGATTCTAAAACTGTTCCTCTCTACCTTTTCCTACCTCTTCATATTTCTCCTACTCAATTATAATGGTCAAATATACATCTTTGTTGCATATTAACACTTTGGCGTATTTTTCGGGCCGGTTATATTCGGTTTAATCGCTTTTATATGCACAGGAAATAGCGATAAGCCCTCGTAGAATATCCGAAAACCTCTGTAAACTCCGCTATAATTCCCATTAGAAACGAAATAGGGGCCCGAGTCTGATACAATCACTGCTACACAACTTGCACATTAGGATTGTAGAAGAAAAATTCAAACTTGTAACTTCGTTATGGCAATGACGTTTTCGTATTAGACATTCTGTATATAGAGGAATGTGTTGTAGAGTTTTGTAATTTGAGTTTGATTAAAAAAATTGTAGAAGAAATTTTATATATATATAAATCATAAAACGACTTCAAAAGCTAGGAAGCCGGAGTTTTATTTACGAAAAAAAATTCGATTAACTTGTTTACAGGATTCGAAATGTACCGCGGGTTTCCGTGGCGTTCAAATTAATTTTGTTCTAACTTAAGAATGGATTTGATGTAAGAATTTCGCAGAGTTCTACTTTGTTTAATAAGTTTTTCGCATTTCTCTTCGTGGAGGATATTTTAATTTCGCTCTAAAATTAATAATTATGATCCTTTAATTTCTCTCCACCATGCAGCTACTAAAAAAAATCTAGCCTTTATTAGAACTCTTCAGCAAATCTTTCAAGGCTTAATATTATTCAAGGATTAATAATTATTATCCTTTAGTTTCTCTCCACCATGCAGCTACTAAAAGAAATTGTAGCCTTTATTAGAACTCTTCAGCAAATCTTTCGAGGCTTATCTTTCACTTCATCTACACCATTTGAACATGATTTAGACAACTGTACAGTTACAACATGTTTCCAAATCCATTCCGGTGTGTTTTCGAATCCGAAAGCGTAATAAACAAGTTTACTCTGTCGACAAAGTTATCAAAGATGTGTCAATACGGAGGCGATTGCACCGGAAAATTCCAATATATGTTTTGAAATTCGTTCGACGGGAGGATTTGCGAAAACGAATGCATGATTGAGCTTAAGTAATGCAATTGGTTCGATTTTTTTTGTAAATGTTTTGTTTTGTACTTATTTTTGCATTCAAAACGCATCGTACAAGTTCTTCAGAATCGTTTAGAACTGTTCGAAACTATTCAGAATTGTCGAGAATCGTTTAGAGATCGATTGAAGCAGTTCAGGATGATCTCAGGAGAATTAAGAACTCTTTTGTAGAAGACTAACTGAAAGTTGTTTTTAGCTGCAGTTTTTATTTTATATATATCTATCATTTTCTTGCTCTGGGTTGGGTAATTTAGAACAAAAAGAAAATACATGTTTATCAGGATTTCCGCCGCTGAGAATTTTTTAATTTGCCAGCGAGAGAAAGCGCTGATTAAACGAAAACTTTTCTGTTTTGGACTTTTCGACCTTTTTGTTGACTTCTCTTTGTTTCTTCGCGCATTAAACTTGACAATTCGAAGTCAACAGGCTGTAATTATTTCAATTCGCTCTTCGTTCCTCATCACATCGAGTCATTTCGAAGGTTTTTCTCCGCCAATCGGGACGAGGAGGATCCTTTATTAAGAATTTATCAGACGCCAGTGAATCGTCGAAATAAAGGGAAGAATTTGTGCTAATGCGGGGTTAAATGTACCGGAAAAATTTTTATGGGAGCGTTAAGGGCATAGAGAAAATGGCAATAAATACGAAAAGTGCTAAATTACCTTTTAGGATTCGACTTTTTTAAGTGTTTTGGAATTATCGACCTGCCTGCGGCGATTTTCGATGTAGAAATGAATGAATTTTGTAATAATAAATAAATAAATAAATAGAAATTGGCATTTTTTCTTTAATTTTTCTTGGTTTCTTGTCAAATTTAGTTTTCTGCAAGTTTATTAGATCTCGCTATTTCATTTTCTTTTATTTTACTTTTATCTTTCTTTTATTATTTTATAGTTTTTCTTTATTTTATTTCTTTTCTTCGAATTTTGCAATATGAATGTGTTTCATTTATATTTTACTAGCAAATGCAAATTTAACTAATTTATTTTTCAGATGAAATATTCTAATTTTGTCATGCAAAAGTTCAAATATTAGAAATAAATGCATTCTCTTCAAATGGTTCAAGATTTTTTTTAATTTATCCAATCCTCTACAGTTCTAAATGATTCTAAGATCATCCTGAACTGTCTCAAACGGACCCACTCAGTTCTAAAATGGTTCTAAATTATTTTGAACAGTTCTAAATGATTCTAAGATCGTACTGAACTGTCTCAAACGAATCCAGTCAGTTCTAAAATGGTTCTAAATTATTTTGAACAGTTCTAAATGATTCCAAGATCGTACTGAACTGTCTCAAACGAATCCAGTCAGTTTTAAAATGGTTCTAAATAATTTTGAATAGTTCTAAATGATTCCAAGATCGTACTGAACTGTCTCAAACGAATCCAGTCAGTTTTAAAATGGTTCTAAATAATTTTGAATAGTTCTAAATGATTCTAAGATCGTACTGAACTGTCTCAAACGAATCCAGTCAGTTCTAAAATGGTTCTAAATTATTTTGAATAGTTCTAAATGATTCCAAGATCGTACTGAACTGTCTCAAACGAATCCAGTCAGTTCTAAAATGGTTCTAAATTATTTTGAATAGTTCTAAATGATTCCAAGATCGTACTGAACTGTCTCAAACGAATCCAGTCAGTTTTAAAATGGTTCTAAATAATTTTGAATAGTTCTAAATGATTCTAAGATCGTACTGAACTGTCTCAAACGAATCCAGTCAGTTTTAAAATGGTTCTAAATAATTTTGAACAGTTCTAAATGATTCTAAGATCGTACTGAGCTGTCTCAAACGGACCCGGTCAGTTTTAAAATGGTTCTAAATAATTTTGAACAGTTCTAAATGATTCTAAGATCGTACTGAGCTGTCTCAAACGGACCCGGTCAGTTTTAAAATGGTTCTAAATAATTTTGAACAGTTCGAAATGATTCTAAGATCGTACTGAACTGTCTCAAACGAATCCAGTCAGTTTTAAAATGGTTCTAAATAATTTTGAACAGTTCTAAATGATTCTAAGATCGTACTGAGCTGTCTCAAACGGACCCGGTCAGTTTTAAAATGGTTCTAAATAATTTTGAATAGTTCTAAATGATTCTAAGATCGTACTGAACTGTCTCAAACGAATCCAGTCAGTTTTAAAATGGTTCTAAATAATTTTGAACAGTTCGAAATTATTCTAAGATCGTACTGAACTGTCTCAAACGAATCCAGTCAGTTTTAAAATGGTTCTAAATAATTTTGAATAGTTCTAAATGATTCTAAGATCGTACTGAGCTGTCTCAAACGGACCCAGTCAGTTTTAAAATGGTTCTAAATAATTTTGAACAGTTCTAAATGATTCTAAGATCGTACTGAACTGTCTCAAACGAATCCAGTCAGTTTTAAAATGGTTCTAAATAATTTTGAACAGTTCGAAATTATTCTAAGATCGTACTGAACTGTCTCAAACGGACCCAGTCAGTTCTAAAATGGTTCTAAATTATTTTGAACAGTTCTAAATGATTCTAAGATCGTACTGAACTGTCTCAAACGAACCCAGTCAGTTATAAAATGGTTCTAAATTATTTTAAATAGTTCTAAATGATTCTAAGATCGTACTGAGCTGTCTCAAACGAACCCAGTCAGTTCTAAAATAGTTCTAAATAATTTTGAACAGTTCTAAATGATTCTAAGATCGTACTGAGCTGTCTCAAACGAACCCAGTCAGTTCTAAAATGGTTCTAAATTATTTTGAATAGTTCTAAATGATTCTAAGATCGTACTGAACTGTCTCAAACGAACCCAGTCAGTTCTAAAATGGTTCTAAATGATTTTAAACAGTTCTTAACAATTCTAAGCTTGTTTCAAATTTGGTTCAAATCTGGTGATTCTGGACAGTTCAAAACGATTCTAAAACTATCCTAAACAATTTCAAAACATGAACAAGTACATATTCTGTCATTTCTCTCCCACTTAACCGATTCAACAGTCCAAAAAACACTCTCCATCTCTAAATAACCAAGCGATTGTTACCAAACAATAACCGATATAAAAAAAAACCATTGTAGAAATTAAACAAACAAAGATCCCCACTTCGTCGCAGGACCGCAGGAGGCGCGCGCGCGCGTCCGCGAAAATCGCCCGGCAGGAAAAGCGCCTTTTCCATTCAGGCGTCCGTCGCGCGCTCGGCCCGCGGAAAATCGTGCGGAAAAATCGCGCCGGAAAAGTTTCTCGAGCGGTCCGAAAAAAGTTTTCCCGATCGCCTTGCAATACAAATTGATATGGCTCTTGGAAAATTCGACGGGATGCAATTCGACGAAGCAGCAGGTATTTTGGGTTGTTTTTTATTGGAAATTTATTGGAAAAATGTTTTTTTTTAATACCTACATAATTATTATCTGCTTACATGTGCTTTGTTGTCGTTTCTAATTAATTTTTAATACTAATTTAGCTAGTAATACAGCAGGATGTTTATTTAAAACTATCCCTAATTTTTTCACACTTTATGACATATTTCTAACGCTGAGAATATTGCTAGTAAAATATTAATCTCTGCTTACATTAGTATAATTTTTAATACTAATTTAGCTAGTAATACAGCAGGGTGTTTATTTAAAAGTTGTTTTAAAACTATCCCTAATTTTCTCACACTTTATGGTAAAATTCTAACGCTGGGTATATATTCGATTGCCACAATATTGCTAGTAAAATCGAAAGAAAAAAAAATAATCCATCGTGATTGATGATCGAAGTATTTTCTCCACTAGATCTGTACTTCTAAATAATCCTATTTTCTCCTCCTTGATCGCTCAAAGAAATACTTCCACTTCGAAATTCCAAATCCATTATTAACCCAATTACTTTGCTATCGCGTTTATTTTTCCGGTGGAACTTCCACCGCAAAGTGCGAAGCTTCGGAACTTTGATAATAAAAAATAAAAAAAAAACATCGCTTTATCAATTCCGCTGAATCGTTTTATTGCATTACAAGTTGTGTGGAAACTTGCAAATTGATATTAAGGGCGGAAATTCGTACGCAAAACTATACAACACCAGAATTGTTACTGACGAGAATAATCCATTTCGATTAATCCATCACCGACGTTGTTGCGAAATGATTTATCGTTTATACGATGAATAAAAAAAAATCAGGATTAATCCATCGAGTCGAGCGTGATTGATATCCGATTTACTCTATTATTTCGATAACGATTTCTTTCGCTTTTCATCAATTATCAAAGCGAAAACATCGTTAAATTATTACCGAAGATAATTAAAACTTCATTGAAATCGCTTTCGATGAATGAAAGCGGAACGGCTTAAACTTGTCTTTCGAAGACAGAAGCTCAAATTTAAAGCCGGTTTTGACTCGCTACTGTAAAGAAACTTCTTAATGTGACATCCGCGAAATGTGGGAGGATTTATGCCGGGTTCATATAATATATTAGATATAAGGTAGCTTTAAATTATTAGTTACATTAAAACTATATGTAGCATAAACTGCATTCAAAGCAGTAGAAGGTATTGGAATTATTATAAAAGGAACTTGAATATAGATTCGCGATTCTAAATGGCTTTGAATAGTTCCAAATGGTTCTAAAACTGAATAATTTGAGCGAGTACTACAGGTTTTCACATCAAAATTTCAGCAGTAAATGAAAAGTAAATAAAAAATTTACCCATTGTATTTAATGTTTACCATTCGCACGAACTTGTTTTATTAATAATTCTTGTTATGTGTGTAAGCTGGTGAAAGATTGAAAGAAAATACGTGATAATATTTCAATAATTCGGTGTAACATTTTCATTTTAAATGTTACAATTCTTCGACGTGCTATTTTCGTTACAAAATCAAAGCATTTGCCTTCAATACAGAAACTATTCGAATTTTCCCATTTTTTAAACATTACATTTATTTTTTATTCAATACACACGAACATATTACTAAGTATATTTAGATAAAAGTAGTTACAAAAAGTAAAAGTTACACACTAATCTTTCACCAATTTTTTATCATTTCCTCTTTATATTTTCAACCCACCTGTGGAAGGGTTTCCTTTGATTACAAAGGAAAAGGGTCGGTGTATAATGAGAGGTCGGGATTTAATGGTCGCCTATATGCATTAGCTGTTAATGATGAATAATGGAGAATCCTACAAGGAAGATGGTTTTTTTTATTTAGCATCGATTATTCAATTAAGCACAATCTATACAAATCTTGTAAACTACAAAAAATAGATATTAATACTAACTTAGTATCTGTATGTAAATAATTCACATGGGCTATTTGTTTTATAATGAAGCGTGTACCAGTAAAAAATTCACTTTATTTTCCATTCCATATAATGCCAATTTAAATTCCGCACCGAAAATTTTATTGGCAACGTTTATTTGAAACATTCCAAATGAATTTGGAATAACGCAAAGTCTGTTTGATAGAATTTGATAGAAATATAAATCGTAAAGCGTAAAAACTCACGAATTTGAAAGTTGGGCTTCCGTAATTTTAAGAAATGGAAAATTTTAAATTCGAGAAATTTAATAAAAATGGCGTTATATGACAAGTTAAATCGCCTCGTTTTACGCCGATTTTACACAGAAGGAACAATAAAATCCCGACTATTTTACTTTAATAAATTCCTCGACGTCCATATATTCTATAAAACAATTTTTAATAGTTATAAAATTTTATGTATTGGAAGAGAATGTGCGATATACAACGTTTTTACAACGAATTTATTTTGTTTTAAAATTTACTCGCTGTATTGAAATGTCTATTTTTGCACACAATATAAAAGTTAGTGCATTAATCTGAAAGATATTTTATTATCCAGTGAATAACAAAAGTGTCCTTTGAGCCGCATAATTTAAAAAAATAATCGCAATTAAAATATTTCCATTATTACAAAAAAGTATGGATGTAACAATAGGATGAAATTCCGGTTTTCATTGAGGGAAAAACAATGCAGGTATTAAAAATCTACCCACACCTGTAAAATTTTATACGCTTGTAATCGACTATTTCCACCAGTATAGTAGAGAGAATTTTATTTATTTGTACTGGTATTTAATTAAATCGGTAGAGCTTGTGAAAAATACATTTTTTTACAGCTCGACACCTGCAAATTCAAATGTTCATGTAAATGTTATTTTACTACGCCACTGTTGCTATTTGAATTCGGCAATTTTTAATATCTAAGAACTAATGAGAGTAATTTCTGAAGGTCTTGCATTCGCTTCGAAACTAATCAGTAGTAGAATAATTTTACTGCTACTTTTTACGATCGTTTCCGTCAGAAATAAAACCATTTTTACGATTTTTTATTCAGAGCTGGAATAATATAAGAAATGTGCACAAAGCATCTACTCGAGCAAATATTTTTTTATGTTTGCAATATGATTTTGAATAGTTCTAAAACTATCCCGAACAATTCGAGCAAGTACGCCGATGCAAAAAGTGTTTTATGTTTCCATTTCTTTCAATCCAATCCTATCTAAATCATGCAATGCTTTCTCGGTAATTTTATTTTATATTTGTATGGTACAATTCACACGAACCATCAATTTTCAGTCTTGTTACAGTAACGAAAAATGGCATATTTTATTATGTTTATGGACGAAACGGAGCATAGCGAATAATGATATGAAATGGACAGACATTTTTGTGTTTTCCATCTTGAATATTTTCACTACTCTCATCCATTTCGGGAAAATTAATTCGGTATTCGATGCAAATGAATAACTTACCTATACAGGATTCATATACTCTCTAGTTTTATAAAGTTGGTCACGTTTTTAACAGCGAGTTTTATTCAAATTGGGCTTTGTTTGTTTTTCGAAAAATCGTGGGCGTAAATCAGATTTTTTTTTGTCGAGAAAAAGTCGCGAAAGGGCGACAAATCTCCGCGATTTTTCGCGACGAGCAGGGAGAGAACGAAATTTGTCGGTTCACGTCAGATGCTTCGAAGATAGATAAGAAAAGAGTGATTTTCATTTTTTAAAGTCGTTTCCGAAATGGTATTATACCAAATACAGGGTGGCACCTGTTGGTATAAATAAGTAGTTCAATACAGGGTGTTAATTAATTGAGTGTCGATACTTCAGGATGTGAATATTTGATTGATTTTAAGAAGATAAGTTTATATCAATGTATGTTCTAAACCTCTTAGTTTTCGAGCTATAACAAGGTGTTTAATTTTAGAAAAAAATTAACTTTTCTATCATAATTTTCTTATATTTTTATGAAATTTCGGACGTGGACTTCACTGATAATAATAGAAAATTAATTTTTATCCCCAAAAAAAAGTGTTTTCATGCTTGGTGGGCGCCTATCAAATTTCTACAAAATATCAAAACCAGTCTCGAAATGAACTTGGGAAAAAATGGTTTTGGTTTTTATTTTTTTACGCGAAAATGGTGCGTCGTACGAAAATAAGTCTTCTGACCGAATTTGCTACAAAATAAATGAGGATTTTAAAAATAATTTTAGTTTTTAGAAAAACCAGTGGTGTACCATTTTTTTCTTCAAACATATTCAGTTCAAACCCTGTACGGACGTCACTGGTGAAAATTTTAAAAAATCTTACACCTCAAAAATTGCTCCTTGATAATTAAAAAGTGTATACAAAATTTCATAAAAATATCTTTCGTAATAAGAAAATTATGATAGAAAAGTTATTTATTTTTTCTAAAATTTTAACACCTTGTAGCCCGAAAACTAAGAGATTTAGGACATATAATAATATAAACTTTTCTTCTTAAAATTATCCAAATATTCACATCCCGAAGTATCGGCGTTCAATTAATAAACACCCTGTACTTAAATGTGATTTCAAATTTAAATTCCAACAAAAAATACCAACAGCTTATTCATTAACAACCAATGCAAACATAGGCTCGGTGAACAATTCGAAATCGATACCACGACAAGGTGAATTTCGTGTAACCCTGCTCTTAATTGGGTTGCATTTTCATCCCCCCGAAGGTGTGTTCCTACAAGGATTTTTTAGGAACAACCAATTACCATCTAATTATCGCTAATTGAATTGTCGAGCCAATTACCTAGCGATTTAACCCCGAAGTTTGATAGTTACTACGCTGATAATCCGGCAAAAATTTGAAGATGTGGAGAGTTAATTAGTTGCATTAAAGGTTTTAAAACAGTCCTTGAACGATTTGAAGGAACAAGCACTTTCTCACACTCGTTTAATTCTCTATTATCGTCACAAACCTTGTTAATCTTATACATAATCTTTCCGACGATATTCACAAATTTTTCGTTATTTCAGTTTATGAACATGTCAGTAATCCTCGCACGTAAGGCGTAGAGATAATCGATTGGACGAAATCGAACGAAATGAATCCTCAAATACAGATGTCGCCTCTAATCCTGCTGATGCTCATCATTTCTCGACCATCCCACGGATATCCCGAAATCCCCGCCGACGATTTGACAAACGAGAATATCACCGACGATTTCATTTCCCTCTTCGACATCGATAATGAAAATCTCACCATCATCGAACTGCTCGAAGGTAAACTCTTTTCTTTACTAAGCAGAATCTTGTTGGATCAATCACCGATGATTCTTTCTTCACCAGCTATATCTTTGAACATCACCAACGTTTCCTCGGCGATGCCGCTGCTGACGGAGATGTTCCTGGAGCTGGTGAGGCCGAACACCTGGACGTGGATCCTCATCTTCTGCCACTGCGTGGTGTTCTTCGTGGGCTTGGTGGGGAATTGCTTGGTCTGCGTGGCTGTCTACAGGAACCACAGCATGAGAACGGTGACGAATTATTTCATTGTGAACCTGGCGGTGGCGGATTTCTTGGTGATACTCTTCTGCCTGCCTCCGTCGGTTATTTGGGACGTCACCATGACCTGGTGGTTCGGGACTGGCTTGTGCAAGATCGTGCTCTATTTGCAGGTAATTTTATTGCATTAATTTCGATGTAGTATGAACAATTCGAGGTTGTCAGCTGTTGCGGTGATGTGTTTATGGCAGGCAAAAGCGGATTGTGTTCGATTGTTGTGCAATAATTGCGAGGTTCGTAATTATGGGAATGATTATGCGAAATGGAATTTTTTAATCTTTCGCGAATGGGTAATTTTCTGTAGCTCTCTCTCCTGCTTGTTAAAACTTAAAGCTTTTGTGTCCGTCAAAAATGCGCAGCTTTTACCAGGCGACTTTATTGCGCTGATTACACGTCAAACTGGAAATGGAAATTAATTTAGTCCTTTGGCTGCTTGAGAATGGAATATTGTTCATTTCTTAGATTATAAAAAAATGTTAATGGAACGAACAGAATTGTAACTAAAAACTGATACAAATATTTTGCATCTATGTTTAAATTACTTGCAAATTGCAACTATACAAAGCATATACTCATTAACCATATATTGTTAAGTCCCTTAACGAGCTGCATTCATCATTTATGAGCACCAATTTAGTTTCTAATGCTCCATTTTCTAATACCAGAAAACCCAATAAAGGCTAATAAGAAGACATGTTTACCACCAGGACAACCCTTCATCTAGTTTAATATAGAATCGACAAAATGGTTCTAAAAATCGTTCTAAGATCGCCATGAACTCATCCAAACGATTACTCTCAAGTACCTAAACGGTTCTAGACAATTTCGAGCAAGTTCTCCACCATCTCTCTCCATCTCCAGCGACATTACCTAGCTCAAATACGCTCTCTTTCTCGCGCTCGTTTCTCGAGTACCCTTTCGTTAGCCATTTTCTAATTCGATTCTGTACCTTGCGGCCGTTTGCTTTTTACCCCGACGAACAACTAAAAGGGAAAGTTTCGAGGCGAAAAAGTAATTTGTATTTCGGCATTGATCGCGTCCCACGTAGGTATAAAATCCCCCCATATACGCGAATCTCGGGAATGTATTTCGCGAAACTCGATAAATATGCTTATACCGTGTGTCCGAGGTCGAGAGCTGCAAACAGTAGAAAGAGAGAATCAGTGCAGAGGCGGTAATGTATACTGTAATGTGGAGGAGATGACTTCTAGCTAGCACTGTATATGATTTGTAAATTTATACCGTGTGTCCGAGGTCGAGCGCTGCATTCACTCCGGCGATTTATCGCGCTTTTGCACAGTTCGACTGATTCTCTCTTTCTACTGATTGCAGCGCTCGAGATTGGACACACGGTATAGGCGTTTTGCGTGTGAATAAATCCGTTTCTGAGGTTTTTTAAAAGTTTTAAATCTCGCTCACTGTGTATTATGATGTTTCCGAAACTTTAAATTACTTTCCTTATGGGTATACGTGCTGATAACGTTATTAGAACTTTTCGAAATGTACCACAAAAATGTAGAAAGTATGGATTTTCTCATTTAAAGGTATAATAGTGAGATGAGACCACCTACTGAGTGGGTTCATTGTAAAAATTTTTGATATTTGCATTTAATTTCGACATTCCCTTGCATCTAGCGCGCCGAGCGGAGGATAATATTCGTTTAATTTACGGTTAATTAATTTCTAAACGAAAGGTAAATTGTTTAGCGCGATGCCCATCGTATTTTTTTTTAATTACCCGGTATCGTAAAAAGTTTTATAGCCTTAATAACGGCGGAATTCCGACGGACGGGATTATTTAATAAAATGTACAATGAAATGTCCAAAATGTCTGTTTACGAATCCCTCTAATAAGAATTTATCGAGCCACTTCGACTGGGAAGATTTCAAACAACATTTCCACCTCTTTTACTTAATTAAACAACCGGTTTTAACTAACCCGATGCATTTAATAAACCGCCTAGACATCGAGCTGGTGTAAAAAAAATTCGTTTGTACTTTTTTTCGATATTAAATTCGATATTAAATCGGAGTCGCCCGCTGAAATTATGCAAAAGGGAGATTCGCGGGAGGGCTCGCTGGAAAATGTTCTAAATAACATGTCAAGTCGGATGTCCGTCCAAGCTCGGTGGTTTTGCGGTCGCTTTCAATTGCAATTTGGACATAAATTCGGCTTTCGTCGAGGTGGTTTTATTTGTTTCCCCGAAACCGAAAAAATTCCTGCCCTATTTTTGCTTCTATTCGTATAAATTGTTCGTACGATATAGACACAAAAAGGGGCTCTATGTAGGGTGTTAATTAATTGAGAATGCTGATATTTCAGGATGTGAATATTTGGATGATTTTAAGAAGAAAAGTTTATATTAATATATGTCCTAAACCTCTTAGTTTTCGAGCTACAGGGTGTCAAAATTTTAGAAAAAAAATACTTTTTCATCATAATTTTCTTATTACTCCATATATTTTTATGAAATTTTGTATACACTTTTTAATTATTAAAAAGCATTTTTTGAGGTGTAAGATTTTTTTAAATTTTCACCAGTGACGTCCGTACGGGGTTTGAACTGAATATGTTTGAAAAAAAAATGGTACACCACTGCTTTTTCTTAAAACTAAAATTATTTTTAAAATCCTCATTTATTTTGTAGCAAATTCGGTCAGAGGACTTATTTTCGTACGACGCACCATTTTCGCGTAAAAAAATAAAAACCAAAACCATTTTTTCCCAAGTTCATTTTGAAACTGCTTTTGATATTTTGTTGAAATTTGATAGGCGTCCACCACGCATGAAAACACTTTTTTTGGGGATAAAAATTAATTTTCTACTATTATCAGTGACGTCCACGTGCGAAATTTCATAAAAATATCTGCCGTAATAAGAAAATTATGATAAAAAACTTATTTTTTTTAATACCCTGTAACTCGAAAACTAAGAGGTTTAGGACACACATAAATATAAACTTTTCTTCTTAAAATCATCCAAATATTCACATCCTGAAGTATCGGCATACAATTAATTAACACCCTGTACAAGATAGTGAAGTGAAATGCCTCTATTAGCGACTTTAAATTAATATCAAATTAAAAATAGCTAGTTGGAAATACTTTCGGAGATAAGGAGAAAAATTATGATAAGAAATTTTGTAATATCATCATCTCAAAATACCTCTTTGATGGTTGAATGAAAGGGGTTGACATACAAATTGGTATATACATTTTTCTGACGAGGGTTATTTCGTTTAGGAAAATATGCTTTTAAACTTTTAATAAAATGGAAGAAAAAAAAAATATTGATAGGCATAATTTGGTGTTGCCGAAATTTATTATATCTAACTCACACTTAGATAAATTCGGTTATTATTGTAGATAACTAACACGTTATAAATTCATTAATAAAATGATGCTAAGTAATTATATCTATTATCCTATTGAGGTGTCACTGTTCCTATCGATTCATCAAATATTTTTTCCCGAAACGCTAATTAAAACTAATCAGTTGTCTATTTTGATCCGCACTTTCCTCATCAAGTTAATTAATATTAATCACAGCTCATCGACTGGAATTGCGAATTTGTTTTCGCTCATCCAGTTAGTAGAAAATTAGGCGGTTTTGCACCAGTAATTGCCATGCACGTTTTACAATAATCACCGCTTAATCTGATCATATTGACCAACAAAAAAACCGCAAATCCACGTGCGAATTTCGGATAAATAAAATTCTCCAACTCGATTAAATGATAGGCGACCTCGAATAGAAGAAAAATAACACGAAAAAAAAGTTATTTACGACGCCCCTAATTCCGGAAAAACCGGGTCATTTTCAATTCCCTCCAGGTTACTTTTTACAACAGTTGTTGCTGATATATGCGCCTATATACCTACTGAATAAAATATCCCAAAAAAACGCTTTTCATAAGGGAAAGTGGCGCGCGAAGGTAAAGAAATTCAATGCTATAAAAAGTCCATTTTGCAAATTTTGCCATTTTGCAAAACTGTTGCAAATTAATTGATATTTCTATTTTTTTTGCAGAGCATGTCGGTGACTGTGTCTGTTCTAACACTAACCTTCATTTCATTGGATCGTTGGTACGCGATTTGTTATCCACTCAAGTTCAAATCCACCACGGGGAAAGCAAAAACTGCCATCCTAATAATCTGGATCATCGCGATGGTTTGTGGTAAGTTTCTAACTACAATATTTTCCAATAACTCCACTGAATACAGCGACAATTCGTTAATAAATTCGTTTAGAATAAAAACCGAAGATTTACTGTAATTCAATCGAAGTAAAAACTCGATATCAATCGAATTATGCGAGAACTCGAGACGCTTCGATTCTATTCCATTTCCATGGTAGATTTCTCGGCTAATATTCGATTGCAATAGCTAGACAATAACATTAGACTCTAATCCTTTCGGGAAGTAAAGCGCAACGAAATAGGTCAGACTTATTCGGATTTTCCTCTGCTATTTTTGTGCAAAACCCGCTGGAGTGGCTTCTCTTGCTTAACGCCACAATTTCAAGGCAGCACGTTTTAATTTCAATGACTCACCCGAGCATTAAACTTTACATCCCACCTACATTATCCTTGTAAATAATAAGCTTTTGTCCTTCAGTTTGCACCTTTTGTTAAAAGTCGAGCATCGAGTATTATACAGGGTGTTGATTAATTGTATGCCGATACTTCAGGATGTGAATATTTGGATGATTTTAAGAAGAAAAGTTTATATTAATGTGTGTTCTAAACCTCTTAGTTTTCGAGCTACAGGGTATTAAAAAAAATAAGTTTTTTATTATAATTTTCTTATTACGGCAGATATTTTTATGAAATTTCGGACGTGGACGTCACTGGTAATAGTAGAAAATTAATTTTTATGCGCAAAAAAAAGTGTTTCCATGCATGGTGGGCGCCTAACAAATTTCAACAAAATATCAAAAGCAGTTTCAATGAACTTGGGAAAAAATGGTTTTGGTTTTTATTTTTTTACGCGAAAATGGTGCGTCGTACGAAAATAAATCTACTGATCGAATTTGCTACAAAATAAATGAGGATTTTAAAAATAATTTTAGTTTTTAGAAAAACCAGTGGTGTACCATTTTTTTTTTCAAACATATTCAGTTCAAACCCCATACGGACGACACTGGTGAAAATTTAAAAAAATCTTACGTCTCAAAAAATGCTCCTTAATAATTAAAAAGTGTATACAAAATTTCATAAAAATAACTGGAGTAATAAGAAAATTATGATGGAAAAGTTATTTATTTTTTCTAAAATTTTAGCACCCCGTAGCTCGAAAACTAAGAGGTTTAGGACATACATTGATATAAACTTTTCTTCTTAAAATCACCCAAATATTCTCATCCTGAAGTATCGGCATACAATTAATTAACACCCTGTATGGCCCGTTTTCTCGATCGAATCTACCATTTCGCGATCATTCTAATGGGTTCGAGACAATCTTTTATTAGAAATTCGATTAATTTCTCTCAATTCAATTCGAAACCGAAACCAACTTTAACTTCCCTCCCACGGAGTTGGTTTTGCTTTGCAGGCGACTCCAAGTCAAACCGTTCCGCTTTAGCGCTTTTCACGAATCGATCTAAACTCTTATAAATCCATCTTTGAATGGAGCGTTTACAAGTTTTGTATGCATTTTAGTCGGTTACATTCTATGCAAATTTTGCATTATTTGCAGCAAAATATAGCGGAGTAAGTTAGAGTAAGGTAGACTGGGGCAAATCGGTTGTAAAATTTGAATAGTTCAAATAAAATCCTAAAATGTGGCTTTATTTTTTCTCTTATTAGAAATGCTGATACCATATTAAATTCACAACTTCCTAAACTAAAGAATCGAGGTATTAAAAAGTTTTTTTGAAAAAGGTAGAAAATGATTTTACTTATTTTTTAAAATGTCGACAATAACAATCAGTTCTAAAGTGCTATACAATTATATAGAAAAAAATATGGGGCAATTGTAAATCCATATTTGGTTCCTCTAAAATTTGATATGCTGTTTATTTATTTATTTCAAAAAATAACAGAGCTACAAAATAATAAATAAAAAATAAGAAACAAACCCTGTCTAATGCACAAAAGAACTATAAAAATAATAAAAAAACATTAACATAACAGGTAAAAATATTACATTTACCCCATTTATACATTTGCCCCAGTCTACCTTATAGTAGAATGCCACAATTTCGACTTGTTTCTAATTATGATCGGTTTGTTCGCAGAAATTCCCGAACCAATATCATTGAGCGCTGTTCCTTTAATATCCAATGGCTCTGTAAATGTGATTTATTTCACCCAATGCAAGCCAGAATGGTCAGTTGATGTCGACATGATTTTCATCACCGTGAAAATGGTGTTTTTCTTCTTAATTCCGCTGTTGTTCATGATCGTCGCCTATTCGCAAATCGTGAGAGTGTTGTGGAAATCGGGAGAAATGCCCCATCAGGCGATGAGTAAGTAAATTAAGTTATTATAATTGCGTTCTTTATAGAGATATTATAAAAGAATTTTAGTGATTAAGTTTATAGTGGTTTTAAATTAGATACCTATTATAAAAGAATTGTGGTTCCCAGTGGGATACACTCGAAACGTGTTATTTTGTTCAGTATCATAAATCGGGCCATAAATCGTGTATCCCATCAAAATCTAATAAGAAGATCATTAGAAATACGATGTAATAAATAATACATTGTGTAGGGATTTCCTTTTTTTTAGGGCAGGTATTTACTAGATGAATTGTCTGTACGGTGGAACAATATTAATGTAACATTTTCCAGGTAATAAACCTCGCATGCGAGTAGAATAATATAACCAATTAATTCTAATAAGTAAGTAATTCGAAACACTAGAGTTTAGTTAATTGCAATCTGTACTAAATATACAATATTCCAACAACCCTATTATTGTAATATTACATCACATTCACGCTCGTAACATAGGAAACTTTCTATTGTATATAGATATTGTACAAATTTTCGTCTTCCTGTGAAGCAAATTTCCATTAAAGCGTCCAATAAAATTTCCTGTTATACTTTTAAACGTTATTTGCATCCGGTGCCCGCCGAGCGGCTGTGAAAACTTTACGATTCCATAATAAATTCAAATAACATGATAACTTTTCGATAAATCGCCCGTGTGAATAAATTTTTCCCACAATCCATTATAATATTTTCACAACAGAAACAGTAAGTTTACAATTTGTTGTTACATTTTGAGAAGATTCACTTACAAAACAAGATTCTGTAATTGTAGTTTATAATCTTATAATCTCGTTTCACTTTGGACTAATTTTATAACAAGAAGAGTTCAGTGCAAGATACTAAGCTAATGGAATTTCTTTTTAATTAAAAATTAAAAAATTCCCGGTGAGTTGTAGGATTTTAATATGCGATTTTAAAACATGAGAAATGTGCCTCAATCGACTTCGAATCGAACTATTATTTGGAAGGATTATTTGAAATAGTTCAGGACGATTTTAGAACACTTACAGGATAGTTTAGGACTATTTTCAGAATGTTTAGAATGCGTTTTTATCAACTTTACGATTCCATAAATTCAAATAACATGATAACTTTTCGATAAATCGCCTGTGTGAATAAATTTTTCCCACAATCCATTATAATATTTTCTCAACAGAATCAGTAAGTTTACAATTTGTTGTTACATTTTGAGAAGATTCGCTTACAAAACAAGCTTCTGTAATTGTAGTTTATAATCTTCTAATCTCGTTTCGCTTTGGACTAATTTTATAACAAGAAGAGTTCAGTGCAAGATACTAAGCTAATGGAATTTCTTTTTAATTAAAAACTAGAAAATTTCCGGTGGGTTGTACGATTTTAATATGCGATTTTAAAACATGAGAAACGTGCCCCAATCGACTTCGAATCGACTGGAAAATGAAATCAATGGCTCGGTTAAAAATTGTGCTTATGGAGCGATCGAGCAAGATCTTTTGTATTATTTGCGCTAACCGAGCTATTATATTTTATTCGAATCGTGCACGTTGATACAGTTTTATATACTTCAATTGATTTCTTTCGAAGAAATTAGTTCAATGGATGGATAATAAAAGTTTGAGAACCGAGAACTGAGTACATACTACAATATTTTATATTGTATATTTAGTTTATTGTCATCAATATCATTGGGATAATTGTGGAAAATATTAAACAATGCACATAAAAACGAGCATATTCAATTTGTTTTGCAATAAATTCATCAACAATATTTTCATCCAGCTTAATAGAAAATATATTTAGGTACTTACAATCGCCGCAAATAAATATATAAAATACGAAATCGATTTTTTTAGTATCGGTTACTCGTTAATATTATTGCACAATTAAACAGTTTATTTCCATACGTTATAACAGATGTAAAAATAGTTATTTTAATTCATTTATTTAATAGTAAGAATAGTATTTAATTTAAAAACAAATGTTTAATTCCAGACAATTGTTTTTTTAAAATCTGTAGGTATATAAAAGTGGGGAAATTTTAATATCTCTTGTGTTATTAATAGTAAAAAAGATTTGTATAGTTTCAGGTGACTAACCAATTTTCTCTTTTCCTGGCATTTCCTCGACTTAGAAAACATTTCATACACTTTTCCCGCTGCACGAGAAAAACCCGCGTTTTCATTTCTCCACGAAATAACATCTCCAGAGACCCGGAGACGTTATACTTGAACATTTCTTACACAACATATTATCCATCATATTTTTGTTTGTGCACATTTCATGTTTACCCAGTCATTTCCAGCTTTCAGACGGAAATTCCTCATAAGTGCAACCCCGCGAGTTTTGTTTCCGCCGAGCCCGATTTCTAATAATAGCCCCCCCCCGTTACATTAGAGCCCTTTAAAACGATAAGAGGAAATAATTTCCCTGCTCCTTCAGAGCATCCTCTGGAAGTATACCCATCGTCCTATTTTATTTTTCTCTCGCTATTTACAGATCCCGGCGGAAGGATGAACATGACAGGCGGCCAATTAAACACTTTCGCCATGAATACCAACACCAGCACCGAAGGGCAATTGAAATCGAGGAAAAAGGCCGCTAAAATGCTCGTTGTAGTCGTCGGGATGTTCGCCATTTGCATCTTCCCCGTCAATCTGCTAGCTGTACTCAGGTAAATCATCAAAATTCGAAATAGATCTCGTTTTCGAATCGTCCAGAACTTGTCTCCTCGTCCTTACTCGTCCAGAAGGGTTTAGGAACTGAATGGGATTGTTTGGAATAGTTCGGGACGGTTTTAGAACGTTTACAGGATGGTTTTATTATAATATTTTATCAACAGAAACAGTAAGTTTACAATTTGTTGTTACATTTTGAGAAGATTCACTTACAAAACAAGTTTCTGTAATGGTAGTTTATAATCTTATAATCTCGTTTCACTTTGGACTAATTTTATAACAAGAAGAGTTCAGTGCAAGATACTAAGCTAATGGAATTTCTTTTTAATTAAAAACTAGAAAATTCCCGGTGAATTGTAGGATTTTAATATGCGATTTTAAAACATGAGAATCGTGCCCCAATCGACTTCGAATCCAACGATTATTTGAAAGGATTATTTGAAATAGTTCAGGACGATTTTAGAACACTTACAGGATGGTTTAGAACTTTTTTCAGGCCGTTTAGAAGGCGTTTTTATTAACAGTTCTTTCGCGTTTTAATCTGCAATTCCACCTGATAACCAAAACCACCTGACTGGTTTATTTTTCACGAAACCTCAGCGAGCCCTTTAGGAACAAAAAGATATAATTCTTACCTCAGCAGCACGAAAAATACTCGAGTATAACCGAATTTGCCTGAGGTACCCTCCTCGGGCCCTTTTATTGCAGCCCTTCGCACCATTTAGAAGCACTCGGGGCGCCAGTAAAGCAAATTAAAGATGCAAGTAAACGAATAAACTCGCCAGTCGAGCTAAATCATTCGTTATACGCTATAATTTTTGCGAAATAGAAACGTTTCGAAGAGCCTGAGTTGATTACAAGCATCTCGAAGTAAACCGAGCGCTCGGGAAATGCCCCAATTATGAAATACATAAGGGTGCTATCGGTGGATTCCCTCATTACCAATAATTCCGGGACATCTCATCATCAGGAATCTCCGATTCTGCGGTTTGGGGGCTTCGTTATAGCTTCTCGAGCTAAAGTGGAGTTTCTTTTTTTCGGTCACGAACCGGGCGTTTACTGTCCGAGGCGTTTTCCATATAGGTTAATTGGGGTAAAACAATACTTAATGAAATGGAAGGAAACTCTATTAGTAGGAAAAGCGGGGGATGGAGTTAATCCCGGTATAAGGGAAATTCGAAACCGAGTGAATTGTCTTTTAAAATTCTTTTCCATTAGCGAGTAGGTAAATGCGAAATACTAAACCGTTCCTTTCCTTCTGTAATTCAGTTATAGCGAATTTGGAAATCCGAATTAATGGAAATTGCTTTCCGAATTGGGGCGTCCGGATGATGGGAAAAAGTTTGGATTTCGTTTCGATTCGGAGACGCGAAATTTTTCAATCACCTGTAGATAGTTATTTCGAAAAACATAAATAATTCAGCATACAAAAGATCGTGAATGTATAGGAAACGCGGCGGTAATTCGACTCCGAATTAATGCAAATTTTCGCTAAAATTGGAATTGCGACGAGTAAAACATTTCCAGTGCATCCGCAACGAAATTCCACCTAACGATCGTAATTTCGAATAGTCGAAGCGTTATCAACTCGCAGGTGAATTAATTTTCGTCTAAAGAAACTCACGGAAAATCGCAATTTTTGCAACAACTTAAAGATAATAATCGAAAAGGAACGATTGCTCGGGGATGCACGAGCACGTTTAACCTGAAAATAAATTAAAATTTCTTGCATTTATAAAACATTCTGTTTGTTACAGAGCAGCTAATATGCTATTTCACAGCGATCTAAACCAGATACTATCATTGATGTCCCATTGGTTGTGCTACGCAAACAGCGCCATTAATCCTATTATATACAACTTCATGAGCGGTAAGCGAATTTGCATTCATAAACCCCAAACAAATTGTTCTTATTGTTTAAGAAAGTTTCATTTAATCAACCGAAATGTAGGATAAACAAATCACTAATTAATGAATGAATCCTTCGAATAAACTGCTACACAAAAGTTAAGGAAGTTTTGCGATTATTTTAAAAGTTGCAGACTTTTTGATCACCAAATTTTCAAATATAAGAAAATAAATGTTTTCTCTCATATCTAAGTGGATTTTTTTGCACCTTCCTCTACAATTTATACTAAATTTGTGAATCAAAAAACTAATTTCGTTTAATCAACCAAAATATAGGATAAACAATACACCCCAATTAATGAAGGAATCCTTCGAATAAACTGCTACACAAAAGTTGCACAATTTTGCTATTATTTTAAAAGTTATAGACTTTTTGATCACCAAATTTTCAAATATGCTTAAATAAATGTTTTCTTTTATATCTGAGTGGTTTTTTTGGACCTTCCTCTACAACTCATACTAAATTTGGCGATCAAAAAACCTGCAACTTTTAAATTAATCTTCAATATTTGTGAACTTCCTTAACTTTTGTGGAGCAGTTTATTTAGGGCGAAAAACTAGTTTTGCATGTAAATGGAAAACAATCCTTAGGTAATGTTTATTCATGCGGTTAATTCGCATGAAATGCACATACATATACATAACGATATCGAGCTAAAATCGCGTTGTTAATTTACTAAATTAACTGATTTATAATCGTTTTATTAACAGAAAGATTTCCGAATACAATTATTAAAGGTAAGGTAGACTGGGGCAAATGTAAAAATGGGACAAATGTAATATTTTTACCTATTATGTTAATGTTTTTATTATTTTTATAGTTCTTTTGTGCATTAGACAGGGTCTGTTTCTTATTTTTTCTTTATTATTTTGTAGCTCTGTTATTTTTTGAAATAAATAAATAAACAGCATATCAAATTTTAGTTAAATAAAACTTTTTAATACCTCGATTCTTTAGTTTAGGAAGTTGTGAATTTAATATGGTATCAGCATTTCTAATAAGAGAAAAAATAAAGCCACATTTTAGGATTTAATTTGAACTATACAAATTTTACAACCGATATGCCTCAGTCTACCTTATTCTATTCCATTTACAAGTGCGATATTCGAGCATCGTTGGAAGTTTCCTCAGCTTTTACATCCAATAAAAACTTCCCCAAAAAAAAAAAATCTTCCGATCGACGAGAGTTACTCAGCCAATTTCCATCGAAAGGCGTGAGACAATTCGTCTAATAGAATACGCATCACGTTCGGCATCTTTAATAAAACACAATTTCCAGTCGAAGAAGTTTACCGAACAATAAACGGGGAGAGAACGAAATTGATTGACGTTCGCTGATGGAATTTTCGTTTTAATTTTCCCGCGCCAAAAGGAAAGCGCCCAAATTGATGTAATGCATAAAGTTCGAATTTTAATTGATACTGACTATCGACGTTGATGAATTACCGGGAGGTTAATGAGAAACAAATTTTAAATGTTACTTTAAATTTTAACAATCTCTTATGCAACCATTTATGCTGTTACAATCTTGCCATAGTACAATCTCTAATGCAACCATTTATGCTGTTACAATCTTTCCAGAGTACAATCTCTTATGCAACCAGTTATGCTGTTACAATCTTTCCAGAGTACAATCTCTTATGCAACCCATTATGCTGTTACAATCTTTCCAGAGTACAATCTCTTATGCAACCCATTATGCTGTTACAATCTTTCCAGAGTACAATCTCTTATGCAACCATTTATGCTGTTACAATCTTTCCAGAGTACAATCTCTTATGCAACCCATTATGCTGTTACAATCTTTCCAGAGTACAATCTCTTATGCAACCCATTATGCTGTTACAATCTTTCCAGAGTACAATCTCTTATGCAACCCATTATGCTGTTACAATCTTTCCAGAGTACAATCTCTTATGCAACCCATTATGCTGTTAAAATCTTGCTAGAATACAATCTCTTATGCAACCCATTATGCTGTTACAATCTTGCTAGAATACAATCTCTTATGCAACCCATTATGCTGTTAAAATCTTGCTAGAGTACAATCTCTTATGCAACCCATTATGCACATGTGGTATTAGTAAATTTAGTGTGTTATTGCAGGTAAATTCCGCAAGGAATTCCGCAGGGCGTTCGAAACTTGCTGTCAAAGGGAATCCAAAAGACACCATTATTATTCCGGTGGTACTTTCTACCACAAGGACTCCGGTTTCGCGTCCAGATCGCAGTCGAAGAGCGACAACGAGAAGCACAAACTGAGCACGTTCAGGGACAGGGAGAACATGAAATTGATCAGGAAAAATACGAGGACCACCGTCGTGCAAGTAGACATTTAAATTTATGAGAAATTATTTGCCCAACATTGAGGTTTAATTTTAATTAAGTGTAGTGGTATAGCGGTACCCGACATATCAACTTCTAATAGAAAGTTTCGAGGACTTTTATTGTTGCGAAAAATTAAATTAGATGCATGTATTTATTTTTTTTTTGAAGATTTTGAATATATAGGGTGTTAATTAATTGATTGACGATAGTTCAGGATGTGAATAATTGGATGATTTTAATAAGAAAAGTTTATATCAATGTATGTCTTAAAACTCTTAGTTTTCGAGCTATAGGGTGTTAAAATTTTAGCAAAAAAATAAGTTTTCTATCATAATTTTCTTATTACGAAAGATATTTTTATGAAATTTTGTATACATTTTTTAATTATTAAGGAGCATTTTTTGAGGTGTAAGATTTTTTAAAATTTTCACCAGTGACGTCCGTACGGGGTTTGAACTGAATAGGTTTGAAAAAAAAATGGTACACCACTGGTTTTTCTAAAAACTAAAATTATTTTTAAAATCCTCATTTATTTTGTAGCAAATTCGATCAGTAGACTTATTTTCGTACGACGCACCATTTTCGCGTAAAAAAATAAAAACCAAAACCATTTTTTCCCAAGTTCATTTTGAAACTGCTTTTGATATTTTGTTGAAATTTGATAGGCGCCCACCAAGCATGAAAACACTTTTTTTTGGGGATAAAAATTAATTTACTACTATTATCAGTGACGTCCACGTCCGAAATTTCATAAAAATATAAGAAAATTATGATAGAAAAGTTATTTATTTTTCTAAAACTTCAACACCCTGTAGCTCGAAAACTAAGAGGTTTAGAACATACATTGATATAAACTTATCTTCTTAAAATCCTCCAAATATTCACATCCTAAAGTATCGGCATACAATTAATTAACACCCTGTATAAAAATCGTTATAGCACGCTAATATTATAGAATCTATATCACACATTTCTTCTTATAAAATTCTTGAGTGTGAGTTAGTTAATCTACTTATACATGTGCTGTGATGTTGCTATTATATTAAATTATTCTATTCCTAGTCACTTGTAAATAATATTTCATTTACGGAGCGAATCAGCATCGCAAAATTTTTATTTCCCGTTCCCTTTCAGCGCGAAGAGATGAAAAGAAAATAAGAGCCTCGCTTTTGGCAGGTTATTAAATAATGTGAAAAAAAAACCCCTATGGTGGATGACAGGTTGGTATTTTATTGCTTGTGATACATGTATACAAGTATTAATACGCACGCCGCAGGTATTTTTATATGAGAAAGAAAAATTTCTTATTCGAGAATATTATTTTTTAATAGAAAAAAACATTGTCCTTTTTATTCTCGTTCGCTAATTTATCACGTTAATTGCGCCGGAACGGTCATAATTTATCATTGTTGGCCCAAAGACATCTATCTCTAATTATATTTAGTTTGTATTCAACGAAATCTGACAAACGACCGGGGACAGTTAAAAGCCAAATGTCGCCCATACATTGATGATGAATTATGTAAATCCCCTAAAATACTGGGTATAAATTAATTGTATTTGGATATTTGGATGATTTTAAGAAGAAAAGTTTATATTAATGTGTGTCCTAAACCTTTTAATTTTCGAGCTACAAAGTATTAAAAAAAATAAGTTTTTTTTTCATAATTTTCTCATTACGGCAGATATTTTGATGAAATTTCGGACGTGGGCGTCACTGATAATAGTAGAAAATTAATTTTTATCCAAAAAAAAAAGTGTTTTCATGCATGGTGGGCGCCTATCAAATTTCAACAAAATATCAAAAGAAGTCTCAAAATGAACTTGGGAAAAAATGGTTTTGGTTTTTATTTTTTTACGCGAAAATGGTGCGTCGTACGAAAATAAGTCTTCTGATTGAATTTGCTACAAAATAAATGAGGATTTTAAAAATAATTTTAGTTTTTAGGAAAACCAGTGGTGTACCATTTTTTTTTCAAACATATTCAGTTCAAACCCTGTACGGACGTCACTGGTGAAAATTTTAAAAAATCTTACACCTCAAAAAATGCTCCTTAATAATTAAAAAGTGTATACAAAATTTCATAAAAATACCTCGATTAATAAGAAAATTATGATAAAAAAGTTATTTTTTTTCTAAAATTTTAGCACCCTGTAGCTCGAAAACTAAGAGGTTATCAGCTTTCAATTAATTTACACCCTGTATAGTGAGAGGATTTTACAGTTACTGGTGTTTCTCGAATGCAAGGGAAGAATATTTTTTGCGGTACTGTACTCGTTGTTAATGTACAAAATTTCAAAAATCAAAAACTTCTATATGTGTAACGATAATCTATTGAATTACAAACTAGAGGTTATGTATATTTAAACGGGGAATAAACGCTGAAAAATATAATTATTTCACACGCAATGTATGCATTTAAATTTCTTCGATTATTTGCACAAAAAAAATTAAATTTATTAGGTGTATCCTGTATAACCGGATAAATTCAACTTAATCCATGTTATGTCTGTATCTGTACAAAAAATACAAAAATGATAAACCAATTTTCGATGGCTGTTTGTAAATAAAAACTAGAGATATATGCGCGTGAATTTATCATAAATTTTTTGCGATTTAGACATTTTTTAGCGCACTTTTTTATCCTACTAGCAGGATTGAATGTTACACGGGTTATTAAATCCCTTAAAATATTGTATAGCATCTAATATTTTTCAATAAATGTGGTAATTGAATTGTGCAATATTTACAGTATAACTGCATTACGACCAGTTCATGTTTCGCAACATTTAATGTTGCTGTTAATCTCGCGATTATATTGAAATTAATTAATCCCTCTGGCCAAATTTTGAAATAGAATATTGTAGCGTTGAAACCGACATCAGAGCTTCACAAACAAAATGTAAATAAATATTTTTTTCCAATAAAATTTTACAAAAAATGCTGTTTCATTGCATGCCCTACTATCGTCCAGTAAAATCGATCATACTTATTTATAACACAACATAATACATCAGTAATCAACTAAGCAAAATTGCTCGATAACATTTTGAGAAATTCGCAACTTCCGAATCGATTCGAGAGCTTTATTTCGTTCGAAATGCCACACGAGCTTTTCGATAGGGAATATTATTCAATCCGCCTTGTTCGATACGCTCATTGTCCTAGAAATCCACAATACAGGACTCAATTAAAAGTTATATGCACGCCGCAGAAGTCTTTAAAAGGAGCCGCCATTTTCAGCAGGATATTGACTTCTCCAGTCCTTAGAGCTTCGAGCTATTTTCGATCAAAATAAATTAACAATCTATCGCCGATCGCAGCAATCGCTACATCAAGATCGAACAGAATAACACAAATAATCCTATAGTCAGTTCTAAAATGGTTCTAAATGATTCTGGACAATTCTAAATCGTTCTAGGATCTTCTTGAACTATTTCAAACGATCATAGTCAGTTTTAAATGATTCCGGACAGTTCTAAACCGTTCTAGGATCTTTTTGAACTCTTTCAATTAATCCTAGTCAGTTCTAAAATGGTTCTAAATCGTTCTAGGATCTTTTTGAGCTCATTCAAATAATCCTAGTCAGTTCTAAAATGGTTCTAGATGATTCTAGACAATTCTAAATCGTTCTAGGATCTTCTTAAACTATTTCAAATGATCCTAGTCGGTTCTAAAATGATTCTAAATCGTTCTAGGATCTTCTTGAACTTTTTTAAACGATCATAGTAAGTTTTAAATGATTCTGGACAGTTCTGGATCTTTTTGAACTCTTTCAAATAATCCTAGTCAATTCAAATCAGTCAAAATAAATTAACAATCTATCGCCGATCGCTACATCGAGATCGAACAGAATAACACGGGGTGTTGTGATTTTAGAACACCTTATAAGAATTAAGAAATCAAAGTATTTTATTTTCTTTCGAATGAACTTCATTTACTTACATAATACAGCGAGGGGGAACGAGAGAGAAGCGAGCCTTCTTCGGAAACCTAATTAAGTCTTTTTGCATAATAGGATAAATCTTCGCTAATTAATTTCTGACACGTAAAATTTTAAGACATCGCCTCGTCGGAAATAGCTCGACAAGACTCTAATTTACTGATGAAATTTCACGAGCGAGCATTATTTATCAGCCGACTTTAACTCGAAATTTTTCTCTAAACAAAATTTACACCAACAATTCCGACCCCTATCGGTTATTTCTTCGAACAACCCTCTGTCAATATCCCGCGCGAAACTCTCTGTTGACCGAGAAAGTTTACAAATCTATTGGAAATCATCCCCCGGAGTCGTTCCATCGGGAATCGCCCCAGATTTAATTGGCGGGATTAACAACGATCGGGCTTTATGCGATGTTAATAATTGAAGAATCGACTTCAGCGGTGGAGATTAATATCCAGAATTTGTTTTAATCGTTTATTTATAAACCTAATAAATTTAATACCATATCTAAGACGATCTAAAGCTCGCTCTGATCTTTAAATATCCTGCAAACTTTGCGACATTACAGTAGTTTTAAACAGTATTGTGGCCCTCGTGGATTTCGCGGTCGGTAATCGCAAACACAACAGAATCAACAACCGAATAGCATAAGTTTAAACAAGTCCCTTTATTAAACAGAACTAGAGAGAAATCCTCGGGGAATTACAAGCAAAACGTCGCCGAGGATGACCCCCCCATTCTAACTCTCTAATATCCTTTGTTGCAACTTGCAATGGTTAGTAATATTGCTATAATTGTTGTTATTTATAGCAACAATTAAATCGATATGATTTGTGTCGAGCGGGAATCACCGCAGAGCGTCTTCGGTATTTTCCGCATTTGAATAATTGTCCTTAAACCGGCTTCATTACGATCCTGTCGAGTCCTATTTACATTTAAATTGAAGCTACGCGACATTATTGTATTAGGACGAAGGGTTTGATACACAAGAGTATTAACATAATAAATGTATAAAGTCGCATCAAACGCGGGGGATTTTTTCAAATAGAAATTAAGAAGGATATCGGTCGCTCAGGAATCGCGAGAGGCGCCGGACGGAGATTGTTAAAATTAGCATTACAAATTACAAGGGCGAATGAATATGCTTTATGGGACTTGGAAATGAGTTAAAATATGAGTCGATTTTAATGTATACCTTTCTAAATCGTTCTAGGATCTTCTTGAACTGTTTCAAACGATCCTAGTCAGTTTTAAATGGTTCTGGACAGTTCTAAATCGTTCTAGGATCTTCTTAAACTATTTCAAATGATCCTAGTCAGTTCTAAAATGGTTGTAAATCGTTCTAGGATCTTTTTGAACTGTCTCAAACGATCATAGTCAGTTTTAAATGATTCTGGACAGTTCAAAATCGTTCTAGTATCTTTTCGAACTCTTTCAAATGATCCTAGTCGGATTTGAGCGAATAAAGCGAGAAAGAGAGCGCGCCTGGGAGATTTAGAATCGTTTAGAACTGTTACAGAACAAATTAGAAATCGGCTCTATGACCGCCTTTAGAGCATATAGGCAATAACCGGCTCTATAAAACGCCACAATGATATCAATAATTCTCCAATTATGACACGAAACGAGCAAATTTGACGCGAACGGATCGCAATAATCAAAACAGATTTAATTGATGCAAATACAATGAGATGGTGTATTCTCGTATATCTATTGATTTATAGAGGTTTCCGACTTGCTATTGATTGGAATCGCTTTGTTTTCAATTAAAGCGCGAACCGAAATCGGCGGGTTATCTACCGATAGGACTTAAGATAAATCTGGCAATTGACTGGATGAATGGATTTATTAATTAAATCTTCCATCCAATTATCCTGGATGTTTGTAAGAAAAATCTCGAGAATGCGATAATAATCACGAACAATTAAGGCTGGGATTTGCTTAAGGCTGGGATTTGCTTAAGTATAGTATGTACATTATACATATTCTCGTTCCTTCCTTTGTTCTTGCGATTTAACTTAGTTGGGTTTTCGAAACACTTTATAGCATATATACGACAGGTAATGAACTCTCTTGATATACCGTTTCACACAAGATAATTTACGTCTATACATTATACTAAATTTCCTCGTTTAAATCGATCAAGACACTTACGGTTGCGGATTCTCCTTTTGCCGGGTGGGATGTTCTCCAAATGGAATAAATTAATGTAATAAGACTATCACAAAATGATCAATGCAGGTAGTATACTTAGAGAAATCTAGCGAGTCACTTAATAGACTGAATATTATATCTGTATGATTGTATTCTCATAAAAAGCATAAGTTATGAGGGTTAATGGGGAGAATGCCAAGCAGTCGATAATTCCTACGATACAAAGGAAGAAGAGTGGAGAAAGAATAGATGAAAAGGAGATCGATACGCGATATTCTAATAGCAAAATTTACTTCATAAAACTACGCATAATATAACTAATTAAGTTCGAAACAACAAAGTTTCTAAAATAATATACGACGTACTAAAGATTGAATTCTGCGCGTTATCGATAATATTCGCAACGATAATAAACGTGAAACTAGCTGTAAGTAGTTCGAAACGGCCGAGCAATTGTAAGTACATCGGGCGTCGACAACTCTTAACGAGCCGAGTTTGAAAGGCAACTTTCCGGGCAAAAGTGGCCCAAACTTGGCACTTTAATGGGCGACCGGGAACGTTCCAGATTCCATATTCCAGAAGGTCCGATGCGAACGACTTCCCGTTGCGTTTGTTTAACGTACGAGTTTAATTCGATTTGTGGCAAAAATTAAATCAAGTTCGCAATTCGATTACGCGCGCGAGGATATGCGATATATCTACAGCTTAGAGAGTATATCTGACCTGTTGCTATAGAAAAGTGAACTTGTCTGTGCTTCAAATTGTTCAGGACGGTTTTAGAACTGTCCAGAACCGTTTAGAACCGTTTCAAATCCGACTAGGGTCATTTGAAAGGGTTCAAAAAGATCCTAGAGCGATTTAGAACTGTTCAGAATCATTTAAAACTGACTATAATTGTTTGAAACAGTTCAAGAAGATCCTAGAATGATTTAGAACTATTTTAGAACGGACTAGGGTTATTTGAAATAGTTCAGGAAGATCCTAGAGCTATTTAGAACTGTCCAGAATAATTTAGAACCATTTTAGAACTGACAAGGATCATTTGAAACAGTTCAAGAAGATCCTAGAACGATTTAGAACTGTCCAGAATCATTTAGAACAATTTTAGAACTGACTAGGATTATTTGAAAGAGTTCAAAAAGATTCTAGAACGATTTAGAACTGTTCAGAATCATTTAAAACTGACTATGATCGTTTGAAACAGTTGAAGAAGATCCTAGAACGATTTAGAACCATTTTAGAACTGACTAGGATCATTTGAAATAGTTCAGCAAGATCCTAGAACCAGGATGAGCGAGAGAATTTAGGATTCTTTCAGAACTATACAAAACTTAGAATTTTTAATATAAAAATTCGAGTAATTATTTAGGGAAAAATTCCAAAAAATTCACAATAATCTGGTATATTGAAGAAATATGAAACTATCCGAATATTTGAATAAAAAAAAAAGTGTTTGAAATAGGCCCTCTGATCTTTTTTTATCAGACAGCCATATTATATTTTTATTTACACCATTTTTCGATACGAATGTCTCTGTATCTACAACCGTATAGACTTCGATATTAATATTACAAAGGGACATTTCTTTTGATTCCCCAATCGATATATTCCCTCGTCTAAACGGAGAAAAAGTCTGCTCATTTTTACGAAAAAGGCAAAATATAAAACAAATTCTATTCAATTACGATCGAAAGTAAGAAAAATCGGGCGATTTTCTTCGAAAGCGAACACGCCAAACTCGAAGAAAAAATGAAAATAATCATTTTAATTTGAATCGGCCGCATTTGTATTAAGCAATTCGCTTATTTTTCCTCTCGTTCGCAATTTTCATTTGAAATTTTAATGTAAAAACAACTTCGAAATTCCCCGAGATCGGAACTTTCTTCAATTTCTTTCGGTCGCATAAAAGCTGATAAAATATCACGCAATTCGTTTTCGTTTTTCCAATTTGCTATTAGAAATTAATCCAGACGGTAGGAGATTAATGGATAAATTATAAATAAACATTCTAATTAACTTGTTTATTAATGCATTCTCACTTTGAATAAAGCTCGAAAACCTCAAGAGCGCCATTAAAGCATTTATAAACTTCCTTATACAAATTTTACTTCTTTCTAATGCAAATCTACAGCTAATTTTAATAAACAATCTCCTGCGAGAGGATTACCCTCGTATTTCGTAGAATTGAATTCCCAATACAAGGGTAAGGTGAAAAGTTCTCGACCTGACAATAAAACACCGCGATATCCAATTGAAACATTACATTATTCTTCTTATTAAGCCGAAATCTCTAATTCGGGACAGTTCTAAATGATTCTGGAGCGTGTTAAATGGTTTTGGGGGGTTCTAAATGGTTCTAGGCAGTTCTAAATAACTATGGAGCGTTGTAAATGGTTTTAGACAATTCTAAATGGTTCTGGAGCATTCTAAAATGATTCTGGAGCGTTCTAAACGATTCTAGGCGATTTTAAGTGATTTTGGAGCATTCTAGACAGTTCTATAAATGATTCAGGTCGAGAACATTTCACCATACTCTCGTATATCCTGGAACATGATGTAGGAAGGATGGGGAATCCGGATAAAACCCCTTCATGAATCATACACGTCGAAAAATATCTTAGAAACCGATTTAACTAGGGATCTGGGGTTTTATATATCTTCGTCCGGATGTTGCGGATGCAAAATCATTCTTTTCTTTTCCCAGTATTCAGTTTCCAGATTTGCGTAAAATCCGATCATCAATTTCCCCGAGGAAGGGTAAAAAAAATGAAGGAATATGCAGGATTCTTGCCTATTCTCGTATACGAGGGTTGTTCAATTTAAAACAAACAAGTACTGAATTTATTAATTTACTATTATTTTATTAATTCTCATTCATCTCAGGTCGACATTTCGCTTTAAAAATTAACAAGTCTTCTTAGCAAACATCTTGGAGTACATTAGGATCATGGATAGAGCCAATTTTTTTCTTCAGGATCTACTATGATCTAGCTTGAATTAATTATTAAAATATTCCATCAAAACTGCAGTGAACTAGAATGTTGCAAGGCTAATTTAGCGCACTTGTGGAGCTCCTTGTCCAAAGGATCTGCAACAAATTTCAAAAATTAGAAGACTCTATAATCAACACTAATGTAGCTTCTTACATATTTTGTGTTTACCAACGATAGGATAAAATATCGGCAATATTAAAGGATTAGAACAAATCAACACGAAAGGACTAGTACTCTCTCCTTTTGGATATTTCCTTCGATAAGTCTCCTGATCCAAACAATCGTCCACAAAAACGCAACCTAAAAGACAGCTTATCGGATAGTCTCTCGGGAATTTCAATGAATTATCTACAAAAAAATACTCATCAATACTTATCAATATAAAATTAACTCATTACCTTGATAATACTCCCTATAAAAACCCTCCAAACATCCAATCTCATCATCATCCGGTATTTTAGCAGCCGATGCAATCCACAACCGTCCCCTGTGCATCGTAGGCCAAGTCCTACCCTCATGCCTTAAACAACACCAATTAATAACATTAATTAACCGTCTAATTAACGCAATTACTTCTTAACTCCGGCTACTAACAAACTAGCATAGGGTTGGTGCATGCTCAAGCACAACCCGTGATCGGTATTCGACAGGATATCTTCATCGAGTATCCTCGTACCGTAATCGATGATGGGCATCGCTGAATCCTCCTCGCCCGAGTCCTCTTCACCAGCCGGTTTCCTGTGGCGCATCCGGATCAGAAGATTCACCAGATCTTTGCTGGTGTCCTGTAAGAATCACATCTCGAGTAAACTTAACCGAAGCATCTTTTCTCTAGTCGTAGGAGGAATGTTAAGGTTCTAGACAATTCTAAATGATTCTGGAGCGTTCCAAAATGATTCTGGAGCGTTCTAAAATGGTTTTAGGCAGTTCTAAATAACTATAGAGCGTTGTAAATGGTTTTAGACAATTCTAAATGATTCTGGAGCGTTCCAAAATGATTCTGGAGCGTTCTAAAATGGTTTTAGGCAGTTCTAAATAACTATAGAGCGTTGTAAATGGTTATAGACAATTCTAAATGATTCTGGAGCGTTCCAAAATGATTCTGGAGCGTTCTAAAATGGTTTTAGGCAGTTCTAAATAACTATAGAGCGTTGTAAATGGTTTTAGACAATTCTAAATGATTCTGGAGCGTTCCAAAATGATTCTGGAGCGTTTTTAATGGTCCTAAATGATTCTGGAGAGTTCTAGACAGTTCTATAAATGATTCAGGTCGAGAACATTTCACCATACTCTCGTATATCCTGGAACATGATGTAGGAAGGATGGGGAATCTTGGATAAAACCCCTTCATGAATCATACACGTCGAAAAATATCTTAGAAACCGATTTAACTAGGGATTCTCTAGTCGTAGGAGGAATGTTAAGGTGGTGTGTAAGCTTACTTCGGTCCGGATCTTCTGGTAGGACACTTCGGAGTTCTTCTGGATCTCCTGGTACATTCGTTTGACTTTGTCCAGATGCTTCATGGAGTCTTCGAGTAATTTCTGGCGGATTCGCTCGTCTTCTTTGGTGCTTTCGATGACTTTTCTCGTGGCGAAATCCAAGGCTACGACTAATTTTTGTCTGTCCTCTTTGCTGGTGGTTTTTTTAGCATCGATTTTGAAGTAATCGTTGTCGTCATCGTAGACTTTATTCAATTTCGGTCTGGTGGAATATTAAACGGTTATTACACTTGCAAATTTAATGTTTTATGAAGCTTACTTAGTTATTGTTTTGGGTTTCTTGTTGTTGAATATTTCGGAACCTCTAATAGTTACCTTGCAAATAATTTTAATTGAATTATTACGATTAGTATGAGTGAATTGTAGTTTCTTACTGGATTTCCGCAGAATAAACAATCTCCAGGACCTTCCTCGATACAATGAATCCTCCCGCAAACTAAACAATTGTTCATAAACTCGTGTTCTTGTCCCAAACAATCGCAAATCGTACGACCTGTTAATAACGATACAATTTATTTTATAACAAGGTATATAGCAAAATAAAATACCTTCTTTCTGTTTCTTCTTCTCTTGGTAGGTGTTTATATCCTTAAATTTCGTTTTGCTCTTTTTATTCGGCGCGGGTTTTTGTTTGGCTGTGTTGCTGTTCGAAGGAACGGGGACTGAAGGAATGTTCTGTTTGCTTGAAAATAAAATGTTCTTTATGCCTTCGTACGAATTCAGATGGGCGGCGTTGGTTTTGTCCACGACGTTTTCCATAAATTCGGCCAAGTCTTCTTCATGTTGTATGTTTTTTATGTAACTGAATAAAAATTTCATGTAATGTAAATATGGTGATTTATATGAATGTTTACTTTATGATATCGCCTTCCACTACGTCCCGTAAAATGACTTTTAGATAATTTGTTAGTAATTTATCATTATTACTCATTGTTGTTTCTAATTACACCACCAATTTGTTGTAATTAATTGAAATAAAAATGAAATATTTTACTCGAATCACGAATATTTCAAGTAGTGTCAACAAAGTCAATGTCAAATGTCATTTCAACTCATTTATGTGGCCTAAACTGCTGGTGTTATTTAGTGCCTAAATGATAAAAATTTGATTATTTGTTGTACTAATAATACTAATGATACTAATAATTTGTTATTTGTTAATGGTTTGATTGTATCATATGATTTTGCTTAGCTTTTTTAGCGCTATTTGTGTAACTGTCAACAATGTCATTATTTCTGCTATTACTGTGTGTCAAAATGGCCTCTACTACTGTGATTATTCAGTATCTTATTTGTACTAATCTATTTCATTTTTATTAAATCCCCTCGTTCGTTATCACATCTTATCGAAGATTACACGTTATTAATAGTTAATGGAATGATTTTTGCTAAGTGTTTATGCCATTTGGTCATAACACTTGTATAAAAACGAGTGAACCCCCTATAAAAAGCGCGCTAAAAATCTACAAAGTAACATTCTCGCTGGCTTCGCAAGCTCAAAACGATCCTCTTTATACACCAGGATAATTTGTGAATCTTATAAATAATCGAGATTCGTACATTAACCACCATCAGACATCCTGCAAGGATACAATTTCCGAATCGTCCCTCGTAGAAACCGCCTTTCCTGCGGCGCACGTGTACATTGAATCGATGCCAAAACGAAGCTCCCTAACAACATTACACCATTGATTGCCCGCCACTCTCTCGGTTTTTTCGGCCTAATTTCTCGACTGGAAACGACGCGACGCCTACCGTCAGCAGGAGAGAGACATCTAATATCTATATCCCCGTCGACTCACGGATTTTTCAAGTTTATTCCGCTGCGAAATCGTTAAATTCTCGAGCCGTCCGCGGGCCTGTTGCGTTCGTGTTGCGCGAGGTCGCTGGTTGTTAAATCGGGTCGACTTGCTGGCCGATGTGTGCAGGAAATAACGTGTTGCATTTACACGTGGTTGGGTGGCTCGATTTCGAATGAAACGGTAGGTTAAATGATATATATTTTTTTTTTAGGTTTGCGCGATTGGTTATTATGTAAATGATTCGAGTTTTATTGGGCAAACTGTAATTGAATTACGCTTCGAGTACAAACCTGTTAACCTCTGTAACTGGTTTTTACAGTTGATTTTTAAATTTTTCGGTATTTGTTCGTTGCGCGCTTAAGTTGATGTTTATTAATAATTGACGCTCGTTTTGTTAAGTAATATTTTATCGAATAAGTAAGTGCGAGAATTTTGTTTAATAATTTACTTAGTTTATATTCAATAACAACTAACTAGTGAAGTTTAGATTAACTATTTTTAGTAATTTATGTTACATATGCAATTAAATTAATAATTATTACTTCACAAAACAAAATAAAAACATAAATTAGGTAATTTAATGCCTACATTCTAGTATGGTGTGAGATCATCCTGTATAACAAATTTTCCTTATCTATCTAAAATTGTAAAATGTTTTTACCATATAAGAACTAATCATATATTTATTCAGGTTTATCAGTGTAGTATATCGGCATTTGTCGAGTGTATCGTTAATTCCATAGGTAAACATTAAAGTTACCTAAAAGATTTTATTAAAAGTGCAACCAAAAAATAGAACTTTGAAATGATGTCGCTTATAAAGGAGATAATCAAAAAAGTACGTTTAAAAACCTATTATCACGCTCTCGTGAATATTCTACATTTTTTATCAATGTATATTTTTATTTTTTATCATAAAGCGCTTCTTATCTTGTAGGATGTATATTTACACTTTAATTGTGTATGTGATTTTTTATATTTTATCCACAATGTAATTTTACCGCATTAAATTGCGCAATTAAAAACAACAATTTATACATCCACCTATAACGATGCATTAACTCCTATATTAACAAGTTCTTATTCAGTAGATTAAAGTTAATTAAATAAACATTTAGGGAAGATTGCTTCAAACAGGAAGTACTCATTTTAATACAAACTATAATAAAATCACCAGCGTCACCGACTGACTGATTAAACTCAACACCTCTTCCCATCATCCGGATAACAGTTTATCCTTTTTCCAGATGGAAATATTAGGAATCCGGTTCGCGCCGTTGAACGTCCCTCTGGAAAGGCGACTACAAACCCTATCGGCTGCAATATGGTTCATAACGATGGCCTTCGGAGGCTTCATAGGCATGCTAATAGCCCTATACTTGATCCTATTCACGAGGCTATGGTGGATAACCAGCATCTACCTCTTCTACATCTACACCATCGACACAAAAGTGAGCGAACGCGGCGGCAGGCCGAGCAAATGGGTGAGATCCTGGCGCATCTGGAAATACGCCATAGACTACTTCCCGCTGAAGCTGGAGAAAGCCTCTTCAGTGGAGCTGGACCCCAAGAGGAACTATCTATTCTGCTGCTTCCCTCACGGCATGCTGGCGACAGGCGCCTTCAATTTCGGCACCGAATGGAGCGACTACAGGCGGCTGTTTCCCCGCCACGAGCCGCGAGTTGTCACCCTGTCGCAGCACTACCAGATGCCCCTGTTCAGGGAGCTGGCGCTCGGCTTCGGGGGCGTCGCCTCATCGTCGAAGTCCATCGATTACGTGCTGGGCAGGCCGCAGGGGGGGCGCGTGGTGGCGCTGATGGTGGGCGGCGCTGTGGAGGCGTATTTCTGCAGGCCTGGTAGCTACAAGGTGATCCTGCGGAGCCGGAAGGGGTTCGTGAGGTTGGCTTTGAAGAACGGGGCGCCGTTGGTGCCGGTGTTGTCGTTCGGAGAGACTGATTTGTTCGATCAGGTGGAGAGTTCTGGGTTGAGGATGGTGCAGGAGAAGATTAGGAAGTGGATCGGATTGGCGCCGATTTTGCCGATCGGTAGAGGGTTTTTTCAATATTCGTTCGGGATTATACCGAGGAGGTTTCCTGTTACTACTGTTGGTGAGTTTTTTTCGATGAAATTACAAAGTTTACTGACGAAATATGCGGCAGTAACTAATAAACTAATAAACAGTTTGGGTTCTTAACCTGTATTTGCTATAATTAACTGCCAAAGTAGGTAACAAATCCGGTACATCGAATTATAAACTAAAATTTATAAAATTATTGTTTATATTAAGCTCATTAAGTATACAATTAAACCATATTTGGCGTAAAAATAGAGTGAACCTTGAATTATTAATTACGTGAGGTATGGAGTAAAGTTCCAAAACAATACCTTCAAATGAAAAACATTTCTATTGTTTGTTTTTTTTTATTTTAATCATATGTTGAATTTGAATGAGGTAGTCACCTTTAAATTTGCAATTTATTAATCAAATACCTATTCTTTCATAAAAAAAAATTCATAAACAAGTTTATTTCACTACTAAATCTCTGTTATACAATTTCTAATCACAAATTACCTTATAACATTTTTTCAGATTGTTATACATAATATTTTTATTTCCTAAAACATTCAAGCTGTAGTAAACAAATATAGAAATTTTCTAAATTAAATAAAATAAAAAATTTTCCGTTCGTTACATTCCACACATGCATGCATATTTATGTAAATTATCCTGTTGATTTTATGAATGTAAAAAACTCGAATCTAATTATGGAGGTCAAGACAAACCATTCATTCCAGTCGAAAAAGTTCGATGAATAACAAATTATAGTAATGAAAAATACGCCTAAATTTATATTTGCATTAATATCTTCGCGATAACTCGCTAATAATTTTTAAATGATAGTTATTACTGTTTTTATTTTACCAACAAACATGTCTATTATATCACGAATACTCGAATTAAACATAATTTAATATTTCCAGTTGGTCAGCCGTTGGAAGTACCAAAAATCGAGAACCCATCCAAAGAAATCATTGAGGAGTACCATGAAAAGTTCTCGAAACATTTATCAGACATGTTCGAGGAGCAGAAGCACAATTACCTGGACAATCCCGAAGAAAAGAAACTTATCATAGAGTAGGATATTACCTAAACGTTCCTATCATGAAAATATCCGAGTATGTAAGACCAAAAATATCCTCAATTATTACAAACCTCATTTGTGAAAGTGTCGAAACATTTTCGGTATTTTAATGATCGTTAATTAGGTAAGCAAACAGAAGTCTGAAAATTGTAATTGTTATTTGTAAACCATTTTCCTGTTAGAATTTTTATTGGTATATTTATTATACTACATTTGTGATATTGTCTATTGTATCATACATAATATTATATTTAGTTATGGTTGAATATATTGTTTTTGATAAGACTCTGGACTTACTACTTTGAACTAGAACTACACGTCTCCTTTATAATAACAATTTAATTAGGTAAGAGTTTAATTACGTGGGAATGTTACTTATCTAATTGAGTACATTTTTAAGAAAAAGTACAATCAGCGTTCCGATAATTATACCCAGACTTATAATTGATCTGTAGATAATCTAAAATATAAAAGATATATTTTTATACCAAATTTTAGTGAATTATGTTACCTTATTTTGCCATTTTCTATTTTGTATGCAACGACTGTACTCCATCGAAGAAAAACTGACTGAATTATAAAGCGGTATCCACTTATTCGGAAACCACTTGAATAATACATTATCCACGCATTTTCTCCATCGAAAACCAACAGTATTAACCAAATCTCTCATCTCGATATAATTATACATAGCCAATTCGCATATAGCATGAGCATCAACCGCTCTAACACCAGAATATTCTTCTACAGACATCGCTATATCATCGTTATTTTTCTCCAGAATGCCATCCAGTAGACAACAATCTTCAAAACCAGCGTTCATACCTTCAATAACACCACTATTACTAAATAAAACCACCCATAGTACACCAACCTTGGCCATAAAAAGGCACCATAGCATGAGCAGCATCTCCTATCAACAGGAACTTCGAGCCGATGTGGTATGGAGAGCATTTTATGGAAATCAACTCGCTAGGTCGATTTTTCATGAATATATCGAGTATAGAACTTTCGCCTATCAAATCAACAGAATCCGGAAAAGTCTCCCGGAAAAATCGCGAAATTTCATTTCCAGTGGTTAGATTCTCGAATATATCAAAAGGCATGAATATTGTTACCGTCCAGGATGAATCCGAGTTGGGCAGAGCTATCATCATGAATTTACCTCTGGAATCATGTTCATTAATCTGTTCTATTAATCTGTTGTATCTGCTGTATCTGCTCTATCTGTTGTATCTCTTCTATCTATTCTATCTGTTGTATCTCTTCTATCTGTTGTATATCTTCTATCTGTTCTATCTGTTGTGTCTCTTCTATCTGTTCTATCTCTTCTATCTATTCTATCTGTTGTATCTCTTCTATCTGTTGTATCTCTTCTATCTGTTGTATATCTTCTATCTGTTCTATCTGTTGTGTCTCTTCTATCTGTTCTATCTGTTCTATCTGTATCTGCTCTATAAATGAACTGTTTCCTGGATACTAGACCTTACCTGGGCCAAATGTGTAGATGATTAGGGATCATTTTATTCCCATTTTCCGGTGGAATTGACATCTCAATGTATCCGTGTTCAATGTACAGCTGGGTGTATTGAAATTGTGCAGTTTGCTGCATGGCTAATCTCAATTTGCTGTAAGCTCCGTCGGCTCCGATGAACAAATCTGCATTTACTTGAGATTCTTCGCACGTTTTCGAGCTGGAATTAATTCGAAGTTTTCGTTAAGGAACTAGATTAATTTGTTTTATCTACTCGGTAATCGTGACGGTTCCCTCGTTGAAATTCGCTCGAGTTAAGTGGCGATTGAAGTAAATGTTGACGTTGGGATAACTCGATGCAGCTAAAAAGTGTTTGTTTATCATAATAATGTGTTGAAGATTGAGTTAATTTTATGTACCGTCTATTAGTTTTTTGTTGAGGTAATTCCTTCCGACTGAATAAATGCACTGGAATTTAAAATTTTTGTACAGAATCGATGAAAAACAAATTAAGAATTGTCGTACTTGATTAAATGATGGATCGTATAAAATTGACTTTAATTTTCCTTTTTTACTATGCAATAATCTTCCCTTCATGGGTATGGCTGAATCCAAAATTTCTTTCTCCAAACCGAGCGCTTTCAGCGCATTTCTACCTCTATGAGATAGAGCTAAATTTATGGATCTTCCACGGATCTCCGGCGTTTTCCTAATATCATCCCTTTTTTCGTAAATTTCAACTGCATATCCCCTTTTAGCCATAAAACAGGCGCAAATCGAACCCACCTAAAACAAACTTACCAAAATATCCATTATTAAACGAGAGAATAAAATTTGTGTTTACCAAACCGCCGCCTATTATAACAACTTTTTTAGTATTGTTTTTTTCCCACATATCTCTAAATTAACGACTAATGGTTTATTCACCCTTCACTTTTAAGTAATAAAAGGTATCTGCAACAGTTTTGAATTTCTATCCGATGTATCGAGATTAAAGTTTCAGTGCAAAACGATACTTTAATCCTATTTGCAATATCTAGTATTGATTACTTGGTTTTGTTTTATACAGGGAAATTAAAAAGAGATTATTTAACTTATTCTTTATTTATGTACAAGATTTACATTCCTCTGTTTACCCATAAATGATTTTTTTTACTGTCCTTTCCTTTACCGGGAATGATAACACAATATGTACATTGACATAACTTTATACAAAATTAATTAACGTTGAACACTTTGTCGACAATAATATGTATTTATTGGTCCAGGATTCGTAAATAAATCCACTAATTAAACCTTAATCGTATTAATGAAGGGCGGCGAAAATTAACTAAACGCATTTAACTAAAATATCACATTTATACGCAAGAGAAACATAAAATATACCTACAAGATTTAGCATGAAGTGGAAAAAAGCTCTCAAAAAAATCAGAAATCTACAAAATCGTCCTTGTACAGGTGTCTAATAAAAACCCTATGATCTAACAACAACATCACCCTCCATATATGCAACTTCCAATAAAAATACCATAAACAAAGACAATCTATCTAACTCTGCTTAGCATGGGGAACCACGCTAGTGGTCGGAGCCACCTTGAAACACTGCAACAGAAACGCCGTGTAGATCAAAAACGCCACGATGATGGCCATCAAGGCGTACATGAAGAGATTCAACTCGGGCTGCCTGAACCTGTTCTTCCGCAGCCACTCCAGCACATCAGCCTCGGAATGTAAATCGCCCCGGTAGATGCTCGGGAAGCGCCGCCGAAAATACACGATGGCCGGTAGATGAGTCACTCCCCATTTCCTGGCGTACCGGGCGTCAGCCATCTTCACGAAGGTGATGTCGAAGTTGTCGGTTTCGCTGTCGATGTTCTCCAGTTTCTCCAAGATCGATTTGCTGTCGTCCGAGCTGATCTCGTCTGAACCAAACAACGATTTGAAACCTCTGCAATTGTGTTAGTGCGAGATACTTACAGAAGAAGACGGTGACGTACTCGTTCTCCTCCAGCAGCTTCTCCAGCATCTTCTTGTTGACTTCTTCGATTTCGTTTTTGATTTCGAAGACGTCCTGCGAGGTGAGCCATTCGAGGACGTTGTCGGCTTGGCTGAGGTCGCCGTCGTAGACCATGGGCTTCTTTTTCCTGAAGTACATCAGAGCAGGAAGGGTGTGGAGGCCTTGCTCGGCGGCGGCGGAGGCGCTGCATATTTTGACGAAGTCGATACCGAAGAGGTCTGCTTCGTTGTCGATTTCTTCGAGGTTTTCCAGTATCATATCGCATTCCGGACAATCCTCATCGTCTGGTACAAAAACAACAAGTTATCAATCCTAGCTGGAAAGGTTTAGTAGTACTTACAGAAGAAGACAGCCAGGAATGGTGAGGAATTCAATAACCTGGCTAGCATCCTTTCGTTAACCGATTCGATTTGATCCTCCAATTCCCTGTTGTCATCGTCTGTTAACCATTCCAGGACGGATTGTTCGTTCTGAAGATCTCCTTCGAATAGTAAAGGATTTCCGTTTCTGAAGTATACCAAAGCAGGGAAGGTTTTGATGCTGTATCTTTTGGCCAATTGGGGATCTTGAATTCGCACCATTTGGATGCCGTAGATGTCGCATTCGTCGTCGATTTGCTCCAGTTCCTCCAAGATTTCCTCGCAAATGTGGCAGTTCTGTTTGTAGAAATACACGGCGAGGTATTGGGTTTCTTCGACCATTTTCTCCAGCATCACCTTCAAACAAACATTTTAAAATCCCAGTTTCAAAAGTTGGCAATCGTACTCTAGTTATCAGCTCTATTCTATCCTCGGTCCTTTGCTGGATCAACCATTGTAATACTTCCTCTTCCTCTTGGAGATCTCCTTCGAAAACTCCACCAACGCCGCTCTCGAAGTACATCAGTACAGGATAATCGGTTGCTCCATATTGTTCTGCTATCCTTAAATCCTGCGTTTTGACGAACTTGATGCCATGCCTTTCGCAATCATCGTCTATGTTCTCCAGTTCCTCCAGAATCTTCACACACTGTTCGCATTCTTCATTGTCTGGTGAAAAAAGTTTGTACGAAATGGAAATTAACGATGGAATTAACAAATTGTTGCATTTAGAATACTTGTGGGTGATGAAATCGAAAATATCATCAAGGAAGGATCATTGAAAGTTTGTTTGATCGATTATTGTAGAAGAATTCGGGAAAAAATCCAACGATAGAACATCGAGTATTAATTGTTTGTTATTGGGATTGGTTCTTCGAATTTCGTTCGTCAATAGAAGAGTGTTTCGTGCGAGTCTCGCTTCGATTAGATGGGTTTAATTTCCGAACATGCGACGACAAAATTACAAGTAATTTTACATGGACTGTAAATTGTTAATGGCTAAATTACCAGCACGATATTACACATGTACATTAGTAGTATTCGGCTAGTTAAAAGAAAGATACTTTATCTTGTTCAAACACAACCGAATGAAATTTGGGTATCCTTCAATGTTGGGTACCTATTTAAGGATATTTGGTTTAAATATACCTAGTTTTTCTAAAAGTACTTTATGTTAAGTACATGTAAACTTACTTGCAAAAAATACAACGAGAGTAGTTATCTGGGTAAGTACAAATTTGTTTGCAATTTGGTTAAATCTATGAGTTGAACAAATATTACTCTTTCTTTATTATGTATATCAGACTAATGTAAGTTGTCTTTGTTGCACCCTTAGACCATATTGCGTACGAATTTGCACTTAACTGCACATCTACAAATAAATCAAATAACAGCACTTTGATTCATTCTTCCTTCGTAAGATAAGTTCTTCAATGAGGCATATTATTTGATTTAATACCACTACTCTGTTCTACGACTACAGGGAATCTAATACCGTCATCATAACTCTCAGTACCCTCTTCGGAAACGTTTTTCGATTTCTGGCCCTTCCTAGCATGCTGTTGTTGCTGTTGAGCTTGCTCATTGCATATCTCGCACAGCGTCTTGTTCCCTAAATAGTTATACGCTTTACATCAGCTACATCCATTCTCGCCACCTTTACACAAATCCCCGTCCACTTACAAAAATACACAGCCAGCGCGTCCTCGTTGTCGATGAGCGTCAGCAATTCGCTGCCGTCGCAGGCTTCGATCACGTCCCCGGAGGGGTCCTTCTGCGTCAGCAGCCACTGCAGGATCTGCTGCTCGTCGAACAGATCGCCGGCGTATATCACGGGGTCCTTGGTGCCCAGCTTGAAGAACAATATCGCAGGCAGCGCGAACACGCCCAGCTCCTTGGCCATTTGCTTGTCTTCGATCTTCACGAAATTGATGCCGGCGCTGTCGGCTTCGTCGTCGATGTGCTCGACTTCTGTCAGCACGCGCGGGCATTGCTTGCAGTCGCTGCTATCTGAAAATATCAATTTTTTTCACTGTAATAGTCTAGAGATGATTGTAGATACAACAGTAACACCAGCGTGATGTAGTAGAGCAATCCCTATGCCTACTCAGCTAGAATGATAACTGAAGAAGAAACTGATAATGATATTTACATAGAAACACAGCCACGTAATCGGATCGCTGTCGGATCTTCTCGAACATCTTCCTGTTGACTCTTTCAATGTGATCGGTGAGCTCCATGTTTTCGGGGTCGCTGAGCCAATCGAGGATCTCCTCTTCGTCGTCGATGTCTCCGTCGTAGTTGATGGGTTTTCCTTTGCGGAAGTATGTGATGCCCGGGGGATCTCTGAAGCCGTATTTCTTGGCCATCAGTCGGTCTTTCATTTTGACGATTTTGATGCCGTATTCGGAGGCCTCGTCGTCGATGAGTTCGATGTGTCGGAGGATCCTGGGACTGTCGGGGTCTTCTTCTTTATCTGGAAACGATTCTCAATTAACGATTGAAGTGTGGTTGTGTTGGTACTTACAGAATACTACTGCTAGGAATTCTTTGGTGTCGATGTAGTGGAAGAGTTTGTCCCTGTTGATTTCTTCTATGCTTTCGTCGTTTTTCTGATCGGTCATCCATTCCAGTACTTCGGTTTCGTCCAGTAAATTTCCTGGAAATGTAAGCGAAGTTAATAAAAAAATTGGATTAACTTGCGTTAACCAGCTCTGGAAAAGTGATGTACGTACCTAAAGTCTGAGTAAAAAGTTTTGGAAAGCCGTTGTTAATAATAAAGTTAATTCGATATCTGGTAACAATAGTTTATTTTAAACTCAAACAAAAAAAAAATTGTACAAGTGCTGTATATTTCGGACATGCGAGGTGTGAAAGTTTTCATTTCTTTTCATTTTATCCCGAATACAACTAAGTATATTAATATTGTATAGTTGATGTCGCAAACACGTAAGGCCATAATAAATCGTGTAGTTTTACTCGGGACGTTACAGGCTTTAAAAATGCTAAAAATAACAACAATATATAACAATATGTACATATATAATCTAGTCTTAAACAATAAAACAATAAAAAAAGCCTATGACTTAAGTTACTTAACAATCGAATTTAGATTAGACCGTGTGTCCTAAACTACTTGAGCATCGATGGTCTTCGCACCTAAATTCGATTGTTCCGAAATTACAAAAATCAAAACCAAACCAGCTTAAAAATTAAAGCAAATAAAAATACAAAAATCTTCGTTCCAAGTACGAAAACCGCAATTCCGCGGTTTAAACTCGCTGCAATAACAGTTATCTAATTGACATCATTTTCGCGCATTAAACGAGAAATAGAGATAGTGTCATAATTGAAGATGTAGTAGGTTAAGATAAGCCTTTCAAAAACAGAAAAATAAATAAACATGAACTAAAACGTTGTTATCTAAATCGTGAATAAACTTTCTTCGGTGGTAAAAATAGAATTATTTTCTTTCCATGGGAGTTAGGAAGATAATAATAATGTTAAAGATGAGATTGTTATTGTTGAATGTGATGCTTAGAGAGTTGAATTTGTTGTGTGTACGTTTTAATTATTCACGATTCAGAATGTAAAAAAAAATAAAATGACCATTAGCCGTTTTATAAACCATAGCAATTCCTGCATATAGTCGTAGACTTGATTATTCCGAAAGAGTCTTCATCATCGAGATCAATCTTGCCATGGAAAAGTTGTCGATTAGTTAGTTACCTACCACCACCAGATATATTTACCGAAAAACGCCCTTTTCGCCTTTCCTTTCTCGCCTTTGGTGAGCGTTTTATCTTTGACGCGATCCTCTTTCATTTTGATGGGATGGTTCGCCTTGGAGGCGGGCTTGAGCGGCGCCGGATCCGCCTTCTTGCCGGTCACCGGCGCCTTGCCGGCCACCCGTTTGACCGGCGGCGGCGCCTTGGCCGATTTCGCCTGCAATTTGGCCACCTTGGTGGTTTTGGTCGGCGGTTTGGGACAGCACTGGTACGGTTGGTAGTTCGACGAGGCGAATTGCGGACCTTTACCTCCCATGCCGATGTAGAAGCATCCGTCTCCTGCAGCATGAAAACATAATGTCAGAATCCACATAGTTAGACACAATGAAATAATACAATAAGAGCAGTGGTCGGCTGTTAGTAAATGTATAAAGTATAAAATCGGTGAGAACAATTATGAGAGTCTGACACTATGCTTGAAGATCATGCAATGCTGGGCGGCATGCATTCGCACAGGCAGGTGTGGCCAAAATTTGAAGCTCGGGTACTACCAGGACTCTCCGGACTCTCTATTTCTCTCTCTCGATTTAGGTGAGGGGTGGTGGAAGGTATCAGTCTCGTATCTATTTTCTCTTTCATAATCACTTTTGGCAATGCGCAAATCAGATAATCGTCAATTCTTAAATACCTGATTTCGATAATGCCAAAAATAATTTCTCAGTCTCGAACCCTAAAGGTTCACTTTTACCTGTAACGTTCCCCTTAATTAATTTTCTGATATCATCTAATCCACTCCCAATTTCGTCATCATCATCATCTTCTTCTTCTTCCTCTTCATTATTATCATTATCATCCTCATAACTACCATCATCATCATCCTCATCCTCATCGTTATCATATTCATCATCATAATCATCGTTATCATCATCATCTTCGTCGTCGTCGTCGTTACCTATGAAATTAGAGCAACATGCAATCTGATCATGCAATCACACCTCCCGTATCCTCGCTTATAAAAGCAAATTCATATTATGTGAATATAAAAACGATAAATTTGTTTAAATAATCGAAAAAGACAAAATTACAGTAATTAAACTAAATTCAACGAATCCTTACTTTTCTGTTCAACTAGCCAATCCAAAACTTTGTCCTCATTCATTAGGTCGCCTATAACATTTAAGAAATAATAAAACTGATTCCGAATAATGCTCGAACAACTCCAACATATTTTCGCCATTTCTTTGACCACAACTTACCGTCATACATAATCGGTACGCCGGTTTCGTAATAAACCAAAGCCGGAAAACTGAATATCCCAATTTCCGAGGCCAGTTTGGCGTCCGTCGATTTAACGAACTGAATGCCGTGCTTATCGGTATCATCATCGATGGTCTCCAATTCCTCCAGTATTTCCGGGCATTCCTCGCAGTCGTCGCTGTAGAACAAAACTGCCAAGTGTTCCACGTCGTTTATTAGAACCTGGAAGAGAAAAAAATCGTTCTGGAATCATCGTGTGATCTATCAAATGTCTCCCAATAGCGCTGCAAAATTCCCAAACAGTACATCTTCGATGATGTAATCTGTATAAAGAATTATGTCAAATACCTACCTACCTGTAAAGTTTTTCTATCGACGTTTTCTATTACATCTGGTTCGGATTCGCGCAGGTTGAGGACCCAGTCGAGGATGGCTTCCTCGTGCATCAGATCGCCCGTGTAAATTTCCCTGAATCTGTTCCTGTAGAATACAACGGCAGGAAGCGATGGTAGATCGTATTCCTTTTGGATACCATCGTCGGAGATTTTGACGAAATCGATGTCTTTGTCCTCGCATTCGTCGTCGATGTTTTCCAGTTCTTGCAGGATTTTCTGGGAGCGCTTGTCGCCTTCTTTATCTGGAAGAGTAATAATAATGGCGCACCGAATTCGATTTTGCGGTGGGTTTCTTACAGAAATAAACGACGACGTGTTCGTTTTCGCTGAGAATTTTATCCAGCATTTTGGTGTTGACTTCTTCGATGCGATCCGGAATTTCCAAAGTGTTTTCGTCGGTGAGCCAAGCCAAAACTTCATCTTCATCTTCGATATCTCCGGTATAAACCAGAGGCTCTTTGTTTCTGAAGAAGACTAATTTCGGAAAGCTTTTGATGCTGTATTTCTTCGCCACAACCAAATCTTCAGTGGTAACGAATATAATACCAGTCTCATCAAGTTCGTCGTCGATATTTTCCAATTCATTGAGGATGTTATCGCACTCCTGGCCTTCTTCGCAGTTGCCGCTGAAGTACACCACCACGTATTCGTGCTCTTGGATCAAATCCTCGAGTATTTCGTCGGTGACCTCTTCGATCGTGGCCGTCGTCTTTTGCTCGATCAGCCATTTGAGTACTTCGTCTTCGTTCATAAGATCCCCTTCGTAGATCGAAGGGATCTTATCTTCGAAGTACACCAAAGTCGGTAGGTGATCGATACCGAATTCCTTAGCTTCAGCATCGTTGTCGATCCTAACGATTACTATGCCTTCTTTTTCCAAATCGTCGTCGATGTTTTCGAGCTCGTTGAGTACTCTGATGTCTTGTTTGTCGTCTTTGTCATCTGGAATTTAAGTATTAGTAAGGGTTTGGTGAGTGATTGGATTGGATTGGTTTTACAGAAAAGTACAGCGAGGAATTTCTCGGATTCGATGAGCAAATCCATCATTTCATCGGTAACGTCGGGTATTTCGCTGTGGCGTTTTTGGTGCAGCAGCCAACCCAGGAGTTCCTCCTCTTTGGTGAGATCGCCTTCGTATAAATGGGGGATTCGTTTCTCGAATAACACCAGGCTGGGAATGGTATCGATGCCGTACTCTTTAGCTTCGTCGGGATTGTCGATTTTCACGAAGGCGATGTTGTTTTGATCGCATTCGTCGTCGATGTTCTCCAGTTCAGCCAACACCTTTTGGCTCTTCTTTTGGTTTTTGTCATCTAGAATCGAACAGTTAAGTTTACAGCTGAAGAGAGTTTTGTTAACTTACAAAATAGAACTGCTACGTGTGTTTTCTTTGCTATTAGAATATCCAGCATTTCGTCGGTGACGTCCTCGATTTCGTCGTGCTTGACTTGGTGTTCGAGCCACTTGAGGACTTTCTCTTCGTCTTCTAGGTTGCCTTCGTATAATGTAGGAATGCTGTTTTCGAAGTAAACTAAGGACGGTATTTTTTCGATACCGTATTCTTTAGCTTCGTCATCGTTGTCTATTTTAACGAAAACGATGCCGAGCTGGTCGCATTCGTCGTCGATATTTTCAAGTTCGTTCAGGACTTTTTGGGACTTTCTGTCATCATCGTCATCTGAAAAATAATACCAATCGGTTATACCCGGGGGGTGATTTTAAAATCGACTTCTTACAAAACAACACGGCCAAAAACTTGCTGTCGCTTATCAACTTGTCCAGCATTTCGTCGGTGACGTCTTCGATTTCGTCCTTTTCCAGTTGCTCCACCAGCCATTCCAGGATTTCCTCTTCTTCTTCCAAGTCGCCGTCGTAGATGTTCGGTATGCCCTTCTCGAAGTAAACCACAGAAGGCAAGGAGTCCAAGCCGTATTCTTTCACGGCGTTGAAGTCGTCGATTTTGACGAATTGGATGCCGTATTTATCGCAATCGTCGTCGATGTGCTCCAAATCGTCGAGGACTTGAGTCGATTCTTCCGATCCGTGGTCGTCTAGAAGATATATTTGACTATATAGAGAGTGTTGGTGGAAATGTAAAGAGTGTGGGAGTATTTACAGGAAGAAAATTGTAAATATATACAAAAGTAGTAGAGATTTATTGTCGTTGTTGATTGATATCATGCAAGGAGGTAAAAAGGGCCTCGCACGCAAAAAATGTCGCGGAAAAACTTACTATCAATCAATTCCATGTCTAATGAAGTATCTAAAATAGATTTTAAAATAAAGCTAGTTTACTGGTCGTTCATAATAATTAGGTACTCGATTTTCTCCTAATAAGTTTAACAACATCAACATTTACTTACAAAACAGCACAGCCAAATGATCCACGCTACTTATTAAAGTCGATAAGGTCTTCAATGTAACATCTTCAATAATATCGTCTTCATCTCCAGTACTTTTGTGTTGAACTAACCATTCCAAAACGTCATCTTCCTTCGTCAACTCACCTGAAATGCATTAAATTAAAAACATAAAAGGTAATGAAGAAGATGATGAATTTACCTTCGTAGATGATGGGTATTTGATGTCGGTAATAAACAAGTGTAGGCAACGTGCCCAGGTTGTATTCATCAGCTAGGTTTTCGTCGTGGATCTTGACGAAACCGATGCCCAGTTGATCGGCCTCGTCGTCGATGTTCTCCAATTCGAGCAGCACTTTGGAGCATTTCTTGCATTCCGGTTTATCTGGAAAAATCGAATTTTAACGACAGCTTCGCGACTGATTAGTAAATACATGCTCTGGACATCCAGGACAACCAAATCCTCGCAGGAACAAAAACAACTTTCTACTGCAAGCTCAGATTTTGGTCAAATAGCTCGATGGGGGCGAGAAGTTATGGAAATCTCGAGGTGTTAAGGTGTTTGAAAATTTTCATAGATCTGTGGTGGGTAAAAGCGTTAATGATTTAAGAGAAAATTTGTATGTGTTTTTGTGAAGTTAATTGCAATAATTTTTCTTAGTTCGCAAACAATTAATAGAGTTTAAGAAAAATCATTTACAAGTAGATGTGAGTGTATATACTTTGCTCGGTTTGCTACGATGAAAAAATTTGCATTACAAGAAGTAACTTTCGAATATTTCGTTCACATCGTAGTAAACCGATCCGGTATAACTTGTGTATTAATTGGTGAGAATTCGGATAGTGGGATAATGCTGAAAATAAAAATATAATACCATTCCTATTACTCTTATTAGTTTTAAACCGGGTGCTACATGTGTACTATACATATACAGTGTGTTTATTGGAAGAAATCAGATGAAGCAATTATAATTGCACGATTCAAATAGAAATAAATGCTGTAAAAAATTAATCTATATACTTTATTTTGCATTTATAATAGCTTCATCTGTAGCACTGTATATTGACAAAAAGCTAAAATTTCTAAGACACTACTTACTGCTTCCCGCTTTTGCGCACTTATCGGCATCTGGACCTACATATCAAGTGAGCGGTTATAGTTTCAAACGGACGAAATTAGAACGAGTATCGTAAAATTAAAAGATTGACATTGGCGTTGATGTTAGTTTATGTCTAAAAATATTAATAAGGTAACCGTCGTACTGGAAATATTAATACAAACACAGAAAGAGCCGATGAGTTAAGTTTGTACGTGTGTGTTTGTGTTTATTATCCACGAAAAAAAAATATATACCCGACGGAAAGTATTAAGTAAAGCGAACGTTATTTATAGATTTCGATTGGGAAATTTTTCGCCAGACCTAGATTTTTTAGGACATTTAATTTACTAATTCTATGTATGATACTTACAAAACAAAACGGCTACATAATCAGTTTCCTCCACTATTTTATCCAAAATCCTGGCGTTGACCTCCTCGATTCGATCCGGCAGATCCATAGCTTCCAAACTAGTCAAAAAATCCAACACCTGTTCTTCATCCATCAAGTCACCTACATCCAATTAACAACAATTAATCCATTAATCATCTTCGATCGAAGTATCGAAGTTACCATCGTAAATGATCGGCTCCTTTTCCCTGAAATATGTAAGAGCTGGAAACTTCGTGATGCCATATTGCTTAGCCAGTCGTTTGTCGTTGATTTTGACGAAATCGACTCCGAATGAGTCGGTATCATCGTCGATTTGCTCCAATTCCTGCAGCACTTTGTCGCATGTGGTGCAGCTCCTTGCATCTGCACAAACACCAGAAAATACCCCTTAATAAACTTCATATAACATTTTCTGTGTAATGGAAATTTGAATGTTGCAGGAGAAGTTTATACCAGAACATTCTTCTCGAACAATTAGGGATATTTTAGGCCATTTGCTGTTATTTTTTTTGGATTGCCAAGTTTATTGTTAACATGTGCTTCATTAACTTTCGTTTTCCGAACGAATTCCGAGCGAGAATTCGGCGCTTTTAGCGAATTATTAATACCGATTATTTCGATAACTCGATTAGAAGATTAAAGCTCGATTATTCCAGATAATCGAGCGAAGATTAACGTTAAGAGAACTACAAATAGAATGATTTTATTTACACCAGAATGTTGTTTGAAATGCGAAGTAAGAGCGGCAACGTGGCGGGTATTCGTAGGTGTTGCAATTACATTGTTCGGGACAATTTTAGCGCAGCTCGACACCGCCTATGCTTAGATAATAATAAAATGGTCCAATGCATTCGATTTCGTCCCATTCATTAGTATTTTTGGCATAAAAATAGGATTTTTTTTCGTGTAAAGCTATTAGGTTTGTTTATGAACAAACGTTCAGAATAGAATTCAACATTTCGATCTATAGAGATAGTTTTTCTTTTCGCGAAATTCCCCAGATTTACAACTCCATCTAGTTAATAGAGCGGAAGTAACCTCGCTAAAACGATTTCGAATTTAGTTGGATTATTTTTAAATGATTTTTTTTAGTTTTGGTTATAAATAAAAAAAATGGAACACATTTAACCTTGGCAATGGTAATTATACCGAAAATTCGGTCGCCGAATAATAATTTTGTAACGAATTATTGTTTTATAAATTCTATAATTAGACCAAAAGCAAAGCCATTCAATAACTCAGAAAATCACAGTCGGTATTTCTTTATTTTTCAATTCGACAAGCGGCCATGCTAGAAAAGTAATAATTTCGCTAAAGTTTGGCAAATTGAGCAATCAACGTCCCGAAATAAATTCGTTTAAACGATACAAATTTCTGCGGTAAATTCTTATCGTCTAAATTGGTAGGCGATAAAATAAACCAACAAAAAAATTTATTACAATATAATTTAATCAATATCCCGCGGTTGTTGAGACTTATTTCTTTTTTTAACAACGATAAGGAATTCGTAGAGAAAATATTGTGAAGAGTATCATATTATATTAAAGATTCTATTCGTATTCAGCAGGTTATTTATCGCAACTGACCTTTACTGGACGATTTGATATAATTTTTTTTGTTCTATAATATATAAATAAATAATCGACCGACGACTTTCGGCGCTGAAATAACCGAAGTTCTCTTTTCCTGTTGTGAATCTAAAATAGAAAGTGAACTACACGATTCGACCAATCCCGTTTTTCTATTAATATTACACACCGAATTTCAGCGTAGACAAATTTTACTTAATTAAATAATTCAAATAGCTCCACTCGATATTTTATTAATCCAGTTAAACACCAACATTTCTATATAGACTACAAGTTTATTTTCGTATTGAAAAATGTGCATGACACCAATTCGTGCGGAGATATATCCATGGACATTTCCACGATCTCAAGGAAATAATACAATCAGCCAGCAACCCGCAGGACTTTATGCGGGAGTAGAACTCGAATAAAATTCGCACACACTCACACACACACACACACTCACGCACCGATCCAAATGTGGCCATGGACACATAATACGTCCACCGAAGTGGACAAGTGTAACATCGGAACGAGGCCACGTCGCGCCGATTTTCCCCGATTTCCCGATTTCACCCAAAACCAACCACGCCAAAAAAAAAACCTACTTACACCAGAAGACGGCGACGTAGTCCTTATCGGCGAGGACGCGCTCCAGCTGCTTGGCGGTGACCTCTTCGATGACGGGCTCCTGGGTCGACGTCGGCGCCCGCTTGGCGTCGGCCGTCGTCGCCGCGACGGCCACCAGCAGCAGCCACCACAGCATGCTGTTCTGCACTGAGCGGGACCGACGCCGGCGAGGCGATCGCGCGAGCGATCGGCGCAGCGCCGCGACGACCGGCGTCGCAATTTTTTGGATGCTTGGGATTCGGAGAATGTTTGGTGTAATTTTGGCGACGCTGCTGCTCGATGGCGATGAGGTCAGGTGGTCGCCAATACGTTAGGAATCTGTTGGTTGTAGACGGTTTGGTTGTTCGATTTTTCTATGGAATTCACCTCTAATGTTGTTGGGATGAGGTGGAATACTCCGAGGTGAAGAAATAGACGAAGAATTTTTCTCTAACGTTGTTGGGATAAGGTGGAACACTCCAAAGGTGAAGAAATAGACGAGGAATTTTTCTCTAACGTTGTTGGGATAAGGTGGAACACTCCAAAGGTGAAGAAATAGACGAAGAATTTTTCTCTAACGTTGTTGGGATAAGGTGGAACACTCCAAGGTGAAGAAATAGACGAAGAATTTTTCTCTAACGTTGTTGGGATAAGGTGGAACACTCCAAAGGTGAAGAAATAGACGAAGAATTTTTCTCTAACGTTGTTGGGATAAGGTGGAACACTCCAAGGTGAAGAAATAGACGAAGAATTTTTCTCTAACGTTGTTGGGATAAGGTGGAACACTCCAAAGGTGAAGAAATAGACGAGGAATTTTTCTCTAACGTTGTTGGGATAAGGTGGAACACTCCAAAGGTGAAGAAATAGACGAAGAATTTTTCTCTAACGTTGTTGGGATAAGGTGGAATACTCCAAGGTGAAGAAATAGACGAAGAATTTTTCTCTAACGTTGTTGGGATAAGGTGGAACACTCCAAAGGTGAAGAAATAGACGAAGAATTTTTCTCTAACGTTGTTGGGATAAGGTGGAACACTCCAAAGGTGAAGAAATAGACGAAGAATTTTTCTCTAACGTTGTTGGGATAAGGTGGAACACTCCAAGGTGAAGAAATAGACGAAGAATTTTTCTCTAACGTTGTTGGGATAAGGCGGAACACTCCGAGGTGAAGAAATAGACGAAGAATTTTTCTCTAACGTTGTTGGGATAAGGTGGAACACTCCAAAGGTGAAGAAATAGACGAAGAATTTTTCTCTAACGTTGTTGGGATATGGTGGAACACTCCAAGGTGAAGAAATAGACGAGGAATTTTTCTCTAACGTTGTTGGGATAAGGTGGAACACTCCAAAGGTGAAGAAATAGACGAAGAATTTTTCTCTAACGTTGTTGGGATAAGGCGGAACACTACAAGGTGAAGAAATAGACGAAGAATTTTTCTCTAACGTTGTTGGGATAAGGTGGAACACTCCAAGGTGAAGAAATAGACGATGAATTTTTTCATCAGGTTCACAGAAAAATTCCTACAATTGATTTGTTAATATTCCAACGCGTATTTTATCGCGAATGTCATCACATCCACACTTTATACTGCTTACTCAACAAACAGACCTTTAATTGTGGCGCTTTTATCAAGATAAAACTCTCGAAACACGCTACCCCACATTTCTAGCTCATTACAACATGTCGCCTTTGCTAGTGCTGGCCTCGTTCGTCGCAGTAACTACATCGAATTATCTACTAAACATCCGCCGAGATCAAATCGACACCAGAGTATCTTTGAGCCGATGCATAATCGAAGCCACCAAGACCTATTTCTCGTCGGATTTCGAAACGATAACGTTCTCGCTGCCGATCGTCGAGCAGGAGCAGAGCTCCACCTCCTTCGTGATGAACCACTTCGTATTGGGCGAGCTGCAGCGCTCGAACCAGTGGTTGTTCATCATCAAAAACGGTAGACACCCAGCCAGAGATTTCAAAGCATACCCCACCATCACCAAGAACTACATCATCCAGATTCGGCAACGGGGAGAATTCGCCGGGAACCTCAAGCGATTGAAAGCCTCGCTGACGTGGAACCCCCATGCAAAATTTCTGATCGTTTCGCCTACTGTATTCGACAAACCCGATTCAGTCGCTATCGAAATCACAGAGGTGAGTAATAACACTGTTGTTGTATTTGCTCCAATTTATCAGTTACCTTTCGCAGGTTTTATGGAAATACCACGTTCTCGATGCAGCGATATTGCTCGTAGAACCAACGAACACCTCCACGTTTCTGGTGTATTCCTGGGAACCTTACAGCGATAAAGGCTGCGGTGGAGATTACTCCAACATCTTCCTCATAGACAGATGCTCGTTCGGTGTGGTGGAGGAAAATTCGTCGTGGTTCAACGATAAAATCACCTTCAGCGGATTCAATAACTGCAGCTTGAAAGCTTCTTTTATCGTTTGGCCGCCGTTCGTGACAACGGAGAGTCCCATCTTCAGGAAATCGGATTTCGAGGCTACCCAAGGCATTGAGGTGAACCTGATCAATATGATCGCCGAGAATTTGAATCTCTTCGTGGAGTATACCAGTGGTGGTACCGCTTGGGGAGCGGTGTTTTTGAACGGTACCGTTACAGGTGATTTTAAGCTACTAGCTGAAGATGCAATCGATATAGTATTGGGCGGTTATACCAACACTTTCGGTTGTTCTTTGTTGTTCGATTGCAGTAATTCGTACATTCAGGAGGTGTTGGTGTGGTGTACACCGCACGAGCCTGTACTCTTAGGTTTATTGCCTATGATTAAGATACTATCGAAGGAAGTTTGGATTGGTTTGTCTTTATTGTACTTCATAGCCACCTACTTCGCTTGGACCCTTGCTAAACAGTCCAACAAGGAAATATCGAGTTACAAACAACTCGAAAACGTGGCGATTAGAAATTTTTTGATACTCATCGGCTTGACCGCGGACGTTCTACCGCGATCTAAAGGAGCGAGGTTCTTCACAGGAGTTTTGATGCTGTTCAGCCTGCATTTGAACATGTTGTACACTTCCTACTTGACCAGTACATTGTCCAGTCCGATTTTTAAGGAAAAGTACAAGAACCTGGAGAGCATCTACGAGTTTGGATTGAATACCTACTTCGTGCCCGAGTACAAGAACTTTTTCAATCAGATCAGCAGCGATTCCGGTCATATCGAAGGAGTACCACTGAGTGAGGTAATGGATAACTGGAGGAATTGCGGTAATGTAACAGAATGCGTTGAAGAGATAATAGAAGGAAAACCGAATGCGCTTTGTTTGCCGCTATTGTATAAAGAATATTTGTTGGTGCACATAGCAGACTTCCATAAGAATAAGTACAAAATCAACTGTCTGAAGGAAAAGGTTGCTAATTTTCCAGTTAACTTAATAATGAGGAAAGGTTTTCCTTTGTACGCTGTTTTCCAGAAAACGATTGATAGGATCAACAACGCTGGGTTTATATCCAAATGGGAGAAGGACCTTCTGTATGAAAAGAGGCAGAGCATTCAATACGAGAAAGAAATCAGAAAAGAAACGTCCACTATCAGATTCGTTAATCTCAGAGTGATCTTCGATTGCTTATTTTTCGCGGAAATTTTTTGCTTTTTGGTCTTCATAGGAGAACTTGTCGTTTTCAAAAGAAGAGAAAAACAACGCAATTAGTGCTATAGTGGTGCTTTATTCGATTTAATTTGTAACATTAATTGCTTCATTGTGACATAAAATCGGTGGTTGAAATCGTATTTTAGCGTTGCACAACAAACGTGATGAATGAGTAAGCTCCTTTCAATATCTGAAATTAGATGTAAATCAGTCTAATTATGCTGAAAACTCGTAGCTAAATCGTACCCCAAAAAATATATTCCAGGTCATAATCGTCAACGAACCAATTTGCAAACCCGTCTGTTTGTTACATCTCATAATAAACATGTTTACCATGGTTTTAACTGGTCGTATCTTGTTGTACCAATGCACATCGTAAACGTTATCTGCTGTATCGTAGCCCTGAAATATTTCGATGGGATTTGTGAATTGGGATGTCCAATTAACCACTAAATTCTCCACTTACATTTGTCATCACCTCGTTGGCATAATAATAATAAACAGCTAATCTGAGCAACATTATAATAACGTAACCTCCAGCTGCTAATCTTGCCATTTTGAAAGTCTGATACTACAAAAGATAAATAATGTTAAGATAAAGATAAATAACATTAAAATTAACATAATACCACTATAGTGATCGTAAGAACGGCCAACTGATAAGAACTCTGTATAAAATCGAGAAGCATAACACTCCGCATTTCCTCGTTATAATCATTGATGTATCTAAAAAAAATATATGTTGTTATGAAGCAATCGTTTAATATCGATTCACCTGATGATCCTTTGATGTTCCACGATGCAAAGTTGCATCGTGACGAAATCGGCTCTGTCCCGATCGCAGTTCAATTGGCCTTGAATTTTCAGGCTGTACGCGTCGAATTTGTTCAGAATGTGCTTCAGCACGTTGAACTGGCCGAGGGGGTAGCTGATTAAACTGTAGAACATTATTTCCGTGCCGTAGTTGCACAGAAGGCAGAGACAACAGCCGATTTCTTGGAACAAATAGGCGCTGATGTAGTGCTTGTGCTGGTCGAATGGGGTCCAGGGGTCCAAAGGCAAGCGCTGATGGTAGAAAGTTTGGTTGGTTTTGGGGTCGTAGTAGGATTCTATAGGCGAGAATATCGGGAAAATTATGAAGAGATAAGCGGCCGAATCTGAAATATGCAATAATGTAGAAGATTGTACTACATGGTGTTCGTTGTACATCACCTATAATCTGCGACACCCAGTAAATGTAGTTCAATTTTAGGTTTTTTCTAGCGTTTTCGTTGTAAATTTCGATTATCTCCTCGTCTTCGGAATCGTAGATTTGTTTCTCCTTGTTCCAAATTTCTTGCAGTAAATTCTCGACTTTCTTACCTCGCAAAAACCATACTCTTACCACACCTTTAGCAACAATTCAAAGCGGATGAAAATTGTGGAAGGCTGTTAGAAAATTTCAAACATACCGATAGTGTAAACGGTTACAGAGGTGAAATCGTTAGCGATCACTACAAAATCGAATTTAAATAAGCCGGCGTAGATAATTTCGATGTAGTTGCAAATAATGAAGAACAAAGCAGAAGAAAGCAGCGTCCAGGCGTAGATTCTGTACAATTTGTACGATGTTGTGGTCTTGTCCGGTATGAGCAACCAGCAACCGTTTAGCAAATTGGTGAAAATCGCCACTTTCAGGTGATAAATTTTCGGCGCCTCAAAAATCAAAATGTTTTCACAACGATTTATGAATATCACTAACTTACCTGTAACATTGTTGCATATGTATCTGCAGCACGAAACTAAATGGAAGCAAATTTACCATTTGAAACAGAAAACTTTTTATAATTTGATTCGTTTTAATATAAGAGTATAATTTGTATGTCGATTTGCTCATACAGTGACGAGAAAATTTTACAGTATAACAGTTTCTACTATAATTTAACTTTAAAATTAGTTTTATTGCTAAGCATCTAATTGGAAAAAAATACTTTGTAGGTTACTTCAAATATTATAATACTGTTTTTATCGACAAATATATATTTCTATTAATTTACAATGATAAGTAATAAGTAATTAGATTTATAAATTATTATATTAGACACTTTCGCAAGGCGGCAAATTCGAACATTGCCTGTATTCGGTCGGTTTAGTCTTTTTATCGCAAAATTTATCCGGTAACGCCAAATCTTTGTCATCGACACACATCACACTTCTTCTTTTTAAAGGCTTCTTTCCCTGCAAATAAATCGCGATTATAGCAGCAAACAAAAGGGATTTCAAGGCCTAAAGATTTCTACTCCATCGACATCTATTTTCATCTGAGAATGCCAGAAAGATATCTAAATATACTCCGGGATATTGTGTACACTCGCTAACAGATGGAGCGAAGTTCCCCGATCGATTTCACCGGCTAAATTTAGTATTTTCCAACCCGCGCGATTTTTTCAAATTCGCTAAAGTTAAATGAACTTACTTTAGTAAAGCAAGATGTAGAGCAAGTCTGCCAAGGTCCCACCCACCAGCGCGAAGGACAATTGTCCTCGTTGCAGCTCCTGGTCACCGGATCGGGTTTATCCTGCGGCTCGCAGTAATAATCTTCGACCATCGTAGGTCTTTCTAACTCCATCGCCATTGTGGATTCGACGGATTCCTGGCAAAGAGGTTGCCTGCTTTGGACGCCTCCACCGCAGGTGACCGAGCATTGGGACCATTCGCTCAGGATCCAGGAGTATTTTATTTGGTTTATTATCTCCTGCTTCCATATGGAGTATTTGTACTCCACGCCTGGGTTCCACGTGTTGCCGATGTAGTATATCTGGATAATATTGTTGTAATAGCAGGATAAAAAGAATTATATTGGCTTACATAAATGACGATGGGCTCGTTGATGGGTCCTGGTATTCGGATTTTTTCCAATTGGTTATCTCTGGCGTAAAGAGCTTGCGTTCCTGCTATCGTGTATTCCCCAGGTAGGAAAATATGCCTGGAAATAAAACAGGTCGGGATGATATCTTTTTTTTTTTCATCCGGATAAAAACGGCGGGTTATTAAATATTTCGAAAATGTAGATGTGAATTTCAACGGCTTTTTAAACTCGGCTCTCTTGACACTCGCATCAACATCGACCAGTTTTTGCTGGTTTAAAATACACGCATTTCTGAGTAGGGTTCCTGAATTTTTTACGGGTCTGTTTTTACAGTAAATTTTAACTTACGTATTCATTTCAACGATATTCGGAATATCCGAGCGATATATATAAAAAAAAACAGGGACAGGATACGCCGTAAAATAACTCAGAAAGACCGACGTCAATTTCCAAATAAGCCGAAATGTGTTCAAGATTTTATTTTCGCCCTCCTTCCGTCGAAGTCGCATCGAATTTTCATATTGTTATAAGAATGTGTATGGCGTCCCCGAGGCTCGAATTTTATTCCCACTATATCGATAACCAAACACTTTATAATATTACACCTGCGAGTAACCGTAGAAGTCGAGTCAAAAATAGTTACTAAGTTGGATTGAATGATATAAAAAAAAAATTACCGTTCCCCGTTGAGATAAAACTTCCTAGCCAAAGCGCTGCCGATGCTGATGTAGTTACTCGATCGGTCCTTCTCCTCGATCCGAACATTCCGCGCGCCCTTCGGTACGACCACGATTTCCCTGTAGCCCGGCGACCAATTCTGCTTATCGTAGATCCCCCGCTTTTTGTCGCATTTGCTCCCATCACCTCGGCAAATGCCGCAATCGTCCTCTTCCGTCCGGGAGTCCACCGCCCAATCGCAGCCCACCCTCTGTCGAACAACCGAACAGATTCCATACAGCGCGTTCAAGGTCGAGCGCTACATTCATACACTTCGACCGATTCTCTCTGTCTACCGATTGCAGCGCTCGAACCTGGACGCTCGGTATACCGATGTAGCCGAGAATGAAACGAATTAATTTACCTTGCAAATACCTGAAATACAAATGTCCCTCGATACGATGCTGCAGGGCGTCCCGTCCTTGGCGTATTCTCCCCAAGGAACGATTACTGTTTCATTAGCGTCGCTGCAGTAGAGCTGACAGGGCTCACCTGTAAAACGCCAATTCGTTGTTAATCTCCAGGCAATTTCCGAATTTCTGGTGCATACCCTCGTCGAAATACGGTTGCCATTCGTATTTGTTGCCTTCGTACGGTTGATCGTCGAAACTAGAGCATTGGACGGCTCTAAACGAAGGCTCGCCCGGCGGACAGGATTGAGTGTTGCATATTCGATACCTCTTCCTCTGTCCCACGCAATAATTCCCGCCGTAAGCGGGCGTGGGGTGGTTGCATTCTCTCGACATCACCGATACACCGGCTCCGCAAGTTCGCGAGCATTCGCTCCAGGAGCTCCACTCGCCCCAACCGCCGTCGATGGGAGATGGCGTGTCCAGCATCAGAACGCATTCGTGATTGTAGCACCACTGGAAACGAAAGTGCCTGTTAATTGTCATTAAAACAAAGAGATTTGGTTTACCTTGTGCTTTCCGCAATAAGTTCCTTCAGCTGCTGGTCGAAGGAGAGTGGTGCAAGTGTTGTTTACTGTACACCAAAGATGGGAGCATATTTCGTCGGGCGGTGAGCATAAAGTGGCTTTTTGGCTGAATTGTAGACGGCATTGGTGGTGGGCATCGTACATAACACCTGCTGGAAGGTCTGGATATTTGTAGCGTTCGAGTTGGTCCGGTTCGTCTTCCAGACAATGACCTAAACCTTTGCTGAAACACAACAACCACCTAGAATTAGAAATTAGATTTTTAATAGCTAGCTTACTCCAAAAACCGCGTGATTTCTCTTCTGCTGCAATTCGACCAGTTCACCGTGACCGAATCGGCTTCGAAATGCGGAGTCATTATGTGAATGGTGTTGCCTTCTCTTCTTTTACAACCGACTTTATCCGTATCGTGGATCATACCGAAACTGCAGCAATAAAAAAAAACATAGTTAATTATAATAACTCTATCAGCTATCTACTTACTTATGGCCCAATTCGTGAGCAATAGTATGAGCTGATGTAATACCGTTATCTTCATTCACGCTGCAACTCCTGCTGGCTTTGCACATGCCCCCTATATGAGCTACTCCTAATGTCCCACATGGAACATCTTTCCTCGCGCATATATCTCTTCTGGTGATCAATATCGCAACGTCGTGGTGATGTGGATGGTTATCTTTACCTAACGATAGGAGATGGTAGAGTGGAGATATGGTTAATTTGAATTGGTACCTGGGTTGAGCTTGGTTTGCCATTTGCAAAAGTTCCTCAGCGTTACGTCGGCGTTAGTGCTAACGTTAAGCGCTGGTTCCGAATGGAGATCTTCCAGCAAAATGATTTTCACCACGACGATTTTGACGCTGTTGCCTATGGTGGGATCTTGGTATAGCATTGATACCATATTCATGAGGGTTAATAAGTAGGTTTCGATGTCTCCATCTTGATGGAATTCCACCATACTGTTATCGGCGACTATTAGAGTTTCCACGTAATGATTCAAACTTATCGATCTTTGACTTCTACCGAGTTTTCTTTTGTATTTCAATTTCTTCACGTTCTTCATCTGCATATCTTTCGCGTTGGCGACTTGTTGTTTTTTGTTCTGTTTCCTTCGTTGGATTTTCAATTTACCTTGGTCCATTTGCCACTCGAGCCTAGAAAAGCAAAACATGCCAGCTAAATGTTCCATTAAACGATGCGTCGAGTATATCTCATGCAAACACGAATACTCCATCAACAGAGAATAATAAACCCGCCGCATATTATGTAATTACGCTGCACAATCGCATCGAAAACTTGTTTGCTTACAATGTCCATCTTTTAGGTATTTTCGTGCCGCAATTCGCCTGCTTTTTTCCCTTCCTTCTCTTCTTCTTCTTCGCGTGGCTCGTCGTCACGGCGGATCTCTTATAAATTAGATGTTTCCGACCAGCTTCGACCGATTTAGATTGATGATCAGCCGGTTCTATGTAGTATTTTCCTTTCTGAGTGTGTATGATTCCTGCCTGGAATTGTTTGATTAATTTATTCATCGAAAAAGAGGAATGTTTGCAGGTATTGTGTTTATTAACGTTTGGAAGATATTTTCCCATGCGAGCGATGGAGTATTGTATTATTTTAGTGTGCAAGTTTATCCATCGGAATTTCGATTCAAAATTCAGCTTCTTTATCCGAGCGATATGTCAACGCCAGGAAAATTTCCAACTCGACAAGCATCTGGAATATATTTCTAATGCCTCGTTTATACTAAGTCGCCTGTTAATGTGTTCGAACAAAAGCTATTGTGTTTGTAGTAGTCGATGAGAACGGAGACGGGAGAAAATTGGCTGGGCGAATGAATGGGGAGTGAATTTATGGACGGAGCTTGGAAATTATAAAGTCGGGGGGAATTTTCGTTTGGATAAATGGAAACTATTCGCGACGTGAGGAGCTATAGGAAATGTTCCTGGTTTGAATTAATTATTTCGGCATATTTACCAAACCATTGCAAGCGGATAGGGCGACTTTGGAGCCCTCTTGTCCCGCGACGAAACCTCGATAGTGGCATTTTTTGCTCCTCTCCGACGGTCGCTCCCTGGTGAAGTTGCCCTTTCGCCTCCTCTCGACAATTAGAGAAGGAATGAAAAAACCGTTCGACGGCCGAAGGACCAAAAAATGCTCGTCCCGGCCAATCGACAAATTGAAATGGACGAATCCTGAAGGATCATCGTGGAAAGTCGTAACGTCGCGAGCGAGGTGATCGCCCTTCGAAGTGACCCTTTCAGGAACGGTTTCGTGGACTTCGGAAAGCCTGTTTGTGTATAGTCCTTAAAAATAATAGAATTCTCGCTACATTATAATGGAAATTCACCGCAATTATTTGCGCTATTTATTATTACGCCGAAGATTAATTGCGCTTGCTATTGGAATAATTGTTATACTGATTTTTTTATAATTGGCAGTTCCAATAAAATATGATGTTTATTGTATTGTCAATTTGATTTAGTAGCATTATGCAAATTAGGTGAGATATCTGCAAAAATTGTGCGTTGTTCTCTTGTATTATTACAATATAAATTATGAATTTTTTATGATCCAAGTCTTGCTCGATACGATTTTACCAGATGTGTATTGATGATTGGAGAGATAGATATAAAGCTGTAAGGGTGTGATTGAGTGATTCTCGCTACTTTTTACAATTCCGATAGGATGAGTATTTTCATTCGCAGAGGTAGATTTCTATCCAATCGAGCGTGACGAAATATCAAAGACGATGTAGTCATTGCATTCCGTCGGCCATTAGAGTTGGCAATCGGGTAATAAGGAGGTGAAAATATCATGACTAATAATTATGATGGCGAGTGAACGCCCATTCGTTGCAACGAAAACGACCAATCGCCGGTGATTAAATGCTATTTTGTAAATAATTAGTCGAAGTGCACCTGGATTTGTTTATTACGTCTTTGCTCGCGGAAATGTCGCTGTTGGCATTCATTTAGAAGCAAATTTATGCGGAATAATAGGTGTTTCTCCGTTTCTAGAAATCGATTAATTGCGGATTATTGAATGATGGAGGTTTGAATAAATATGCAAAAAATATATAGATTCTAATTAATCTGTTTGTTCTATTTAATTGTATTCCAATTGTCAATTATAATTCGCAATGTTTCTCTTATTTAATTAAAATGACTAATTCTTATATTAGGTTATTTCGAATTAACATAATCAATTATTTGGTGAATTATCGGCGTGTGATTCATCGCTATATTTTTGGCGAAATTTCGGATTTCTCGTGGGCGGAATAATTCGAGGTTGTCGTTTTGTTTTTTCCTAAGTGGAACGATTAGTTTCATATAGCGAAACAGGTGTCTTTTTCTTTTAATGATCGGAATTATCGAATTTATCGCCTTGTTTGGATCGCTACAGGATATATTTTTATCGATTTGTTAGAAGACATTTTTATCGCAAAAAATTTTTCGATGTCGCGCATAAACTATTCAGCAATCATCCATTTAGCAAATTATCGTTTAATAAGTCTTCCGTGCATTGCATCGGCAATTTTCCATCGTTTTAACATTTAAATATGGCTCGGCGTAATTCGAAAATCGCCGGCAAATCGTCGACCGGGAAATAATCGAAACCCTCGAGGCACCAGGTGAGTCGAGACCACCTCGGCGCCTCCGACTGGTGGGCCGCCAACATCCGGTATACTGTACATTATTTCAAAAATAAACCAACAATGGATATGTGATTGCCTTTGATCTTTGGAAGCTTCACTTAACGAGACAGATACCAACAATGCAGGGTCGGTTCGGAGGTTTTCTGGTTGAATGTGTACTTGCTGGTGGCTTTAAATGGTTTAGGATAGGTTTGGAAACCATCTAGAAATGATTTGGACAATTAGAACAATCCACAACTGTCCAAAATGATTTAGAATATCACAATTTGGAAGGGTTCAGGATAAACTAGAAGACATTATTTCAAAATGGATATGTGAATGCCTTTGATCTTTAGAAGCTTCACTTAAAGAGATAAATACCACAATACAGGGTCGGTTCAGAGGTTTTCTGGTTGAATGTTTACTTGCTGGTGGCTTTAAATGGTTTAGGATAGGTTTAGAAACCATCTAGAATTGATTTGGACAATTAGATCAATCCACAACTGTCCAAAATGATTTAGAATATCACAATTTGGAAGGGTTCAGGATAAACTAGAAGACATTATTTCAAAATGGATATGTGATTGCCTTTGATCTTTAGAAGCTTCACTTATCAAGACAGATACCACAATGCAGGGTCGGTTCAGAGGTTTTCTGGTTGGATGTGTACTTGCTGGTTGTTTTAAATGGTTCAGGATAGGTTTAGAAACCATCTAGAATTGATCTGGAGCATTTGAAACAATTCAGGGTGATCTTAGAACCATACAAAATTGCCCAAAATCTTTTAGAATATATTTAGCACAATTTGGAACGGTTCAGGATAAACTAGAACACATTATTTCAAAAATAAACCAACAGACAAATCGAAATGAGATTGCCTTTGATCTTCAGAAACTTCACTTAACGAGACAGATACTACAATACAGGGTCGGTTCAGAGGTTTTCTGGTTGAATGTGTACTTGCTGGTGGTTTTAAATGGTTCAGGATAAGTTTAGAAACTATCTAGAATTTATTTTGACCATTTGGAACAATTCAGGGTGATCTTAAAACCATCCAAAATTGTCCAAAATCATTTAGAATATATTTAGCACAATTTCGAACGGTTCAGGATAAACTAGAAGACTATAAATCTATAAAAGTTAGGTGTTCTTTCTTTTTTTTCTTATGAATCTGACTAGTTACAGAATTTAATACCGAAACAATTAAATTATAACATGCTTAATTAATTAATTGGCTACAAACGAGACCAATTGGCGGCGGTAGAAAATAATAAGCAACATCCTTTGCAGGTAAATAAGTCATTAAATAGCGATTCGCCCCGGAGGTGAAAAGAACGCGAAGATGGTATAAGGAAAATGCGAAATGAAGAGTTGCTCGCGATAATACAAACGATGTTCTTAAAATGTAACCTAATTGCCGGTGTGAGTCAAAAATAGAGTAAAAATAAGGTAGAAAATTACCCATTTCTTCAGGTGAAAAACTCAACCAAACATATAATATACCTACTCTCTTTCTCGCACTCGTGTTATTTCTATTTCCTCATCATCAACAGCGGGATCGACTGTCGAACAATCGGTTCGTTATACCGTTCAACAGGAACCCGTAATTAATTGTTATTGAATTTTTATGAATGGTGTTTAAAATATACGGCAGATAAAAAAATTGTTTTGTTAATAAACAGGTGCCAGACTTTCGATCTGATTAGGATTCGAAAAGGTTCATTAGGTTCATTATATGAGTCACGCCTAATTTATTATTTAAATAATTTCGCGTGGCGTGATTTTTTTCATGTCAACTATATCATGTTGCCGAACGATCCGATTAAATATTCCTCGTTACTTCAACATAATCTCATCCATCGGCAATAATGTGATTATTAAATCCCGAATCGCACATCTACTCTCGAAATATTCATCTCGAATTTTTTCATATTTCACGCACTATTTCCAACAAAAGTAGCAGGATTCTGAATTAATAAAATTCAATCATCGCTCCCTCTTCGGTTGTTACGCGAAAAAAAAGAGAATCCCTTCCACGGAGGTCCATACACTTCGCTCCCGCTCCGTTCGAAGGTTCATCAGATTATTAATGAAAGTCTGGTTTAATTGAGTGGTATCTAGTTAGAGTCCTCTGCGGGAAAATTAATTCCCCGACCCGTTTTCGGTCGCGGGATTCTGAAAGATAAAGCCAAGGAAATTGTTGCAGTACTCGCAGGAACAATAGGTTGTTTGTTGTTGCGCGTTTAGGCGATCCTACTAAACTAAAATAAACCGGTATTAAAGCTTCTGTTGTGTATTGCATTGCCCTCTTCTTATCACTTCCATATTCAACACTTTCTTTTAGTAAGTTGATTATCTTGTGCTACGTTATGTTTATTGGGAAATTTAATTAGTCAGTCAATTTCTCTTCAAAAAAATGCAGTAAATAACTATCAGAAAATCTCATTTTTGAGATCGTTCCGCCGCTGATGCAGCTAAGAAGATTAAAGGATATAATACTTAGCAGTGACAGCTTTATCTCGGTGTTATGTAAATTACACAGAAGATAAGAAGATATATAATAGTCCATCGTATATGCAATGTAGTAGTAGCAGCCCGTAATGGAAGACTTATATCTTCATTAAAGGAAAAAAAAACAGAATGCAGCAAAAGACGCGACGTTTACTTACACAATTAGAAAATGGCACAAAGAAGCTCGTTAAAATTTTATAAGCGATAAATTATTGGCTGGAATAGTTGTAATTATCATCGCGAAACGCTAACGAAACATCTTCATCGACGTTTTAATGATCCAACAAAAAATATGTCGAATAAAAGCGTTGGTGATTTTTGAGTCGAGTAGAATTATGCACTTCAGGGCCTGTTAAAGCGCAAAAAATTCCTCTGAATACCAACGAGCAATTACACCTAATTTCCTGTTAACCTTTCATACTTTATGCCAGTTGTTGGTAGAACATAAAAGCTCGCTGATCACCTGGAGGAACTCGTTAGGGCCGCTTCCACTAAATCTTTATTTACCACTAGGCAAGAGAGATTATAATGCAGGACTAAAACTACACGGAATTCGAATTATATGCAAATACCGGTCCTGTAATAAGACCTATTGATGGGTCGCCTACAGCGAACGAAGGTAAAAGAACAAGCCGAAGAACATGTTCGATGGTCATTCGTCTATTTCTCATCTTCTATCTATACCTACACGATTCGAGGTAAATGGGAGTTTGTGTATCGTTCTCGTTAAATTCGATAACAGTAGTTCGTTTGATTGATATTGGTGTATTTATTGGTAATATGTAGTTAAATTGTTTGATTATCGATTCGCCTCTTCCGATAAGGGAAGAAAAAAAAATCGTTCGATTCCGATGAAGCTATTACAACGGCGATAAATCATTGCGAATGGTTTCCAGATAAATCTAGTCCGGACGTTAATTATGTTAAATTATTTAAATATCAGTAGATGGGAGTTACAGGTGTAGTACTACGCAAATATGTTGCACAGGTGTTTAGCGTTTGCTCTAATTGAAATTCAAGATAATTATCGCAAAAAAACTTATACTTAAAGAATGCATATTGCTTGTAAGTTTTTGAAGCATTTCGCTAGACGCAATCAATCATCCCAAAGTTGAATTGTGTGGTGTAATTACCGACGCATTATAACAAAAAAACATGCCCACATTAATCTTCGACGGGAACGAAAATAAAAATACAAAAAGCCAGTAGTATAGAAACCACTTACCTTTGTATTCGGCCGACGAGCTGATAACGGCCAGCGACACCAAGAAGAACCAATGCCGGTGGCTCTTGTAGGGCCTTATAAGCTCAATCATCGAGTCAACGAGTCGATTTCTCGACGCACAAAAACCGCACGACAGTCTAGCACTTAATCGTTATCGGCAAGAAAACATTTTAACGACGTTTCCGATGATATGTTTGTCTTCTTCGGCCATTAGCGAGGCGCTGAAAATGTAACACTTCATGCAAAAATTCACCAAATCTTTATGAAACCCAATCAGTGAGCCAGTTATATCGGGTCGATCAGCGGTGATGTGGATATAGAAGATAACACAAAGAGTACAATTAACGATTATGAGACTGGGAGAGATGGTATTAGATCTGAATTTGTTTAGGACAATTTGGAATAGATTCAAGACTATTTGGAATGGTTTAGAAGATTTAGAAGATTATTGCAACTGAAATAATCGATAAATATCCTAATAAAACCATCAAATTTACTTGTGCAATGTAGATAAGTTTTTCCTGTATCCACATCGCTGCAATTCGACCCAATATACCTTTGGAAAATTATTTGTATATGGATGATTAGAGAGAGGACCATATGAATGGTACTAATTGAGCCTATATCTGGTATTAGTTAATGAATAAACAGGCGTCGAGTCCTCGTTATTAACACTAAAATCCGATGTAATTAAGCATATCGGAGGTTTCAATAAACACACGAATTTCAATCTGAATTTGTAGTGTGCTTTTAATTACGACATAATATTATGCAAATCTTCGGGTCTACGCAAATCTCGAATAAATTACCAGACAAAGACCATATTGCTTACAAGGCTCCGAATTACTGGGACACCGGATCCTTGTTAATTTACTAATTCGAAACAGAAACGATATTATTCCGATTAAATTCTATTTAAAAATTTCGAATCGAAGATGAGATTCACCACGAACCAAATTGATGAGTAGGTAAAACGAATCCATTATACACTTATAGAGTTAAAAATATAATAGTATTTAATTAAAACAGATGACTTAGAAAACACCCTATTTACCAACGCACTCTATCAGTTCACCAATACACTTAAAAATTGTACCATAAACTTAAACCAAAAACCAAAACAAACGAACGCACCTGTCACACGCCTAGCCGACTTCGAATAAAACAACAACAAAGGCAAACGGGTCGAAGAGCACCGGAGTCTCGGGCTCTTTGAGCGCTCGCGGGCCGACAATGTTCGACTCGGCGGGTCAATTCGAGATGCCGATGGTGCAAAGAGTAGGATTGAATGGTCCCCAGTGGACCAGCGTCGCGATTTGCCCGCTACCAATCGCCGGTTATTCAATGAATAACACCTACAATTCGATGTACCTACCGTTTCGATTTTCGCGTTCGCTCTTCTAGCAATTAGAATCGATGGGACTCTCGATGAGGAGTTTCATTGCAGTCGATTTTTTTTTTGGCGGGGTATAAACGCGAATTTTATGGGAGTATTTCGATTTTGAAACGGCGACGTTATCGGAAAATGCATCTGTATAGCGCGTTTCTTTACGAAGATATTAAAAGAAAATTGGATTTGTTTATGGGGTACTTTTTATTGGTCGCATTAGAAATTGGCGAGTTGTAAAAATTCCTCTACCGTTTGAAATAAAATCCTCTTGCTCCACTAAAATCACTCGATGAAGAAGATTAGAAATAGGAATAGATTTATTACAGGGATATTTATAAAAGATGGAGAAAGAGCATTCGATCTAATTCACCTGTTTGATATTTTTTCTGCGGAGGTGAACCCGACCGGACCAGTTTGGTAACAATGATGCATCGACGGGCATCGGTTTAATTGGCTTTGTAACGAATTAAAAAGGAGAATGCAACGATTGATGGTTTCCGGAACCGAATGGGAAGTCGACGAAAGAAAACTGTTGTTTGGTCACGATTTAATTTTACTTTTCGATTGTTTAGATTCGAACCAAATTGCGACTGAATAGTGGCGGTATTCGAGGCCAATGAGGGCTGCATTGATTCTAGTATAAAGACCTTAAATGAATCTTTTTTCCATCTCCGTTTCACCTATGATTAATGTCAAATGACGTCATGATTGATTCCTGATGGAATTGATTTATGTGAATATAGGAACAAATTTCTAGAAACAATTTGCAATGGATTCCGAAATTTGCTATTGCATGAGTTTTATTGATTTCTTTGTTTATTAAAAATAGTTCCAATAACTCATTACTGCCACTGTTATTTGAGGACTCTTCACTTTCAGGTTCTGATGATGAATCGGATGAATATAACATATTGTTTGCAATCAAATAAAACTCCATTTTTAATCATTTCCCTCACATTTAAAAATTCAAATTCAAATTGTCAATGTCAACGTCAACGTCAACGTCAACGTCAACGTCAACGTCAACGTCAAAATTTCCCAATAAATTCGCTTGTAGTTGACTGATAGATGTCAATGTATAATTTTTTAATGAAGTTTTACTCAACTTATCCGTTTTCACTATTTAATCAAGAGATGTATACGAGATGTATATTGATATTTGTGGTTGGAATTCTGCAATCATATCCTGTTTTATCGTGGATACCTTTAAATGGTGAGATACAGCAAACTTTCGTTACTTATCTAAAATTATTGATACACCTAACGAACCGAATCTATATAATTAAATAATGCGGTTAAATACCATATTAGGTAGACTGGAGTAAATGTAAAAATGGGGTAAATGTATTATTTTTACCTATTATGTTAATGTTTTTATTATTTTTATAGTTCTTTTGTGCATTAGACAGGGTTTGTTTCTTATTTTTTCTTTATTATTTTGTAGCTCTGTTATTTTTTGAAATAAATAAATAAACAACATATCAAATTTTAGAGGAACCAAATATGTATTTACAATTGCCCCATATGTTTTTCTATATAATTGTATTGCACTTTAGAACCGATTGTTATTGTCAACATTTTAAAAAATAAGTAAAATCGTTTTCTTCCTTTTTCAAAAAAAACTTTTTAATACCTCGATTCTTTAGTTTAGGAAGTTGTGAATTTAATGTGGTATCAGCATTTCTAATAAGAGAAAAAATAAAGCCACATTTTAGGATTCAATTTGAACAATTCAAATTTTACAACCGATTTGCCCCAGTCTACCTTAATTATTATTTTATGGATGATGAAATTGTTAACATTTTCTATCAGTTGGCATTAAAATCCGTTTAAATTCGAAATCGCTTCGCTCGATTCCATCGAAACGTTTACAATGCGAACACAAATGTGTAGACATCTTGAATAATGCACACGGAAATTTGCAATTAGTGTAGAATATAATTTATCGAATTGTCCTCGATATCATCCCCGAACGCCACCATTTAATTCTATTAACACCAATCAATAATAACGAGGGAGATTCGCGAGTCTTATTTACATTTCGGTATACTGCAATCAGAAATTACTGTGTAATTGTAGAGAATTTAGGCAATCGTAATAGTTTTTAGCATTCGTTTTTTTTTCTTAGTGTACCTCAACAACAATAACCATAATTAAATAACAATCCTGTTACTATTAGCATTCAAACTGTTACCCGGAGTGGAATAAATTAACGTGTAGCGTTTGCGCGGTGTTTTTTTTTCTCCATGATTTTTTTTTCTATCGAAGCAGAAACACAAATGAAGTCGAGGTGTGTCGCTACGTCATGAATCACGAGAAATTACCGACATGATCGTCGAAATGTGTATTGGAAAATCGTGTTTGTTCTAACCGACGATCCTTTCGAAACAGAAAATGGCTTTTAGTTGAAAAAAAAAAACAGCGCGGATTTTTTTATTCTCTTAAAAAATGTATTCGAAATTACGGCCAGCGGCCATGCTGTTTGTTCAGCAACTAATGAATGCAACCCTAATCAACCGCTAATGTAATCATACGCAATTAAAATGCATCAATTTCGCCATTTCGAGCGCATCTATTTTACAGGAAGATACACGAAATCCATCCGAAACTACACCCTGACAGTACCACATCGAATCAATTCTCTAGGCGAGTTTGTCTCATTCGATCTTCCCCTTCACTTCGAACACAATCCGAAGAAATCGCGCAAGAAACGAACGCCGGAAGACTCCGATTCCATCCACTATGGCCTCACCCTAAACGGCAGGTACTATTTAATCGACCTGTGGCCCAACCACAACTTCATCTCCCCCGATCTGATGATCGAACGCCGAGATCCGAAACTCTGGAAAGACGCCGGAAGATTGACCAGATTGGATCGCTCGAGAATCTGCCATTACACCGGAGTAGTTCGAGGCAAAAGGGACTCCAGAGTGGCTCTATCCACTTGCGACGGTTTGGTACACCCCCTATAAAACTATTCAACCAAACGGATCTACTCAAAGCAATCTCCGCAGGCTGGTTACGTGAGCTTAGACAACAAGCGGTACTTCGTGGAGCCGATGGAGCACCATCAACCCAACGCGGAGGGTCACCATTTGCACGTGGTGCACCGGGATCACCACGTGGACAAGAGAGGAGTGCATTGCGGTACCACTGATGATTGGAGAGAGGCCTGGAAGGAGAGCTTCAGGAGGAAATTGAGCGAAGGTGATGGCGAGGAGAAGAGAGGTTTGACCAGCGAACACAGGTTCCTGGAAACCCTGGTGGTGGCCGATAAGAAATTCCTCACGCATCACAAGAACAACGACATCGAATTGTACATCATGACCGTCATGAATATGGTGAGTAAATTTAGATGAGATGGATAGAAAGCGTTTTTATGAGTGTAGGATTTAATCGAATGCGATAAATTCGTACGGATAATGAATTGACATTGGATCTCGCACTGATCCCATCCGTATAGATCTTATCTGTGAAATTTACAACACAATAAAACGGTTTTATTTTCATCGGTAAAGTTTTCGGTTTTGGGAAAAATAAATATTTATGATGTGGGGAACGTTTTAAACGCTAGACCTCGAGTAGGCAATGTATCTGGAGATTGCGTTTTGAATATTCATAAAAAAACATTTACAGCGCGGATTTGCTTGAAACTTTTATTGTTTTCATCGTTTTCGTAGTTCTATTAGTATTAGAAATAATTGCGGGATAAAGTGTTGGAATTTTTCTTTGCATGTTGAAAAAAAAAGCAATTGCATAATTATGAGGTTAAGCCACACTTTTAATAGAATATGTTGGAGTATACATGAATTTTATTCATAAGTTAGAATATGTTTACTTAGTAATTTCATCGAATGCGTTCGAGTTAAATGCACATAAAACGGGCTAATTTGGTTTGGTTTAAAAGCCGTAAAATGCACGTCTTTTAGGTTCTTGCTAAAATTATATTAAGTACATTGACGGCGCCATTAGATACTATATTTAATCATAATCGGCAATTAAGCGGTTTTACGACTTCATGTCGTAAAATCGTTCCGTTTAAACCTCGTAAACATACTCAAAAAAAAAAATTAAAATCAACAAACAAACATAACCAGTATTCGAAAAAAAGTAAACGCTCTTGAACGATTTCGATGTAAAGGTTCCTTTCGAACATCGAAACTACCTGGAAGGGTTCCGCAGTCCGATTGTAACTCCGCCGAATATATAATTAAAAGATAAACCGTTCGAGATGCCCCTCGATTATGACAAATCGCCGAGGAAGTACTAATTTATACGCCGCTGTCACTCCGCGATTCCTATCTCTTATCAATTTATTATTAATTGCCAATTATGACGTATAATAACTATTTACGGACGATTTATAATGACATCGATTATGGGCGTACACCGAGCGAAAAAATTATGATAGCTCCCGGTAGATTATAATCGCTGTAGGGATATTTGCATAATGGGATATTCCTAAGAAAAACTATGGATTTATCCAATAACAATATACCGGATTGGTCCGGGACGATGATGGGAACTGGAATAATGCAAGTGTTGTAGAAAGGAAGAGAGAATACTGATGAGAGAATTGAAGGAATTGAAAGAAAGAGAGAATACTGTTGAAAGAATTGAAGGAATTGAAAGAAAGAGAGAATACTGTTGAGAGAATTGAAGGAATTGAAAAATACTGTCGAGAGAATTGAAGAAATTGAAAGGAAGGGAGAGTACTGTTGAGAGAATTGAAGGAATTGAAAGAAAGGGAGAATACTGTTGATAGAATTAAAAGAAAGGGAGAATACCGTTGAGAGAATTGAAGGAATCGAAAGGAAGAGAGAATTCTAATACACTTTCTTGCACTGGTATTATCCATATGTCCACTTCACCGCGAATCGACCCGGTATATTACATATTTAACATTAGATTATCCTTCACGTTCAAGTCCATCGGTTCAATCCGATTTGGGTTAGAATTCGATTTCGATAGCTTCCATTTAGATTAGAACTAATGGGACTAACAAAGCTCGAAGCTAACGAGTTAATTTACTAATTGCGACTGTTTCGATACTTATATGTTTTCTAAATTATAAATATAAGTTCCACGTTTCTAAAGTAAAAGACGATAGCGACTCGTGACTCGAGCATTAGATCGTATTAAATACATAAAGGTCCTTAACGCTTCCTGTTTGTTATCCTTATCGAGAACGAATAGATTTTTGAAGCCGTAAAAGAAGGCGATGATGCTATCTGGTGTGTGTATCGCTTAACTGGGAGAGTTACGAGTATTTCAGGAATTATAGTATCGCGATGTACAGGGCATTGGAAAGTTTGTTACAGAACTTGAAGGAGACAAAAACACACCGTTGTAAATGTAAATGAAATCTACACACACACTACATTTTTCCCGTTGGTGTAAGTTTTTTGCAATCGCGACACCCGCTGTTCGAACGAAAAAATATTTTCAAGAGCGGTACGATGATACAAAAATAAAAAAACTCTTTGATATGGTAATGTGACGTTCCGTGTTAGCAACGAGTTATAAATAAAACAAATCGCCTGTATATAAGTCGCTTTAAACTTCGATTACCGTCGCTTTTCTGTATTCCCCGTACACTCGAGAGCCGTTTAATTGAAAATCGTGAAGTTTATAACAAATCATAAATTCCACAACGCTGCTCACCGGGTGTCCGATTATTATGGGAATGCCCTCAAACAGGATCGATTTATATCGCTCGAGTACTTTATACCCAGCGTACCAAACACCAAACCGCGTGCAATACTCGCGTTTTCCTCGAACGCTCTGTATAAGAAATTTCGTTGTTGCTCACTCCAGGTGTCCGATTTCTATCACGATGCCTCCAGCGGCAACCAAATGGACGTGGTGGTGGTGCGCATAATGTACTTGGAAAAAGAAGAGGAGGAAATCGATCTGGCGATCAACGAGAACGCCGAGCGGACGTTGGAGAGCTTCTGCAACTGGCAGGTGAAGATCAATCCCAAGGACATCTCGAATCCCAATCATCACGATATCGCTGTGTTGCTGACCAGGTTCGTGTAATATACGAACGTCGAAAGAGATGTTGTCGTTGAGGTTTCAGGTACGATATTTGCGCCGATGAGGGGAAAGATTGCGGTTTGATGGGTCTGGCTTACATAGCTACAGCCTGCACGCAGAACAGAAACTGCGCCATAAACGAGGATGGTGGTTTGACGTTGGGAATTGTAGTAGCCCACGAGATGGGCCATGTGTACGTATGTGAGATCGTTTGGTGTTTTTATTTAACGAAGAAAAACGTTTTTTCGGGTATTCCAGAATGGGTTGTGCTCACGATAAAGAAGGTGATTCCCCGTGCGCCGCCAAAGACAAGGACGAATCCTATTTTCTGATGGCTCCCTTCGTGCACATGTACACCACCAAGTGGTCGAGTTGCAGCAGAGGTTTCATCACTTCGCTCTTTGAGTATGTCCCAAATCTTTCTACCAATTTTACCAACATTATCTTCTCCATCAAATTCCGCTTTTGTTGAAGTCCACCAACATTGTTCGTTAGATCATTCATTCCTACTATTACTGATGATAATATAAAAATATTCCCAAAACGCGAAACGTCAATAAAATTAGCAAATCACAGGATCCAAGATACTCCCTATAGATACTCCCCTATCATCTACATAATCATTACACGCAATAATAATCGTTTGTTGTGGTAAAATTGCCAATAACGCAGGAACAACATGGGCGATTGTCTGAACGACGAGCCGGAGGTGTCGATTTACGCGTACAAAGCGGCATTGCCTGGAACGATCTACGATCCAGAGCAGCAATGCCAGTTCGTATTTCCTGGATCCACTTTATGCACCCTGGATGAATCTAAATTCTGCGAAATGTTGCTGTGCAAGACGACGCCGACGGAGTGCACGTCCAATCGCGAACCGCCCGCTGATGGTACCAAATGCGGATCGAACAAAGTACGATTCTATTCGCGTTTATTGTAAAAGAAAACCTTGGTTTGTCGTTTAACTCCACAGTGGTGTTTCCATAAAAAGTGCATAGAAATTGGTGAAAGACCGGAGGCGATCAACGGCGGTTGGGGCTCCTGGGGACCTTACAGTACTTGCTCCAGAACGTGCGGTGGAGGAATTTCAACGTCTGAAAGAGAATGCGATAATCCTATTCCTCAGTATGGTGGAAGGTACTGCTTGGGTGATCGAAAAAGATACAAAATATGTAACAAAGATGTAAGTATATGACACGTATTGTTAAACTTATTTTTATATGTAACTATTGTTAGTTCCCTTTCAGCCATGTCCTTTGGAAGAGCCGACGTTTCGCGAGCAACAATGCACTGAACAAAATCCCAAGCCCTTCAATGGCAAATTGCACACTTGGAAACCGTTTTACAAGAAAGGTTTGTGTACATCACTACTGTAGTGATATTTATGTTACAAAGAAATTTTAGGTGAACCTTGCGTGTTGTACTGCAAAAACGAATTGAACACCTTCGCTAAATTAGAACCAAGAGTTAAAGACGGCACGCCGTGCAAAGCGGGCACTAAAAATTTGTGCATCAACGGAAATTGCGCGGTAAGCATCGATAATTCATTTACAATGCAATATGAAAAATTCATTATTTGTTCAGCAGTCCTTATGAATTTATTCATCTCCTTCAAGCGATCACCTGTCGTTTTTTTTTCTTCTACTTTCAGAACGTCGGATGCGATTTTCAACTCGATTCGGACGCAGTCGAAGACGTGTGTGGTATTTGCAACGGCGACGGCACCCAATGCAAAATCGTCGACGAAGTCTACAAAGATACCGGAGCTCACGGTAAAACACAATTTTTCTAATTCCACATATCGAGCGAAGTTATCGACCCCACTCGAAACGACATTTTTGCCACAATGGGCCGGGTAATTCATCTAAAAAACTCCCCCAAAGAGACCTCTGTCGTTGATAACAAAAAGAGTTTCGAGCCGGTGGGAGAACGGCCGAAGAGAAAAGAGGAAATAATTGGGACCATCGACGTCGATCGGAAGAGATCCACGACAAGAATGCCGGCTATTTATTTTTCTCTCAGGTCGATATTAAGCCGAAAGTGAGAGGTCATCGTCAAGGTCGAGATGATATTTTAGGATGTCGATTCTGAGCCCGGCGACGCCTCCTCTTCGGCTGCTTAATGGCCTCCCATAAAATCGAATGATATTTTTACTTTCCGGGATTTATCTCGCGTTTGTGTAAAGAAAGTTACAATCAATTCATTTTTAGATTATAAAAAAGTGGCGCTTATACCGCAAGGTAGCAGGAACGTGAGAATAGAAGAGCTGGCTCCGTCCACGAATACGATAGCAATCAGCGATAAAACAGAAAAAACCTTTTACCTCAACGGAGACCAGTGAGTTTCTAATTCTTCTAACACTTCCTCTACAATTAACAAATTCCAGTCGAGAGAACCGAGATGGTACCAAACTACTCGGCAAAGGCGTCGAAGGAGTCTACGATCACCCGGAACCCGGCAAAGAAACTCTCATCATCCACGGCCCCACCAAAGAGGATTTGATATTCTTCGTAATATCCACACTAAACATCTCGCACAATCTAACACGATTCATACTACTTAGGTGTGCTTCTACGAGCAGGAGAACGTCGGTTACAGATACAAATACTCGGAACCGACGGCGGATTTGAACTACGCCCCGCAGTACCACTGGGAGTTGCTCGATTGGACCGATTGCTCGGCGAAATGCGGCGGAGGAGTGCAGAGCTCCAAGTACGATTGCGTGGAGGAGAAAGCCGGGAAGGTGAGCTCCACGTTTTGCGCCGGTGAACCCAAACCAGCCCAGCAAACCAAACCCTGCAACGAAAACCCATGCTCGACCAAGTACCTTACTTATTATCCAGATAAATGTAGCTGGTGATTAACAATTATTTCGTCAGATGGAAGGTGGGTAAATGGGGCCCGTGCAGGGCTTGCAAGAACCTCTCCGGGCTGCGTACGAGAGAAGTGGAATGTGTACGAGAGAACCCGAAAGTTGGAGGTGAAGATATCCTCGTGGAAGACGAAGAATGCGATTTTACCAGACCAGCATCTAAAGAATTGTGCGACTCGCCTAAAAAATGCAAATCCAGAGAAACCGATCGAATACCCCACGAGATGATGCGCGATGTTTGGAACCAAATCAAAAACGTGCAGAAGAAGAAACGAAGCCAACTGGTAATCCATTCAACTATCACATCAACTGCATTATCGTCGATTACATTATATAGAATATCGACAAACTGATGGAAGCCATCGAGACCAACACCATGCCGGAGCCTTGCAAGAAACTCAACAAAACCATGAAGACCTTCAAGCAAAAATCGGGCGCTTTGATTAAAGACAGGATACCGCAGAGCGAGATCAACGTGGTGAAGATACCCTTCAAGCAGTCTCACTCGGCTCTGAACCTGTCTGATAACGCCTTCGAGACCATGGGGGATACAGTGGGGGATAAATTAGATACAGGGGAGGCTGTTATAGCGACTGGAGCGGATGCTGCTAAAATCCTCAAGGAATTGGGTCACAACGAAGAGGAACGCGAGGAAATGCTGACTTCGACGAAAAAATCCGATGGTGTTTCGACGATGATTGCCCAAACTGGTGAAGGTAAAGATGGTAAGGTTGATAAGGTTGATAAGGTTGATAAGGCAAGTCGTGGTGTTTGATTTGATTTTTATAATTGTGTATTTTACATTAAATTTAAATAGAAACTCCGCTGGTTTTAATAGACTAGTTCACTAACATGTTTTGCATCTAATGCATTCGCGAAATAATCATTCGGATGGAATATCGAAAGTTTACTGGGCAACATAAACAGTTCCGTGATTTATCATTGTGTATATCACGTCGACAGATTTACGATAACGTCTCTATTTTCTATTTCTGCGTTATTCATATTCGTAGATGTCGAATGACGATGGATTTTGCGCGAATGTATTATTCAAAGAAAATACGCCCGGCGGCCGCTGCAAGATTATAAATCACTGGAAAATCAATGCGAAATGATGATAAAATGAGTTGTGTAATGGACGCGGATTTTCCAATACGAATGGAATGATTCTGCATGCATGGACTTACATACAGGGTGTTAATTAATTGAATGCCGATACTTTAGGATATGAATATCTTATGCCTCAAAAAATGCTCCTTGATAATTAAAAAGTGTATACAAAATTTCATCAAAATATCTGCCCTAATAAGAAAATTATGATAAAAAAGTTAGTTTTTTTGTTCTAATATTTTAACACCCTGTAGCTCGAAAACTAAGAGATTTAGGACACACATTGATATAAACTTTTTTTCTTAAAATCATCCAAATTCACATCCTGAAATATCGGCATTCAATTAATTAATACCCTGTATACAGGGTGTTGTCGAACTTATGGCACTAAATTCTAGGTGGTAGTTTGCATCATTTGAAACCGATTCGCAGATTTAATAAACAAAATAGAGCCATTAGAAATAAATTCAAAGAGCGAGTACAACCCTGACCTTGTGACCTTGAATAGTCAGCTGATCGGAATTTTAACACAAAAAACCGATAAGGTGTATTTTATCAGCGAGCGCGAATTTCCCTCTCCACTTTCCCGCTTTAGAAAAACGTTATCGATTCTGATTGGTGCAAATTGTATTGTTTTGATTATAACATCGGAGTTGAAGTAGATTTTCGTGATTGGACTTTAGTGATTTATTTTCCGGTTTTATTTACTTGCTTCGTATTCTTCTTAGTTTAGTTAATAATTCTTCGTGTTCTTCTCGGTTTAGTTTTTGTTCGTTATAGTGATGTTATGGAACAATATTTATTGCAAAATTGGTAATAGCAATGGGACTAATTATAAACAATCACCGTGAACTTCGCCATTTTTTAACAACAAAATAGGTGAGTTAATATTTCTTTCGATTTTAACGTTTATTTTCTTGTACTCGTACTGTTTGAAAATCCGGTTTATTTTTATAATTTATCCATACTGTATACTGTCAAGATACATTTCTCAGTTTGATTATCTTCTATATTATTTTCTACTGTATACGATGATTTTTTATGGTGTTAATTCCAATGTATTTTAGTGAAAATCTTTTAGCTATATAAAAAACGAGAAATAGAACAAAAAATCGGGTAATTTAAATCCGATCTTTTGCGATTGAATCGTCGAGTTTCGATATTGCTTTAATCGTTTCTTTGTGAAAAAAGAACCGGGGAGAATAAATTAAAAGTCGCCGGATTATATTTAGGTCGAATCGAACAAAGGGATTTAATTTATAATTCGAAATTGCAGCGGGAAGGCAGGAAATTGATTCGCGTCTAGCAGACATTTCTTCCCCGTATTCATTTTAGCACCGTGAATAGAAAAATAAAATAAAAACGCGCCGCCCATAAAAACCAAAAACTCCGAACGCGCCATTTTATATTCGAGATACAAAATGCCGGACAATTTCGGACGATTTCGGACGGTCGTTGAATCGGAGATCCGCTTGTTTTTCCACCGTTATGAGATTTTCATAAGACGCGCGAGATTGATGTTATGAATTCTTTGGGCGATATGCTTCTTCGGGATGTTTGCTCGAGTGCCGATTGTGATGGAAATTTCCCGAATTCCCGTTTATTATCAATCCGCAGCCGAAAGGTTATGCATGAGCTTTGATTCGAATCCATTTTTCATGCCGACACAATAAAAAAACTCCACGGCGTATTTTAAATATTTCGCAACAACAACAACAACACCTCATTGAATAAAAGGCTTAGGGCACCGGTGATTGGATTGTACACCGAGAATTCCTCGTATATACACTCGCAGATTGGAATTCCCAGCGCATAAACGCGGCGGAACAGAAGGAGCAAACAGAAGAATATGTATAATATTTAATTTCGGATGAAGTTCACGTTATACGCCGCCGTTTTCGTTGTGCAAAAGATGATTGCCCCAGGGCAACGAAAAGTCTTCTTCGGGAATGCGGCCTGATGCTGACGAATTAAATTATAGAGAGAAACGTCGGATGGCTGGTGGGCTACTTACCCTCGTTGAACCGGGGGAAAAACCCACCCCGAGCGAGGGGTCGATGTGTTTTACGTGCAATAAACCTACGTGACAGGATTGCTTCTTATATACTTTAATCAAATTTTTTTCAAAGCACATTACACTGCAGCATTATACTGAAACATTATACTGAAACATTATACTGAAACATTATACTGAAACATTATACTGAAACATACTGAAACATTATACTAAAACATTATACTGAAACATTATAGTGCAACCTTATACTAAAACGTTATACTGGAAGATTATACTGAAATATTATATTGAAACATTATACTGAAACAATATACTGCAGCATTATACTGAAACGTTGTACTGAAACATTATACTGAAAGATAATACTGTAATATTATACTAAAACATTATACTGCAATATTATACTAAAACGTTACACTGAAAGATTATACTGAAATATTATTATTGAAATAAACTGCTCCATAAAAGTTAAGAAAGTTCGCAAATTTTGCGATTATTTTAATAGTTGCAGACTTTTTGATCACCAAATTTTCAAATATGCGAAATTAAATGTTTTCTCTCATATCTGAGTGGATTTTTTGCCCCCTACCTCTACAACTCATACTAAATTTGGCGATCAAAAAACCTGTAACTTTTAAATTAATCTTAAAATTTGTGAACTTCCTTAACTTTTGTGGAGCAGTATATTATACTGAAATATTATATTGAAACATTATACTGAAAGATAATACTGAAATATAAAATTTAAACATAATACTGCAGCATTATTTTGCAACGTTGTACTGAAACACTATATTGAAACATTATACTGAAAGATTATACTAAAATATTATACTGAAACATTATACTGAAATATTATACTTAAACATTATACAGTATCACTATATTGATGCATTAGGTATAGTGCTACGCTATACTGGCACATTATTTTGATGTATTAAGCAAATACATTATACCAACTGCTGTTATTCCACAGCTTGCTGGAGTTTTCCGTATAAAATATGAAGTAAATCTCTGAGCACATTGGAAAAAAATCGAATTTTTGCCCGCAATAAACGGCCGAGGAAAATGGAATTTTTTTCGTCGGTCGACCGCAAAGTTGTGCGGCATTTCGCGCTCTGGCGCCGCGCTTTTCCGGCTCTCCGGAAAATTGTTTTCCGCGTCGCTCCGCTCGTTACGCTTGTGCGACATATTACAAATTTTGAATAATCCTCACGCATGGACGGGTCCTTACGCAACATCTGCGACTAAGCCATAGTTTTCCGATGCGGGAAACCCGATTTTCCTGTGAGTTTGTGCGAAAAAAATATTTTAGAATAAATACTGGAGAATAACGATTGTTCTTCTACGGAGATTTCCGTATTCGTGCACTCTTTAGCCTACACAAATCATTGTACTGAGTGTTTTTGTTGCAGGCTCGCCCTGTTGTTTTTTTTTTAGCAGCGTTTTTCGCTTCATTTCCGCGATGGTGATTTATGGGATGCATTGCATTTGCGTATAAAATACGTACGGCCATATTTATTTCGAGAAACATGAGCAATAAGTTTCATGAAAGGCTAAGATTTATAACTCTAATAACATTAAGAGCCGTGAAAAGAAATAATGATTCATGTCACGCTGTGTTTAAGGCGGTGTATTATAAACTAAACGATACCTACAATTTCCAATTATCTAATGACTCAATATAGCACTATCACTAAAGAGATACGAATAAATTAATTAATAATTTTAAATACCCAGTATTTTCTGTATAAGGCAAGAGAGGACTAATTTTTCGATTAAACGAAACTTTTCGAAAACGAGTAAAGTTTCCCGAAAATCCCGTTATTAACTAGCAATTTCTAAACAATCGTTTTAAACGCGCGAGTCGGAAAATTTTATAAATCATAATTAAAGTGGATGGAATGATTGGATGCCGGAGAAAATTCGAGGACTTTTGCTCTTATCGTCTCCGACCAGCTCGACTGTATCTCAGCGAAACTGCTTAATCGCCCCTTCTGCTATTCTCACATCCATGCAGTTTTCGGCTATTTCGAATCCATAAATATTTCAATTACGCCGCTTTTTTATTGACATAGCGAAGAGGGAGCGCGTCCCATTGCCATGAAACTACAATTGTGACACAATAATGAAGTCTAAATTTATGTAAATTAATTTATAACCTTACTCTATCAGTTTTCACTTCAAAATTCCCTGTACCAAACAGAATTATTGGCTAACAAAATGTCCCTCATGAATAATGCCAAAGGACCTCCCACTTAGAAATAATTCCGATGAAGAAATATTATTCGACAAAGGTTACAAACTACTGAAGAAAATCGGCGAAGGTTCCTACGCCCCCGTTTACCTGACCGAATACACGGGCTCGAAGAGCAGCGGCGAGGTGAAGAAGCTCGCCTGCAAAGTGATCGATTTGAAGAAGGCCCCCAAGGATTTCGTCAAAAAATTCCTGCCGCGCGAATTGGACATTCTAGCGCTGGTCAATCACCCGCACATCATCCACATCCAGAGCATCTTCCAGCGGCGATACAGGTACTATGTGTTCATGACGATGGCGGAAAAAGGCGATCTGTTGGACTATCTCCTCACCAACGGCGCTTTGAACGAGAACCGCGCCCGCGTGTGGTTCAGACAGTTGTCGTTGGCTTTGCAATACCTGCACGAAATGGGCATCGCCCACAGGGATCTGAAGTGCGAAAACTGCCTGATATCCGCCAACAACAACATGAAACTGGCCGATTTCGGTTTCGCCCGGTTCGTTGTAAACGAAGACGGAAACAACATCGCCAGCACCACCTATTGCGGCTCGTTGAACTACGCCGCTCCGGAGGTGCTCAAAGGTCGCCCGTATTTCCCGAAAATATCCGATTGCTGGTCGATGGGGGTCATCCTGTACGCGATGCTCAACAAATCCATGCCGTTCGAAGACAAAAACGTGAAAGATCTCATACAACAACAGATGCGGAAGGCCTGGAGATGGAGATCCAAGTACTCCGAAACTCTCTCCGATCAGGTTAAGATGCTGGTCATCGCCCTGCTCGAGCCGAACCTCAACCTGCGCTTCCAAATCCACGACATCATCGATTCCGATTGGCTGAAGATGGATCCCAGGTTGAGGCAATTGACGCCCGACGAAGAGAAATGCCTGATGAGAGGTAGAGAGGAGCTTTTGAACTACGTGGCTAAGCTCAAACGGTACGGTAAAGCTACAATGGGAAGCTCCCTCAACGAATCCTCCAAAATCAAGCAACTGAAGTTGTCCCGTTCTGATACTGTAAGCGATGTTGTGGTTTTTGTGCATAAGTGATTATTTGTAGATTTTTTTTTTGTAGGGGATGAAAGCTGGTGTTAACGATTAAATCCGGTTATTAAAACGTTTTGTGAGGTAGGTAACTCGAAATTTATTCCCATCACGCATGACCTCTTTCTAATATATCGATTCCAATCAAGCATCTGTTCAAGTAACAAGCCACTTTCCTAATAGCCGGGTATAAACATTTCTATTGAATGGATGGAGGGGTTCGATGTTGGACATGTCCGACAAGCTGCATCCTGCAATTACAACGTCCATTTGGAATCGAGCACGTCAGCTCTTTTGGGGGCTCTACAACGTTTCGGTTTTCCAATGCACTGCTCAGGGATTGTGTCAGAACTGACGAAAATCCGCTCCGGTTGCGATTTCATTCATTTATTTTGCGCTCGGAATAGCGAATTGGCTTCGGAGAATCGCGTTGTTACTTGGAAAAGATTTTTATACCTCCATCGAATCGTACAATAAATTTACTGGGTTTTTTTTAGATTAGAATAAATTAATGTTGTAAAAATAGAAAAGCCTAAACAATTATAAACGGACAGAATATTGGTAGTTGTATTCGAAATTATTTATGAAACATGGAAGGAAATTTGAATGGAAATCCGAATATCGCCGATGAGTAATAGAGGAAGATACCGAAACTAAGCCTAATTAAGACTAGGCGAGGAAGTAAATTTCATTGTGGGAATTATAAGCATATTCTTCATGCCTGGAGGTAAGTCAGACAACCGATTACAGATGATTTATATTCGAACGGGGGCTCTAATCTAGGATTAATTCGAATGGAAATTAAATTAAAAAATTACCACCGGCGACTTTTAAAGCACCTACAATGTCCTGTTTAAATTATACCTAGTCATAAATAGTAAACGTTGTTTATAATAAAGTTATTCAAGCACCAAAAAAATTGTTTCTCTATATATAAATAAAACAACAATCAAATGATAATATTTATTCGACACTAAAACATCTATATTCAAATATGTACAAAACTTTTAGTAACCGCCCTTAAAATGTAATTAGAATTTTCCACATTATGTACAAAGAGAAAAAAAAATCGTTGCTTACACATTTTCACGCTTATTTATTGATATGTACAAATATTTTGTCGCAACAATTTATCTGATTTCTGTTTCGTATAATTACCATCGTTCACAGAAAGGATATTCGTCGAAAGTACGCCATTAAAATTATCCTACAGAGCACCTCTAAATCACCCGCGAAGAAAATGCATCTGGAAATCCGATGACTAATGGATCGAATTCGAATTCACTTATCGCTCCGCTCGAAAATTAAGAACCTTTCGAGCCCTTCCTGCGAAAGCGAGCCCGATCGAAGGTATTTAACCGATGGAAATCGAATTAAAATCTTTGACGGAAAATGATTTACTGATTGGAGTTTTTTTTTTATTCATTAGTAGATTAAACTCCGGAGTTTCGCGCCCGGTTGTTCTTTTGATGTTTCGAATGTGTACAAAATGGCAGATTGAATTACTAAATGCAGAAAAATGCTGAATGAAAAATTCTTCTCTTAGTGTTGGTGATTCGGGAACTTTGTTATTAGTATGCATAAATGTTTCTAACGGAAATTGCGCTGGTCGAAATTCGGTAAAAAAGGGTTGGTTTATGCGAGATAAAGGCTTAGAATGTTTATTTTTGTTTTCCGAACACATCCATTTTGGAATCGAACCATTTATCAGGAAACATAATAGCGATATGACACCCCCATGACAAACCGAACACAAACGATGTAATTGATGGTTCCAATTTAGTAAGCATAATTACTTTCGAATAAGAGAGGTAATCGCTCGGATCCGTTACAAATTAACTGGGTATTAAATCTGATGGATTTTCTTACTCGTTTTCTCGAGTATATCCGTTTAATTAATGGCATCCTTTTTACAATAATAAAGCGTTTGGTACGAGGAAATTTCGACGACATATCCTTTAGTGGCCCCTTTAAAATTGCATAAATATTTTATTTACACAAATCGGAATCGAAAAATCGAGGGATAATTTCCCCGCAATTTTTACCAATAAATATGTCGATAATGCAATATAAAAAACCTTATAACAAAATCACAATATATTATCCTTTACAAGTGAATTACCCTATGAGATAGCGACGTGCTGCTACGTCGGAGATCGCAGGATTATTAATAAAACGAGACTAAACAGGAATGTGAAGTGCGATAAACTCGTTAAAGAACCATGTCCGTGGTGCATCGCTGCAGGATGTTCTCCTGAAACAAACGATTTTTATACACAATGTGGCAACATCGCTTCTACCCCCCAATACAAGTGCTTCTTGTGGTAACATTACTCAGTTATTAATAAGCAAAAAGCGCTGATGAATCCCCCCCGTTGTTCTACTAGCACTTTCAATCAAAATAATGTGTACAAAATATTTTTCTTCGAGCGTAATATGAGCATCGGATCTGACAATGTAAACCACTTATAATTCCGAGACATCATTTTCTAGCTCACAAGGAATTGCTTGGTGTATTTTTGCGTTGTTTACATAGGGACTTAGCGATGGAAATGCGGAGAGTGTTTATTGGGGAGTCGGTTAAGTGCATGTACATGTCTTGCCTTAAGTTCGCCTTTGGAAATAAACCGGCCAGCGAAATCGCTTTTTCGTGTAATTTATATTTTATTATACCATGTTTGTTTTCTTTTAAAAAAAATCCCCGTTTGTTCTTTTCAATCGAGCCGAAATTAGAACGTTTTTATTATCCGGAACGAAGACTTTTATATCGCTAAAAGGACAACGGCGAAATTCAAAAGACACACACACAGAAGTTTCTTCGGAATTGGAAAAGTTAGGAGACTTCTCCAGCCGACAGTCGAAATGTAAATACCGTTCGATAAAATCATTTTTCCGGTGTTATAACGAATTATCGGAACGCTGGCAACGCCAAGAGAACAACTACAACAGGTCCGCGCAACAAATTAATTAACGAAAGTCATAACTATTTTTGCAAATCCGGCTGGAAATGCTGGAAAGAAAAACCGGAACGCTCCTTCTCCTCGCAAAGCGGAGTCGGAAACAAGACGTTTATTAAATCTATGTACGCGACGCGACTCAAAGCAAAAAGCACTTCCAACGAAAACGTGCTTAAGTTTTATGTAGCGTAGAAATAACGCTAAACTTTCCAACTTCTGCGGTTTTCCATATTAGATCCCGACGTCGCGCGAACGCCATTCAATGTACTCTCGACCATCAAACGCTTATACACTAGAAATAAACTCCAGCAACTCTAAATTTTCTATTATCACGAAGTTGTTGTTAGACCAATTTCGACTCTAATTTGTTCAAATCGCTCCAAGCTCTTTGCTTTATGTAAACACGCATACATCAAGTTAACAACCACCGACCAAACCTTGTAGGTAATTTCCATCATAAACTTTTCACCATCATCTGCTCTGGAAACTCTCCAGCCTGGCATAAATGAAAAAACCAACACCAGCACTCATAGCGTTTCCAGCTCAAATTCAACAATCTTTCGAAACTGGTACTCCAGAAAGCTCACCGTTCAAGATGTGCACACGAACGCTGGCGGAATTGGCGTTGGACGGCGCGCAAGTGTAGAGCCCGGAGTCGCTCTGGCCGGCTTTCTGGATGAGCAAACGGCTGGTGGTGATGGAGCCCTTCTCGGTGACGAGGCTGATCCCGCCGCGCGGCGAATCGAAGTTGATCACCTTGGCGTTCTGCGACCAGACGATGTTGGGCGGCGGCTCCGGCGCGAATTGCATGATGCAGGTCAGGTTGATGGTGGAGCCCATGTTGATGAACAGCTCCGAGCCGCCGAGGATCTTCGTGATGGGTTCTGGAACAAGCGTAAAGGCGAATTAGATGGTTGTGTTGTAAGGTTTTTGGTAGTGAAGAAGATTGCTCGTCATCAGGACTAGGATTTCCTAGGTGGAGTTTTATTTGAATGTAGAGGGTACTTAAAGAAGAAGAGAAAGATAGAGCAGAAGAGATATTGAGAAAGAGTCTCCTAATTTTGTAGCTGCCTAAAGTTCCTTCTAGTTCCTGCTGGATTTCTTGAAACATTCTTCATTTCAAGCATTCTTTAATTAAATTATCTATTTTAACATTAGATGATTGTAATAAAGTTTTTGCTACTGGAGAAGGTTGCTCATCACCAGGACCAGGATCTCCTAGGTGGAGTTTTATTAGAATATAGGGGATTCTTAAATATATTGAGAAAGAGGCTTCTAATTTTGTAAGTACATTGTACCTGCCAAAAGTTCCTTCTAGTTCCTGCTAGATTCCTTGAAACATTCTTCATTTCAAGCATTCTTTAATTAAATTATCTATTTTAACATTAGATGATTGTATATAAAGTTTTTGGTACTGGAGAAGGTTGCTCATCACCAGGACCAGGATCTCCTAGGTGGAGTTTTATTAGAATATAGAAAATACTTAAATATACTAAGAAATACACTTCTAATTTTGTAAGTAGATGAATTGTATCTACCAAAAGTTCCTTATAGTTCCTGCTAGATGCTTTAGATTCTTTAATTCTTCATCTACTTTAATTAAATTATCAATTTCAACTACTCACTCGCTTCGATAAATAATTCCAATCGTTCCTCCCAGCAGGGAATGCTACATTATTAACTCCGAACTGGTGCAAACAATTTAATGCAGTAAATAAAATCGGGTCGTCGCCGAATTTTTCGCAAATTATCCCTTCGGTGCTGGACGACCGCAAAGCCGGAGCATGCCCAGGAAATCCAAATGGATATCCAACGATCCGAAATGGGCGAGCACATGCCCCGGCAATCGGCACGTTTCCAGCTTTACCGAATCTCCACGGCCTGACCGAACCATGTCATTATACTAAGTTAGCCCCGATTGATGGACTTCGACCTCGGAATCCGTGCAGATGGCCGGCCGTCTTACATTAACAAGGCCGGAGAAATGCTCGATTGGATCCCGGGCAGTTTGAAAGGGATTATACGAGAGTTTGAATAACGGTTTAGGCTATTGTGGAAAATTAGTAGAAATTGGTTGTTAAAAAATCGTTTTGCTGTTGGTGTGAAAAATCCGTGGAATTGATACGAATAGAAATTTAACCTGGCAGTTCTATCTGGTAGTAATGCGAAGTTGGAGTTTCTAAATCGCTGACCGTTAACCATTCCGGAATAGTTTGATGCAGTCAAAATCAAACCCGAATATGGATCGCTATTTATCAGCCTGGGAAAATCTCCACAGACGTTTCGGGATTTAACGTTTGAATGAGGGTATATTTCACGGGGCATTGGCTCCGCTCCGAACTTGTTTAACCGACAAAAAAATAACTCACCATGTCCAATAAAACTTTATTTTTATTTTACGGCGCATATTTTTCCTAATTCAATGCGTAAACAGCAAATTACTGTTCCAGAAGTGGGGTCGAAATTTATCCCACTTCTGGTAATCGAATAGAGTCATTCGCAGGAATCTCGTTTGAATACCGAACCGAAAGATTAAAGATTTCGCTTTTATTAACAACAAGCAAGACGGGCGGCCTTTAAGGACGCGAATTCGGAATTTCTCGGAACATGGAAACAAAGTGTAAGAGCGCAAAACTTGGGTCATTTGCGTTTAGCCGTAACGATTATGGTGCTTTTGTAGTTTACAATCGTACGCCCGCCTCGGTTGCCACTTTCGCCATTTTCGGTTTTCCGAAGGAAGGGAAAGTACCTTTGCTTTATTACTTTCACCCAGATAAATACCATCCAGTGAAAACTTGGTGTTAATCATGACATTTCACCCTGACATTTCACTGTTAAAGTTTCTAAATAATGAACCAGATGATATTCAATTGTGGTAAGAAAAATGGATTCTAAACCACACAAATATGATTTTTCCATTCTTTGCTATTTCTCACTTCGTTACTGCTATCTAGATTCTTTAGAGTTTTCAGGTACTTTGTTACTTCCTTCATCCATCTTGTCTCACCTCTTCTTTCCTCTTCTCCTTTACTAAGGTTACTGTTTGGTACAATTTGGTTTAAATAGAGTCAGTTTAATTTTCTTTGAGCTGCTTTGTATTACATCATACAAAAAATACATCTCTACGTTACATTTTTATTGACCAATAACAGTTTTACGTTTCGGTGGAGCACTCGTATGAATACTAAACGGGGCGTTTTCGGGAATATTTTCATTCGAGTGATAAATTCGGTTTATTGTTCGTCGGTGGGTGCAATTTTTTTGTTATCAGACATTCCTAACGGTTCTAATAAAGGTAAAATAAGTAATAATACAAGAATTTAGAAGCCGCGCTCGACACTCCAACGGCTTGTAACATCAGAAAAGGGCTACGTGACTGAACTCGGCGATTATTCAGCCGATGTGTTTTTGGGAAATATGAAAATTTGCAGTGTGAAATTTCTCGGAATTGTTATTCGATTAATTGAGGGATAGTGTTATTCTTTGTAACGCGAGAGTATTATACTAAAAGTGCTTTTTTTAATTAATTAATTCGAGTAATCCATTACACGTCTAAAGGTTGAAAGCTTTTAGAAATTCGTCTTTTGCCCCACTTTCTTGAAATATTTACTGGAAATTAGTAGTAACCGACGAACAATGAATTAAAATTCAAATTTCTGGAAAGCTTTCCCGACAAACATTTTCTACGATTTCTAGAGAAAAGCACAACTTTCCGGCATACGTCTGTCGTAAATTATAATCGGATATTTCGAAAGGATTTTTTTCTCTCTAAAATACTTTATTAAGAATTTTATTGAGAATAAAACGGAGTAAATAAGCAAATTTATTCACAAACTCCTGCAGGGAAGCCATTCGACGTTTTCATTAAAAACGACAAACAAAAGCCTAAGAAGATTTCGCTCGGGGCAAAAAGGTAGACAGAACTCAGATTTTACTTTTGTTCTTAGCGGAAATAGGGAAAGTAAAAAGAACGAAAAAAAACGAAATTACAACTAACGTTCGCGTAAAACAATTCTACTTTCGATTAATTCCGATTTCCTCCAAATCAACGTAGATCACAATAGATTAGAGCTCAAGAAAACGATTTAATCATCTTTTTAGAATGCACCTAATTAACATCCTCTAACATTGCATTCCGCTTTACCAATTCTACCAGCGCACGAACATAACCAGCACAATTGTTATGATTAACACACATATTAGATTGCTCCTTTTGTCGTGTCTAGATTGCAGGAATGCTTTCGGCGAATTCGCTACCCTTTCGCGTCAACTTGTAAATGTCACAAAAGAGATTACACTAAGCCCTCGAGGCGCACAACAACAACAACTCGACCGTGGATTCGGGCCAGTTACGTGTGGGGCTTAATTCGCCCGACCTTTTGCACTTCTTTCTCCCAAGATTTGAATAGCCGGGAAAACACAAGGAGAGCGCCGCGTCGGGGCAGATCGAGTTCGGGGGGGTTGACCGCGACCTGCGATCGTAAATTTCGTATTCTCCACTTGCCCTTTTCCGCGTCGGTCATCGGGAGTCGGTAACGAAGCGAAATTGGCCCTTCGGGCCGGACGGAGGATCCTCGGAGAGTTCGACCTTAGGCCCTATGTCGGAGAAATTCCGCTCATTAATTCACGCTAACAGAAGCGACGTTTCTCGTTGTGACCTCTGCGCTTTCACCGGTTCGATGTCGGAGTATTATTTATTATGGAATAATGATGATGAAACTAGAGGAATCAGGACTATTACTATTACTAAATACTAAATACTCACCAACGATGGTAAGATATTTGAATTGCATGATGATGAAACTAGAGGAATCAGGACTATTACTATTACTAAATACTAAATACTCACCAACGATGGTAAGATATTTGAATTGCATGATGATGAAACTAAAGGAATCAGGACTATTACTATTACTAAATACTAAATACTCACCAACGATGGTAAGATATTTGAATTGCATGATGATGAAACTAAAGGAATCAGGACTATTACTATTACTAAATACTAAATACTCACCAACGATGGTAAGGTATACATATGAATTGCATGATGATGAAACTAGAGGAATCAGGAAGCTTGCTATTACTAAATACTAAATACTCACCAACGATGGTAAAGTATTTGAATTGCATTATGATGAAACTAGAGGAATCAGGAAGCTTACTATTACTAAATACTAAATACTCACCAACGATGGTAAAGTATTTGAATTGCATTATGATGAAACTAGAGGAATCAGGAAGCTTACTATTACTAAATACTAAATACTCACCAACGATGGTAAGATATTTGAATTGCATGATGATGAAACTAGAGGAATCAGGACGATCATTACTAAATACAAAATACTCACCAACGATGGTAAGATATTTGAATTGCATGATGATGAAACTAGAGGAATCAGGACGATCATTACTAAATACAAAATACTCACCAACGATGGTAAGATATTTGAATTGCATGATGATGAAACTAGAGGAATCAGGACGATCATTACTAAATACAAAATACTCACCAACGATGGTAAGATATTTGAATTGCATGATGATGAAACTAGAGGAATCAGGACGATCATTACTAAATACAAAATACTCACCAACGATGGTAAGATATTTGAATTGCATGATGATGAAACTAGAGGAATCAGGACGATCATTACTAAATACAAAATACTCACCAACGATGGTAAGGTAAACGAATTGCCCGATGGGAGGAGTGGTGCTTATTTGACATTCGTAAATACCAGTGTCCTTCTTCTGTGGATACTTGATCTTCAATGTCCATTCTTCGGTGTGAGGAGTGTGAACTGCCTCGAATCTTTGATCTGATGTGTAAGTGTATCGACCCACTGTTAACAAGTGGATATCTCTGTGTCTAACCCACGACACCTGCAATAAAACATCACTAATTAGCTTTATTACACAGCATCTTGAACTTTCAAAACAATCTAATATTAGATTATGTAATGTATTAAACATTGAACGTTTTCGGTAACTTTGCATTACTTATTCATTTCGTGTTCGGGTATTATTTCATCCTCGATCGTTCATCAAATGGGCCTCCGCCGTAACTCAATAAAAGTCATTCTTTTCGATGCCGTATGCTCGGGATAAAGGTTGTTGTTTAATATTTCGCCAGCTAGCAGTGCCCGGTTTTATTACCCATAAATTCGCAGAAAAAAAGTTGCAAGGATGGATAAAGTAAAATTGCCAAATAGAAAAGACGCCTCCTGTTTCAATTTCATCTAAATTACCGCGCAATAGATAAACAAAATTAATATCAAACGAAGTATAAATTACATCTGAAGTCTTCATTCATTCGCGTAATTTCCATTAGAATAATCTCCTAACCGTTAAGCTGGAACTATGTGGAACATTGCGCTTGATTACCTGCTTAACGGACTCGACAATTAAATATTATAAACCACTGGATATGGATTTCGATGAAGAGAGTAATTTCTATTCAAGGGGTGTAGAAATTTAACAATACAGTCGATTCGTTTCACGCGCTTTGCACCAATTATATACCGTCTTCATACGTATAAAACCGGAGCTTTATTGACTTTCCGGACAACTTTAAAGCTGCAGCGAATTCCCGGTTAAGTTTCGAGGTTTCGACCAATTTTGACAAAACGTCGAGTTAATAATTGTTTAAACGACTATTTGCTCTGCAGAAACGAAAGTAAATTCGCGGCCGGAAAATGATTTGTATTAATGGAACCAACTATGCGACCACTCTAATATTCAAACAGCTCGTCGAGTTTTACTGTTCAAAGTTTACAATAGTTTTCAATTTCGTCCGTCACTGCAACTTCGGCCATTTAGGGCGCTTAGCTGGCCGGAAAATCGAGATGAATTCGCCGAGTTTAACGATTATTCGACTATTAAAATTTCTCCAATGCGATATACACCACATTCCTGTTATTCTTGTATTGACTCATCCATCTAAATGAAATAGAACTGACTAGAGATACACTAGAAAACTCCAGCCACAGACCTCTCCTGTATTAAGCCAACAATAACAGACCTATAATAATGATAGTAAGGAATATGAATTGTCTGAAAGATGGAGGCGCAATTCATCCAAACAAACGGAATATTAGATTAATTCCACGTAAACAAGAAAGCGAGTTTATTTAAGAATCGCTCTGTTGGAATAAAGAGGCAACAAGATAACCATAAATTTCCAGGCGTTTTGGGGCGAGGGTCCGTTTCAGCAGGGCAGCAGGATAACGAGTATCCGAAAGGGGATGGAAGGAAAAGGAACAAGGAAGAGGTTCGTGAGGAAGGTTTGTCAACACCTACTTGAATATGCTCAGGATGAAATATGTTGCAGGATAATTCACGTGGTGTTGTAAAATTTGAATTTATACAGGACTTACGTAAAACTGCACCATCATCGATTCGAGTGCTTTATTTATTAAAGTGTGTATTCGAATTCGTTGTTCTAGGGTCGGGATGAATAATGTAAAATAGGATAAAATTTCTTTCTCTCGCTAAAAGCATCTAATATTTGAAAAATGGAACTTCGGGTATTAACAATGAGCGAGCGAAAGCTTCTTATGTTTTTTGCGGGAGCCATTTTGTCGATTTATTTACGTGCTCTCAACTAAATTTTTACGTTTCTTCAAATAAACGGATAAAACTCCTCGCCGAATTTAGTTTTATGGACCCCATAAAGGATTTCGTCGAGTCTCCGATAAGGAATGACTTAAAACCTAGTGCATCCTATTGTTATCCACAACAATAGAAACCTTAACTGACTTTATCCACTGAATATATCGAGTATCATATAGCTTGGAATTTAATACCATTCTGCAGTAAATTTATAGATTTAATATATTAATTTAATTTCCAAATACACCTGTTTAGTTTTTATTAAGGTGCAATGTTAGTAGAGTTGCATACTTTCTATTAGAATGTATGGATATAAGAAATAAAACATGTATTACTTGGAATATTCCCGAGACTGGAAAGCCTTTGAGGAAATACAAACGCGAATCGACAGTCGGTAAATATATGTACCTAGTAAATTGAATTTACCTTCCAGTACTTGAACTTTGCATAATGTGATTGAATCCAGATTACGGAAAACTGTAATTTATTTAAGTAGCTTTTTGAATTTTATACATTTCACTTTTTCCGCTCGCCATTCCTTAGCCGTTTTCCCCTAAGAGTAAAAATTTTCATACATAAACGACGAGATGCGGAAAAAGTAAGAAGTATATTTGATGCTTGAAGTAAAATTTCAAAAATAACACCCTTTTATCCCCAACGACTCTTCAATAATTCAAACTAACATCGGGATATCTATCAATAACGATGCGAAAAGTCCATTTAAGTAACCGGAAAACGCCGTAAGAGGTAACTTTATAATTCGAAAACTCAAACGCTATCGGAAACAAAAGTTCCATCGTCGATTTGAGGTCGAATTGAAAAGAAGTTGTAACAGTCGTGCAACAATAAAATTCGTTTTATTTCGACGCCAGGCAATTCCTGCGGGCGCCGTAAACTCCGGACCCAAGCGCTTAAAAAATTGAATGAATAAAATTAACTATCTTAATAGAAACGGTATTTTATTGATAGTTTTGAACAACCACTTTTGAAGCGATAAAAAATTTTGTAGGTTTGTTATCAGCACGACAAAGCTCCTGAATGATCGATTTAGTAGCAAATCTTTGATCAATATTCACAGCTGATTTTGACAGCTTTTGTTAACCTTCAAAGTGAATATGACATAGAATCTTTCAATAATGTCAAATTGGTGTATAGCTAATTCACCTCATTTTCGTGGATTTGAATTCCTACCGGGATTGGTCGATTTTGAACCTCTTTATGTACCAAAAGAAAAACTTTTTCCTGCCTTCGACTGCAGTTTTTTTCCCGGTGGGGCGTCAGTTCTGGGGCCACCCTGTATAAAGCTCCGTAGACTGTACTATACAAAAAAATATGGCGAATTCGAAATTTTCATAATTTTATTTATGCCCTGTTTAATAACAACGGTGGTCGAAAGAGGAGCCTCTTATTCTCCCGTTCCGAAATTACACGGTACATAATTGGCCTCTTCATCCGAGCCAAGCCGGCGACCTTTTTAATAAACATGAGCGGCATTTTTCTTCCTCCACCGCCATCTAAACCGAATTCGGGCGACTCAGGAATTTTCCCGCTCGGCTTGCGCGCGAGCGAAATGCATAATTCTGGCGGTTTTCGCGCTGCATCTTAAAACCGAAAACCGAAGAGAAATGACCGGGAAGTTTCCCGGCTTGATAAGTCGACTGGTGCCCGTTAATAATTAATTTATAAACGAATTTTCGTAGATAAAGTATGGTAATCTACCCGTTGAATAATTTAGAAATATTGTAGTAAGTTTTCTTATCTTCGTTTTTTATGGTTTTAATAAAGTATCTCCTCTCCTGCTCCGCTTCAGACTCGTCTCTGTATGAATTATTTATCAAACAACCTAATCAGGAATGGAGCGGAAATTTCGGTTGTCAATTTAGCGAATGAATAAATTTACAAATTTCGACCCGATTGTTCGAAGTGTTAATATTTAGGACAGGAACAGCGCGAATAGCAGGATTTTTTCTCGTTCGAAAAATGAACATAATAAACCCCATTTTCCGACATGTGATACTTTATTTTTTTTTATTCCGAAGCGGTTTTATGGAGACACAAGAGAGCGGAATGGTTGGGATTTCAAATATTCAAACCATTCATGTGAGCATTCTATGCCATTAATTTTTCCTTTACACCATAATTTCTATCCACACGTGGCATTGAGAGAAGCTGTTTGGGGGTTTAACGAAGTTGCATCTTCAAAAATATCAAACCGGAATCTCGTCGCTCGGCGATGAAATTATAATATTTTGATCCTATTATCAACGGGGCATATACCTCACGGTATGTTAGTTTTCCATATTACCTTGTACTCTGTACTAAATGAACTCCGCTAGGTCGTGTATGCACAAGTCGTATTTTCGCAAGGATTATAAAAATGGGGCTAATATGTGCGTCCTGTCAGGCGGAAAATTAAATTTTTCGCATTCGGGCTCTATCTTAAAATCCGAAATAATAATTAATTTAATCCACGCAGAGTGCTTGAATTATTAAAAAAAATAATACGTACCACATGCAAATAGTAGCTCGTTGAAATGAAAACTGGTTAAATAAACTTCCCGAGGACCAGCAAAAATCCTCTTATTGTTAAATTTTTCTATTTAAGTAGAGAGTGTAATAAAAGCGTTTTATATTCCACTTTGCTGAATTTTTTTAACTCCCTATTCGAATTAATTTATTTATCGGTGGTTTTCTTCGAGTTTAAAGTTAATTACGAACAAGAAAACTGTAAAATCTTAAAAACCACCGCCGCATAAAGTTATTACCTTTCATAAAACGCGATTTTACACAACACCGAAACGTTTCAGTGTATTTTCCCGGAATTTAGGGCTCATTAAATTACTATAGAAACAGTGGTTTTCGTTGCCGGAAAATATCTAATTGAGTCGAGATTTTTCGAGTGGTCTTTCCTGGTGAAAGATCCATTTTCTTGCCAAGTTTAGTAACGTCTTACAGACAGAATTCGCCGGAGCAATCTCGAAACTTTCAACGTACTTGTAAATTGGATCCAAACGTACAGTTTTTGAAGACGTAATTAAAGAACAAATAACTGTAAAATATTAATCGGAGTTTAGAAGTACGGAAACTTTCGACGTGGATTTAATTCCAATAATGTTTCAACGAAGCGCATTCGTATAAAAAAAACTCCGTTCGTGATAAATATTGAACAATATCGCCATCGTTTTGCGCCGTTTCAGTTAATTTAGATTCGAATTTGTTAAGTAAATAGAAGTTTATAACGAGTTTACAAAAGCGAATCGGTTTTTCAATCC